TGTGCTCCACCTGCTTCATGCGTACGACCCTGTCCTTGTTGAGCACTTTGACTGCGTAAAATCGCAGATTATGCTTGCTTCGCACTGGAGAAGGATGATTAGGTCGAGTGCGCGGGAGTGTACTAACAGACCCAAAATACATACCCAGGTGCACTCGCCCAAAGCTGCCCGTCCCCAGCGTCCGCTGGATGATGAAGTCGGTCAAGCGATAGACTCCCCGTGGCCGGCTGACGAGCTTCTTGGGCCTCGGCGCCGGCGGCTTCTCCTCCTCCAATACGACCTCCATCTCTGACTCCATGCCGTACACACGTTTATCATTGCTCCAGTCACTGATAGACGTCGCCTGGGTGGAGATCGACCCGCGGTGGTCATAGCTGGAATGCGACAGGTACGAGGTCGATGCAGATTGGATGGATGACGGGCTGCCCGGGCCGTGCATCAAGTCGGAGTCGCCATAGTTATTCGAGGAGGCGTTTCCAAGCTGGTTCAGTTTATCGCCCATTCTCCGAATCATAAAGACGAAGGATGGCGGTCGCGATTGTAGGAACAAAGGCGGTTCGCGCCAACCATTGTGTAAGTCGGGACATGGCACGTGTCAATCAGAGTACAAAGGTATCCCCTTTTGGATCTCCGGTAAATTAAATTGTATCGACCAAGGCCGAACTGACCGACAAACATATCCTCAAGCATACATACGACAGCAGGTGCAACTGCAGCATATATCCAATCAAGTGTAATGCAGAAGAGTAAATCGCCCAACGCCATTGGCGAGATAGATTGTCCCATTGACCTCATCGATGCACATGGAAGACACCTCATCCAGATCGACTGATGCTGGCATCACCAAATCATGGACGGTGATGGTCCCGTCTTCGAGATGCAGTCGGAGGAGCAAAACGCTGTTCACGCCGTCCCGAGTTATTCCAGCAATGACATTGTGTCCGCTGTGGTCCATCCAGATCAGGCTATTCAGCCCACCCTCGGCATTGCCCATCATCTGACCGCGAATTTGAATGGTTTTGCAAACTGGGGCGAAGACGAGGGGCTTTTCGGCAGAATCTGTGTCGGCGCTGAGCACGAAAGTGAAGAGCAGGCGGGGACTGAGTCGGTCCTCATCTACGAGGCGGACAAATGCACCGCTGACTCCGTAGAAATGCGACGTGGGAAGAACATAGCAGAGCGGCTTTGGCCTAACAACATAGTCGCCGGCTCCGGGTATGGTAATGCTCGTCGTATCGGGCTCCTGCCGTTGGCCTTCGACGAGCCTGGTGGGAGACACATGGTGTGTCTGGACGCTGATTCCATCTTCGTGGAGGAAGTAAAAGTGGTCACGATGAGCGAAAAAGGCGATGATGTCCTGGTTCGGAGTAGGCTGGTTTCGACAAGTTTCATCAAGCTCCACTCCCCACAAATCAATGCATGGCGGACCTCATGACCAAATCTGAATACAGCCCTCAAAGTGTGCCCATCCGACAACCGTGTCGATATCAGAGAAGGCGAGAACTCGGGGCTTGCGAGAAAGGCCATGTGTTCGGTGGTGTGAGCCAGGTATCCACTGTCGACTTCATGATCTGGGACAATTTCGGACTGCACAAGCTCGAAACTAACAAGCTGGTTATTCCGATGCGTGATTCGGAACATCTGGCGACGTCCGGCGACGTTGCTACAGGACTGTCAGCGGGGGCTGGCGAAACTTGGAGTAAAGCTCGCACTGAGGCCTCCCATAGACGATGCTCAAAAGAGCCAGCGAAGAGACTTGGTCTGTCTCATGCAGGGTGGATAGGAACATGATGGTGTGTCCAGTCGGCATCGGTGCCAGTTGCGGGTCTTCCTGTCGGGTATCCCAACAGATAAGCTGGCCGTTGTCAGCATCGTGGAGAACCAAGATCCCTGTCCCTTGGACATTGAGGATGACAGAGAATTGTCGAAGTGGTCCGTGGAAAGGTTCCAACTGGCGGTACCATGAGACGATAGGATAGCTATGTCCCCAATTGCGTTCCAGCCTCACGAATCTGAGACCCTGCTCGCGCAGTGCCTCCAGTGGATATTGCGAAAGATCTCCGGGAAGAGTCAGGATATGTTCTCGTCGGACGTTTCTTAATGCGGAGATCCAAAAGCTGCGCTCATTCCAGAGTCGATACAGCACCGGAGACGTCTGACAGCGACATCGGTTTTCGAGTGGTGGGAGCCGTTCGGATGCGACGCACAAAGAGAAGACAGAGCGCGTCAGATATCTTCGCGTGCCTGACTATTTCGAGGATGATGTCCGATGGAAGCTCGGAGAGTACGAGGCTGGCGGCCATATGGATGAACGTCAAGAGCAAGATATTAAGCCATCATCGGGCCGATCAACCACAAGACATCACTGCGCACCTTATCTTATCTTGTTCAATCTAGGTATTTTGGTTTTCAATCAGGATATTTACAGACTGAGCATAAGAAGAAGATCTAACAGTACTATCTAAGCGTACTGCAAGGTATAGAACATGTACCGCGAGTCAATGACATAAACGGCGCCCGTGGAATCATCTATGCACACCGCACGGAGGCCGTCGATGTCGATCGACTCGGGAACGACCATGGAATGGACTGTAATGGATCCCGGAGCACCCAAATGATATCGATCAGCTTAAGCTCCATGGTAAAACTAAGCGTCTCGATCACAAGCAGAATATTGGAACCGCTATGGTCCATCCAGATGAGATCGCGATCCCTCACGTTGCCGGTGATGGAGACCGATCGACAGAGAGGATCGAACGCCAGCGGGGACTGAACCCCATCGTCATCCGAGTGTGTCAAGCTACAGGGAAGAAACGTGACTCTGACAACATCCAGCTCATCAGGCGAGTTCCGCACGAAAGCAGCGGCGATGCCGTAAACGGGCGATGTGGGGAGCGTGTAGCAAAAGGGATGCAGATCATCTGCGTCGGCCGATATCAAGGACACATATTGAATGGAGTCTCTGACGTCGTTGTGCAAAAGACTGTTCCTTGACACGTGTCGTACGTGGACAGACAGCCCATCCTCGAACAGATTGTAGAAATGCCCTTGGAATGGGAAACAGACAAATTGCTCCCGGTCACTCGAAAACTGTGCAAAATGAGTCAGCGCACTTGGCCATCGGCGAGACCCGATCCTCACCTGCCGAGGAGCCTTGATGGCGATCTCGCTGACAGAAAAATCCCCGCTTGCAGCTTCGAACCGACGGCCAAACATGAGCTTTGCTGAGTCAGCCGAGTCTTGGATGCCGACCGACCCAACGAATTCCTCCGTCAGCAGGAAGGACTCATAGTCAAAGCTCGTGGAAGATGTCATCTGGGTTTGAGTGCAGGTGAAGACGGATACCTCGTCCTCTTCATGACAAATGGTGACGATGTGGAGTTGGATTTCGCTGGAGATTTTCAGCGCTTCGCCGCCGGTCATCACCAGAAAAGCACGTACGACGGAGCGGCGAAAAGCTGTCGGCCGAGCACGAAGGCAGTTATCCCCAAAGACTCAAATGCGACAGATGTCTCGACGACTTGACCATGGAATGGAATTGTGGGCACAGCGGACTTCGAATTGACTCTTGTATCCCAGCAGACTAATTGCTGTCGCTCCTTGAAATGCAGGAGCAGAATGCTCGTTCCTTGCAAGCTCGCCACAAATTCCACAGGCTCGGGGAACCGGAGAGGTGAAACTGGGCGTGTGAATCGCGGCGCAGGCGAGCTCCAACTGAGATAGACGTTCATCCAAATGAACGCCAAATTCTTAAGTCGCTCAAGCGGCCATTGTGAGAGGTCGGTGTGCACTGGGCAGGCCAATGGCGAGTGGGCTCGATTCACCCGCAGGAGCGATATCCAGAAACTCCTTTCCTGGCCGAGTTGATAGATTGTCCTGCAGGTCTGGGCGCCTTTGTTTGAGTCTGATCGATGATCCCTGGATGGGAATGAGTTACCAGGAGTAAAGATAAGACATCAATGAGCAGGAGGTGGGTGCTGATCTCCAGGTAGATGTCAGGAGGCAGCTCCAACAGCATCCCCGACATTCGTCCTTGTTCCGACTGCCCGGAATGTTTGGAATTGAGCTCCGGGCCTGTCGGCTCTGATACCAGCATTAAACGCAAGTATAGCACAAGGAAGGAGCTTCACGATGGGTAGATATGCCGCGCGGTTGTGTCAAACTGGAACGGCTTGACTGACGAGTGGGGCACGGGCCCTTGGGCACAATTCGAAAGTATATTGGCGGCTAGCGCTCGAGATAAGGAACGACTCGGAATGATTGATGGTCAGCGAGGTGTGATCAAGAAGCCACTGAGAAATCAAGCAGCTTTCCCCTCGGACTGTGGCCGCCTCCGCTTTCTCCGACCTGAGGCGCTGTTGCACAGGTGATGAGGGGTGACATGAAAGATGGCAAGCGAAGTGACGTACTGGCCAAGTTTCTCGATCGCTCTTTTCCTTTTTGAGAAGTAACCTTGCAGTGCAACCTGTGGACAAATCTTGTAGGGAATCGCACTCGGGACTTGGCCTCCACCACGCTGCCTCTGCTCTGTATGATCAAACACCTCTTACGTCCCCTCTCGGCACTTGACTCCATCCTGTTCCCGAACAGCTATTCGCGGCCCGTAGTCCGCCTCGTTATGACAGTTTGCAATGTTGCTTTGCACAAAGTTCGACTAGATTTCTTCGTTCGTCAATGCTGGAAAATGAAACGGACCTATTTCCGAACCCGCTGCTTCTTCAGATGTGTGCCCTTGGCGCTTAACAAAAGTGTTGGACTTCGGATCATGAATTGTTTGTGCGTTTCGATATGAACGCAGGTCAATTGGGATCTGAACAGCACGAGGAATGGCTTGTTCCACGAGAAGGGATATCGATGAGGCTCTGCGGTCTCGGGTCGTAATCCAACCATGCTGCTGCACCCAAATACAGCAGCATCACAGCTTAGCGGTGGATATAAAAGCTTTTGGGCGACTCACTCGAACAGCAACATTTCAACCCGCTCATCGTCTGCAGCTCGACATGCCTGGCGCCCTCACCACCATCTCCACTTCCACTTACACCCAAGCCTCGCTGATCCCTCTGCCTGTTTGGGACGCGCTTTGTGCCAGTCCCCAGAAAGCAAACACCATCCTGCCCGTTGCTATCAAGCAGGTGGCTCGCGAGCAAAACCAGGGTCCTTCACGCCGTCTCCCAGACCAGTGCTGGATTGTCGTCAGGACCAACGACACGATCGACTTTGTTCTCTCCGTCACGGAGGGGGAAATTGGGGCATATCCGGTCTTTGTTTTTACCGCTGTCCCCACCCACCTGCTCAGCCCCGAATTTATGTACCCTCGGCTCCTTCCGCTGGCCCGGGCTCTCTTCGCGGCTGTGCCTAGCACTCGGGTTTACTCTTTCTTCGCACAAGACGCGATTGCGAGGATGCTGAGCAGCTTATGGACTCAGATAACCCAAATCGGCGCGTATCAAGAGTCGTATTACCACGCAAAGCTGAGTTTTTGCACTCGCTCGAGTTTCGTGGACGGCCACACAACCCTTTCTTCCACGCCAAATCTGCAGTTTAGACTTCGCCCAGCCCGCGCAAATGATCTTACACAAGTCGCTGTGCTTTGCGAAGCTTTCGCCGCGGGCTCCGAGCCTTTCCTGCTGACGCCCGAAGCTGCGCTGCTCGAAGCGACGACACTCATACAGAACGAGCAGATCTGGGTGCACACCATCCGCGACAGGTCAACCAACGAGCAGGGCATCGCGTCGCTCGTCGCGTTCACGCGCAACTCGCACGCATGTGCGACCATCACCAAAGTCTTCACCAATTCGCGCTGGCGCCGGAACGGCTGCGCGGAGCGCCTCGTGCGCCACGTCGTCAAGGACCTCCTCAAGACGAAGGACAGCGTCGCGCTCTACGTCGCGCACGACAACCCCGCGGCCAACAGCGTGTACCACCGCGTCGGCTTTATGGGCCTGGCGCAGGGCGCACAGCCTGTCGAGGGCGTCGACTCGTGGATCGAGATCGGCATGGATCGCAGCCGGGTCGTGCTGGGGCACTGGTGAGCGGACGCACAGCCCATGCCCAATAGAATTCTCCTGCAGTGGCAAATCCCTCTCCCTGCACTAGGCAATGTGCTTGAATTCCTCCAATCATAGACATTACAATTACCTACCGGCACCTGCCGTAAAATTTTGTAACATTATCTACAGCCAATATAGAACGGTCACTCGTAGCTGTAATCGACCCTCTTCGAGGACGCCCACAAGCGTGACACATTCACGCCATGGCCGTGACCTTATAGTCACAAATACTTCCTCCGCGACCATGGCCAAATTCCCTCCCCTCACGATATTCGACTACCTGCACCGCACGGTAGTCTACTCCCTCGTCGGCATCGCAGGATGGAGTGTCTTCGTCGGCGTCGCAGGGCACAGCGGACGGCGAGAGGCACGGCTCGCCCGGGCTCAAGGTGATTGATCCATTACTCCCCCGCCCACAGTCCGCGCGCGTATGGCTAACAGCTTGCCTCGTTTACAGAGGTATTGCACTGGTATTCGATGTCCGGTGTTTCATTACCACTGAAACAGCATCGTTTTCATAGCGGAGAGCTCTCAAACAGCGCGAGGAGGTGGGTGCCGTCATATTGCGGGCTGAAGGCTTTTGGTTGAGCGAATCCTGTGCAGGAAGAGGAGGCGTTGGCTCGTGCGGCGCAGAATGCCGTTCCTTCCCAAAGAGTTTGATTCCGAGCATGGTGCGCCTCATTAGTCTCGGTCATTCATGTAGCCACTAACCTAACAGCACGACTAGAACAGCAAACAGTCTTACCACAATCATCTGTATCATTTAATCTCTTATTTATGTATTCACTTTCCGCGCGGCCCAAAAAATGGTGCAAGTGATTCGTAGTAATACTAATTTACAATGCGGTGGTGCATAAGCGACGTGTAGATATGGATGTGTAGGTTTATAGATTACGATAGCGAGCGGATTGTCCTTAAGACGACGTGGCGTTGTTGAAGATCAACAAGTTCACCGTCTTCGCGGGCAGATCGGACAGCATTCCGGGCGACGACAGCGCAAGCAACGCCTTCTTCAGCTGGGCGGGAGTCATCGAGGTGGGAGGAATGGGTACCGGGGCAACTTCAGCTTCCACAGGGGCCGAAAGGAAAGACGACGCCCAGCTAGGGAGAGCGGCGTGGACAACAGCGTACAGCGACGACGACAGTGCGGAACCGAACGAGTTCTGAAGCGTGGGAACGTCGACGAAGGCCTTGAGCTCGGGGTCGAACTGCTTCGAAGGGTAGATCGACAGCAAGTATGCGAGCATTCCAGCAGTGTGAGGCGAAGCCATCGAGGTACCGGACAAAGTCGCAGTCGCCCGGTCAGACCCAATGTACGTGGACAGGATGTTCAAGCCCGGAGCGAACACGTCAACACATTCACCGTGGTTGGAGAAGTAAGCACGCTCGTCGCCGAGGTCGAGGCACCGACAGTGATCGCCTTCACAGCCGCAGCAGGAGAGTAGTTGCAAGCGTCACGGTTGTCGTTACCTGGTCAAGCATGAGACTCGCGCAACGGAAGAAAGGATGCAAAAAACGCACCGGCAGCAACGGCAAAGTGCAGACCCTTGTCAACGGCGGCATCCACAGCTCGGTCAAGAGCGGTCGACTTGCCACCACCGAGACTCATGTTCGCGACCGAGCCCTTGTGCGAGGTCTTGCCGGTTGCCTTGAGCTCAGCCTTGGCCTGTTCGGCCTTGGCGGTAGCAGCTTCGGTCGCAAACGCAACACCACCCACAACATCGGACATTGAGCCGGATCCGTTTGAGCCGAGGACCTTGACAGCGATCACGTTCGCCTTCTTCGCTACGCCATACTTGGTCGAAGCGATGGTTCCTGCACAGTGCGTTCCGTGCCCGTTGCCATCCTCGTCAACGTCATTCTGGGGATGGTGCTGCCCCAGAAAGCGCGCCCCTTGAGCTCTTGGTGGCCAATGTTGATACCGGTATCGATGACGTAGACGTCAACACCCTCTCCGCCCGACTCCTCGTACGCGTACCGCGTAAATGTGCCAAGGCCGAGTTTCTTACGGTGGCTGATACGGGCGAGACCCTGGGGAAAAGGGTGATGTCAGCTTTGAGACCTCATGACGTGGAACCTGAAACATGACTCACCCAGGGCGCGGATCGCTGCGTAACGACCTCCTGCGTGCGCACAATCTGGTCGCGCTCAATGAAGTCGACCTCGGGCAGGGAGCGCAGATGCTCGACGACCGGCGCGGAGAAGCGCCCGGCATAGCCGTTAATGTGGTCATAGACATGGCTAATCGCAAAGGTGTCGTCGGTGAGCGGGGCGGCCTCGTGCGCACTCTGCAGGAACGTGAAGTGGTTCTGCATAATGGCTGACGGCGTGCCGGGCTTGAGCACCACAATGTAAGAGTTGTTCAGTGTCCCGTAGACGTGGCTCTCTGATAGCGGCGCAAGCGACAGCGGGGTGCGCTGTGGCGCGCTGTAGTAGGGAGACGTCGACAGCGGGGTGCTGGACACCGCAGCCGCGAGTGAAAGAGCGAGTGCGAGTACAGACATGGTGGTGGTTGAGGGCAGGAGGGGTTGCTATCAACCCCGGATGATAAGGCAGCTTGTTGACTGTTGTTGACGATGCTGTCCTGACTTGGCCGCGTCTCCGCCTCTGCTCGTGTGCTAGGCGTGGGCTGATGTGCCGTGTTATCTGGTCCCCCAAAGTATCGATGAGATGCCTCGGAGAAATAACAACCAGTGCAATTCACGTCACAAACTGCAGGGGCCATATCGGGCATGGCTTCGGAGAACCCTCGCGGTGGCGCGGCTGCGGCTCATCGCGAGTCGACGTAAATTGCCTTTGCACGTTGAGCAACCCTTTTGCGGCTCATTGCGGTCCCCAACGAAATGCGGTGACGCGTCAGCTGGTCCTCGAGGTGGTGACGCGCATCGCACTCCGCAGACCGCGCGTCGCGCGATGACAGTCACTGATCCGCATGGCGCAAACGCGCTCTCTATTCCCGGAATACTGAACTACAATGGCGCAAACGCTGCCTACTGGCTATCTATGACTAACAAAATACACGATCAAGCACGGTCTGGCCCCTTCACCAGTCGCGAGTAAATGTACATCTCCCTCCGCTTCGCGCGTTCCTCCCAGTCGTCCGCCTCCGCCTCCAGTCCGCCATCAACCTTCCCTTTCGCAACTCTGCGGCGGTACCGATATCCATTGTTATCATCCTCGTCGTCGCTGTCACCGCTTGGTTTGACAGCAAGACTGAACTGCACCGATGCCTGCACGTCGACCGTGTGAACCAACTCCCTCGGCCCGGACACCTTGGCCTGAGCATCCTGCACATGAACTAGTGTCGTCGCAGGATCTGCAGTTTCTTCTTCGGCAACATCCGAGTCCTTCAAAGCGATCAAGGCGTCTCCGGTGTATTTCTTAAAGCCGAGAATCTTGTCCCCGATGGCCCGGTCCAGCACGCCTTGTCCGAGCAGATTATCAGCGACGCCCTGCAGCCGAGCCAGCTCTGTTTTCAAAGGAATCACATCGAATCTGACCGGGCTGTTGGTCGCCTGCTGTACGCCACTCGCCCTGCTGCCGTGGACGCAGCTCTCGACGTGCTGGATCAGACTTTGCAGCTGCTTCAGCGACGCAACCTCCAGCGCAGTCTCGCCCACGCCGTTTTCGATCAGCACACTCTGCGGCGCGGCATCTAACAGCAGCCTCGTCTTTTCCGCACGACTCTGTCGGACAGCGGAGTGCAGGGGCGTTCCCATCGACGTCGCGTGCGAGTACCAGTTCTGGAGCCGAGGAAAACTCGAGCAGCGCTTTGACGCATTTGGAGGATGCGGTCTTGGCTGCAATGTGGAGGGGCTGGTTCCAGTCAATACAACGAGACAAGGCAGAGCGAATGGAACACACTGTATTGAGCCGACCATGCGACGGCTGAGCCAACAAGGTCGTCACCATGTCCCGCGGCAGTTTCTCAAGTAGATGCACGAGCAGCTTGTCGTTGTCCTTGTTCACAACGTGGTGGAAGATATTCCAGCTAGCGCGAAACATGAGTGGTGAATCCGGACCATGGGAACGATGCAACTGACCGCCGGACACTATCTTTCTCAACGGCCGTCACACCTTTGGCCAGCAGGAAATCAATCATCTCGGGCTTGCAGTCCAACTGCACAGCGAGAGACAGCAAATCCATGCCAAAGAACCGGAGTCTGCGATGAAACTCGCATCAGCATGCCAGACTGAGTCCTACCGATCTACTCACCGCTGGCGCAAACTCTCTTTCATCAGAACCGGGCTCATCTTGAACAACGACTTGAGGATGTCCAACTCGCTATTCAGCAGCGCCGGCACGATCGGGCTCTCGCCCATGCTCGTGATGGTCCACCCAGCCAGACCGGCAGCATCTCCTCGAGCTTCGCCGCCCCAATGCGCTTGAGCTTCACCGCGAGCTCGGTTCCACCCGTGGCAGCGTAGTACCGGTATGCCTCCAGCGGACGCTGGCTGAAAAGATATTCGACGGTCCTCGTCTTGCCCGACTGGATGGCCAGCCACAGCAAAGGTACACCAGCGCGACTGTCGCTGCCGCTCCCGTCTGCATCCGGGTCGTTGCGTTTCGCCAGGTCAGCGCGCTTCTTGCCATGCACATTGAGACCCAGATAGATCCGGTTCTTGTCGTTCACAGCAGGGACGTCTTCCTCCTCAGCCTCTGCCAGCTTATCCCGATGAGCCATCAAAGCATGCTCGATGCCCCTTCCGGTCCTCCGCATCAGCTCGTCGAGCATCTCAACGCGGTCCTGCCCGATGACAAGCGCCATCAGATGTATCGGCAGCTCCGCTGGTTGGACAGGGCAATGTTTGTACAGCCTCAGCAGCTGGATGAACGAGTCAGGTCGTTTTCGTCGATGGCCTCTGAAAAAGGATCACGGTTGCCCGAGTTAATCAGTTCCGTAGGATGGACTTTGCAGCGGATCGGGGAGGCCCGGTTGGCAATGTCGATAAAGTTGATTGTGTCCTGCTCGATAGTATCGTCCGATGCATCCGACTCGTTGTCCGAATCATCCGAGTCATCTGTGTGTTTCAATCCGGTCAGCGAACGCAACATCCGAAACCGCGAAGCGACCCACCGATGTCCATGCCCGATGTGCTGAACCTTGCTTTAGCTTCGTTTGGCTTGTACTGCGCTGCAGCGATCGCCATCAGCAGCCTCGCTGTCTCCCATTTGCGTCCCGCGATTGCAGCGTACACCGGTGTCAACCCCGTGCGAATGTACCGATTGCTGCCGTCAGCCACAAACACCGCCACCTGGAGGAGCGACTTTCCCACGGCGGGATCAGGCTTGGAGCACAGCGCCTCGATCTTGCGGTTGTCGCCCCCGAAAGCAGCCTCAAAGAGCTCGTCGTACAGCGTTTCCTGGAATGCAGGCACCGGCGAGGTACCCCACAGATCGGTCATCAAGAGATAACGCGACTGCTTCTCGTCGACCGTCATGCCATGCTTCAGCAACTTCCGTTGTCTCCTCTCCTGGGCCGACGTCGCGCCAGAGCCCAGAGCCTCCCCCGCAGTGCTGACCAGATCGGGATACACCTCGGCCCAGGTCTTGGCGTTTCGCTCGATTAGGAACGACGCCATGTCCTGGTAGTACCCTTTAGCGTCAACCCATTCCAGTCGCGTTCTCTCCTGCCACGGAACATCGGTCCTGCCAGCCGCCAGTTTCGCAGCCTTGACCTTTTGGTTATAGCTGTCCTTCACCAGGAACTCAGCCCATCCTTGTCTGGCTGCGTCTTCTTCGGCAAGATCGGCGTCGCTCGAAAGCTGACGTTCCATGTCAGCGATATTCACGTCAGCCTGTGTCGCGGCATATTGCAACCACTCCACCACGGTCCGCCGGTCGTCGGGCCGGTCTTTCCCGTATGCGACCGCGACATTGTAGTCGGCACCGAGCTCAACGAGAAGCCGGAACACATCATCGTGCCGGGCCAGAGCGACTTCGAGCGGATTGTTGGCTGATTTATCCGAGACGTACGAGTATCGGCTGTGAGTCGAGTCAGTTCCTGCGTTCAATGACCCAAGACTGAGCTCACCTGACAGAAAACGCCCTGTGCAAGACCTCCTCCTCGGGAACCATCTTGGCTGCATATGCAACCAGAACGGTCACGACGGCATAATAGCCCTTGGAGACGGCAGTCACGAGCGGCACAGTCGCCCCGGAATATCCGACAGTCGGATAATCCAGTGCTGCGCTCTTCGCATTGGGATCGCACCGCAGGAAGGTGGCAACGAGATTCGGCCGGTTCGCAGCAACCGCTCGGTGGAAGATCGTCCAGCCGTCGGGATCAGCCGCAGAACAAGACGCGCCGGCCTTGATCAGCGCTTCGGCGATAGCGCACACCTGCGCAGACTCAAGCGGAATGATCGTGAGACTCAGCGGCAGATCGGCCAGCGACTGGCCTCCGTGTCGGTTCTTGGCCTGCGACACGAAATTGATGTCCGCGCCCGCTTTGAGGAGCTCATCGACAGCCTCGAGCGATCCTGCGACGATGCCGTGACCCAGCGGAGTATAGCCGAGGTCCCAATCGGGGACATCGATTTCGAACACATCGGGCTCGTCCGTCACGTCGTCGGGAAGATCAGCTGTGCCAGTTTCGGTGGCGAGTTTCTCTTTGGCAGAAGCCGCTTCATCCTCTTCCCCCGAGACTGGTTCATCTTCATCTTCCATGTCCACATCGTCTTCATCTTCCATGCTTACATCGTCTTCTTCCGAGCTCCAGTCATCCTCAGATGACATCCTCTGCTTCTCCGCCCCAGAGGCAGCTTCAGTTGCGTCTTTGTCCTCGCCGGCTTTGCTCGGGACCTGCTTCGCGTTTTCATGGCTGCGCTCGAGCAGCTTCCTCAACACCTCCACCAATCCGAACTGCGCCGCAAGATGCAACGATGTGCGCCCATCAACCAGCCGGGCGGTCATCCTCGCTCCGGCATCGATAAGATCACACGCAACTCGCGTTTGCTTGCACATGATAGCAAATTGCAACGGAGAACGTCCAACATGGTCTCGGCGCTGGACATCGTACGCTTCGTCCGCAAGCATCTTCTGGACCAGAACCTGATCCCCACGAGCGATGGCTCCGAAGAAGCGCTCGGTCGGACCGATGTAGACTTGGGCACTCCACTCGCCGACATCGATTGGGTTGAAGCTCCCAGAGAGCGTCTGCCGGCCAGGGTCTTCTTTGATAAACGCAATGCGGCCTCGGATGTAGTTGGCATCCTCCTCGGCTTGCAACGCGCGCTCGTCCGCATCGATGGGCTCAGGACAGTGCTGTAATTTGCGGTTAGACTAGACCAAAAGGAAGACGAAACCACGCACCTCGCAGCAATCCTCCATGCATTCTTCGATGGTCCCAAAGTAGGCTGGATGACGGTGCAGTCTGCGACCCTTGTTCTTGGGATTGAACGTAGCTGTCAACTCGTTAATATCTCGATCTCCGTAAATCTATGCACGCACAATTCATGCCTAGATCCTACAAAACGTTAGCACAATGAAAAAGACACAAGTTGAGACTTGCAGTTTGGTACACCAACTTGTCGATCCTCCTCGCATCCCAACCCGGTCCGTACGGGATGTGCAGCGACGCCACATCGTAGTCGTTCATCTCCATCCCTACGAGCGACGAGTCCTGCTTCAGATCACCCTTGAATTTGCGCTTCATGCGGCGACTGTACGCGGAGTTCGCATTCGGCCGGCCCCGCAACGTCCTCCTCGCCTGCAGGAACGCATCGCGCGACTCGACGCTCGTCAATTTCTCGAGCACCAGCAGCCGCGCGAGCCCCGTCACACGCACAATCGAGCGTTCGAAGATCGTCGGGTCGATGTCCTCGCGCGACAAGCTCGGAATGGACACCTCGAACCCGCGCGCAGCGTACTTCGCCAGCCGCACTTCGTATGACGGCGAGCGCCGGGTCATATCGACGGTGTTGCATTGCCGCATGGAGGCCACGATGGCACGGGGGTTTGCAAGGACGCGGGTCCCATCATACAGACAACACGGCGCGTCGATGTCGAAGCCTGCGAGGATCTCGGCTGGGCTGGAATACAGTCGCAGCACAATCTGCACGGAACGGTACGGGTACTGAGCTGGAGACTTCGTTAGATAGAACTTGAATGTTCCTGGAAGCGAGGTACTGACAGTGGATCGAGATGGTGTGTTTCGTACGGACACAGGTGACATCCCACGGAACTGAATCGCGTACGGCTTCGTATATTTGCACGATCTTCTTCTCAGCCTGCGCACACACACAAACTCTGAGCCAAGATCAAACACAACGAGGCGGAAAGCACGCACCTGCTCAGTGGTCAACCCCCACAAGAAAAGATCCACATCTGACGTCGGGTACGCAGCAGAGTGGAAGTACTTGCGCATGGCGCGCTTCGACACCCCGCGCTCTCTGGCAGGGGCGCCAGACACGCGAGCACCGACCCGCCCGCCGCGACGACGTTGTTCCAGTCCACAAGCTGCGACAGCGAACCCTCGCTGAAAACGCCCCAGTTCTTCCTGAACGCCTCCAGGTCAGCAACCATACTCGGCGCACCGTCCGCACGGCGCTGGGCGTCCGCCAACGGCATCGCGTAGCGCGCGCTTAGATCGGAAGGCGACGAGACGATGCGCGCGCGCGTCGTGCGCAGCGCGGCTGGCGCGGCGAAAACGTCCACGAGCCCGACGTAAGGATCGTACAAACGTGCGTGGGCCTTGTCCGTGGCGAACAGACGCCGCAGTGCGCTCTCGTCATCGATGGAGGGCCGGAGTGCCTCGTCGAGGCGAGCGCTGCCGGGGGGGAGGGAGAGTACGCGCTGAATAAAGGCTTCAGCCTCGGGGGTTTGGGGAGGTGTTTCTGAGACCATCGTGGCGCTGGTCAGAAGCCGGCTGGCAGGCACTAGCTATATAGGAGACCCAGCAATTGGGGGTGATGGCCTGGCCTGCATTCTGATCGTACACGAGTCAAGGCATGGAGAATCATGGCCGGCATCCATGACGGTTATCAGTGACTTGACGATGTTCTGACTTGAAATCCAAGTTTCAATGTCGACGCGTGTGAAGTGACAGTGGGAGCGCGATCACGTGATAAACACAAGGCATTGACGCGACCCTGGAGTGTGCCGAGGACTGCGGTCATTTCGGACACCTTGGTGTACTTGATGATCGTCAGGAACATTCGAGTTCCCTGCCGAGCTTGAAAGTACTGAGATCATATCTGTGCCTTGACTTCAACACACACTCGTTGTCTAGATATAAAATCCATTGCTACAACACACAAATCGCATTCAATCATTCGTTTATATTCCCTTATTTACATAAATAACATGCTTCCAGCAAAGATTCAATTCACCCTGAGCTGAAACGCAGGCTCACCCTCATCCAAAGCCTGCCTCAAAGCCCCGATAAGCAAGAACTCGGACGTAAAACACAGTCCGCCTTCTTGGCGATCGGCCGCCACAGCGTAGCATCCTCTGGACACGAGATCAAATATCGGTCTGCGCGGTTTTCGAATGTGCGCAGGGATGGATGGCTGGTGTTTTCCTGCAGAAGGGAGTGAATGAGAATCTCGCGATGAGGAAGTGTAGCCGTCTAGGACGAACCATGCTGCCCCCATTCGCCTCCACGACATTCTTAAGCATCTCGCGAGAAGTCTTGATCGATGGGGTGATGTAGAAAGTCTTGTTCTTGAACAGAGTGCCTTTCAGAACCCTCGCGCGCGCTAAAGCATCCGACAGGTCGAAGGCGTACTTCTCGTGGCCAGCTGGGTCGTCAATGATATAATTGTTCTCCGCTGTGCACCAAAGTAAGTATGGGTGAACTGAAGGAATCCGGTAGAAGCATTGCTCACGGAGTAGTGCACCTCGGGCAGCCGAATCCACAGCCCACTCCTTCCGCAGCAGAAGGCTCCGCCGGCTAATGCACACAGAAACTTCTCTGTCCGGACTATGCCTGGCACGACAAGGTGCGTGCAATCCTGCACCTTGTCGGTCGCTTTCACGCCCATTTTCGCCAGTACCTGTCGTCGACTGATAAGAATAATGCAGAGCAACATACGAGGACCAAACACACCGAGAAAACCCTATCATCAAGCTCAACGAGAGTCGTCATGAGCCTGATCGACCTCCTGCTCAATCATGAGAAATCATGCAGGCATCAACAGATCAGACCCTACGTTTCACGACGCTTGCCTTTGCTCACGGTCGCACTGGAAACGTCGTCGTCGTCATCGTCCGAGAGCGGAGCAGAGTCTTCGGTTTTGCGTCTCTTCGGTTTCGGCGGCCTAAGTTCCGTATCCTCGATATCAAAGCCAGGCCCCAAACTTCTCCTCCCCCTTCGATTTCGCATTTCTTGCTGGTACTTATTCATATCGGGCATGATAGTCTCATGTAACACCTGGTTGGCCTTCGTCGCAGCCATGCGTTTGGGACGGCTTTCAAAGGAAACGTCGGCCTCGGGCTCATCCTCTTCATGAGCAAGTGACCGTGGAGGCACCGAAACCGACTCGTTGCTCGCAGCCTGCACCGTTCTTCTCGTCAACAGAGACGCATGAGTCGGAACGACCACCGAGAAACGTGGGCCATCTTTCTGCGGCGTCAGCGGAGAGGAGAACGGTGACGGCTGGAGCCGCGGCGGTGGCGTCGGCGTTCGTTCAGACTCAGACGGAAGTTTACTGGAGGAGGCCACAGGCTGCCCAGTGACTCGACGAACAAGCTTCTTCTTGGGAGGCAATGCTTCCTTCGGCTGCTCTGCGTCTGACGGAGATGGGGATCGTTTTCGTCGGACCCTCCCAGGTGTCCTCGGCTGTTCTTTCTCTTGCTTTCTGGGCGACGACCGATCCAAGCCTACAGTGGGGGTCTTCGGAATATTGTCCCGTTCCGAGTCCGACGACGGAGGAAGCGCGCGAATTCGTTTGATTTTAGACGAGAAAGGCGTGGCAGCCCGGGATTGAGACCGTCGGGGCGTCGAAGGTCCCGCAGACGTTGTTGGTGGATCTTGGTCGTTTTCGTCCCCAGAAACACCAGTCATGGCGACATCCGCATCCGACTCTGCCATCAGTCCACCAAGGACCTCATTCTCGTCTGCACTATTCTGGGACGTGGCCATCTCCGCTTTCTTCTCCTTGGCTTCTTCACTTGCAATGATGCTGCGCAGCGTTTCCTCCACCATTCCCCGGTCACCAGTGATGCTGGGGAGATCGACGCCCTGGGGGTGGGAGATGTATTTCGAGAGCGCGGGTGTCAGATTCTTCCATTGGAAGAAGCAGTCCTCGAGCCACAACTGGTTGACAATCGGAATCGACCATTCAGCTGCCTTGTCTGTCTTGCCGCCCTTGACACTTGCGAATTCATCATTTCAGTATCATTGATGACTGATGAAGTCAAAAACATACTATGCAGCGACTAGGGCGGTGTTCTTAGACCCAAATGTAGGTGTGAACTCACCCCCCATCATCGTGATCAGCTTTTTGAGATAGTCCCGAATCTCCCCAGTGTAGTTGGTAATAGAGATTGACTGAGTCGCCATTGTAAGAACAAGCAAAAAAGGCATGGGATGACATACATGAGTCTGGAAACCTGGTACTTTTCCAGGTGGACACGGGAAGTGCAACAGTTGATCCATGGGCGAAGAATAGACTCCAGTCAATCCAACGTTCAGCAACCAGGCCAGGGTCCCGACTGTCTTCCCCTTGCGAAATGCCTGCGTTATTCTTGAGATCAGGGTTCAAGAGGAATGGCCGAAACAATATAGCCCACCTCAAAGAACGGCCGACCAACCCGATGCCGCGTAATCAGGATATCAGCTCTGTTTTCCCTGATCAATTGCAGCTCTTCCCGAGTGTGGCCAACCCCATTGTTTGCGGCCAACTTCACGACGACGCCCCCGCCTCGGACAACGGCGTCGCGCACCATCTGCAGCTTCTTCGCAGCCAGCTCCAAACTCGGACTGAGCAGGATCCTGTTCCCCGTCCACACGTTGCTCGCCGTCTGCACAATCTGCGCAGGCGGACCCGTCGCGTCTTCCCACACCGCCGTCCTGAACATCGCCTTCTTCTGCGGGCTCATCGACTTGCGCTGCGAGGCGGGCGTGTTCTCCGAGTCGTCTTTGCGCAGGCACGGCGGGTCTGGCCACTGGTACCGCACGGTGGCGAGGTCGCGCTGGCCAAGGGTCACGCTGTCGTCGAACCAGGCGGGGAGTAGGACTTTCACGTGGTTCTCGAGCGCCATGGAATACACAGACGACCGGTCGTCGTCCTTGTTCATGGCGAAGACGTGGGTCACATCTCGCATGAGGCCCACGCGCCATTGTCCTCCTAGAGCAACGATCCCGGCGGTCATGATCTCCACGTCGTTGTCGCGGAGCTGCGCACGGCATGGTGAGATCGAAAGGAGGGTGCTTTTCAAAGCTCCACTCACATCTGCTGAAGACGCGATGACTCCGGAGAATATCATGGCCGGATCCGCCGAGTAGTGTTCAGGTCTGTAGAAACGAGTCAGTCCGATGCGAACGCCGAGGAGAGGACCATACTTTTGCGGCTTCTTCAAAGCGATTGTCCGATCCACCCATAAGTCCTGTAACGCGTCAGGCAGCACCAAGGCGTATCTCAACACACTCACAGTAACAATGCTAACCGCATTCCTGTCCACGTCCTGGCGCCCCTCGAAAGACATCGTGTTCGTTACGATCAGTGAAGCGTCGTAGACCGAAACAGCGCGCGTCCCCCCATACCGCTGCAGCGCTCGCTCGAGGGAGCTCTTCCTTGCAGTTGGATACGACTCGGTTATATGGAAGCTGACGCCTTCGAACAGCGGAGGGTCCATCGGATCGAGCGCAGGGCCAATCTGAGTGAGTGTTTGGTGTTGACGACAGAGGATGTTTAGGATTCCCGTGATCTGTGACAAGCGCGTCGCGATCATGACCACACATCATGTACCGCTTTGGAAGCAGAATACATATTCTTGGGGATGATAGTATTCATACAGCGAAAACATAAAGGCAAGGAATTTAGACACGGTTGGTTCGTACATGGGCTTATGGTCGCTGATGTAAAATATACAACTGAATGATGATCTCCTCAATCCTGTTGATTTACATTTAGTGAGGACTCAATAACATCAATAGAAACTACACACCGTCCTTTGACGAGAAATGTGATACCCTGACTGATAAACCCTTTGATAACCTGCATTTCCATTCCTTGGTACCACCCGGGCACTCCCTGTCCGCTGTACGCGTCGCGCAGAACCGAAGTCAGCGACGTCGCGTCCGTAGCTTGGAGTCGAGTCTTGGCGAGCATCAAAGGGTACAAAAGACTTGATGCTAGAGTACGACGAGTTTGGACCTTACGGTAACAGACGATCAATATATTGTTGACACACCTATTGAATTGGACACCGCGGCTCCCAGGAAAGCCTGAGCGGGTGAAGGATTGGTGCCCGCAGAATGTGATACACGCTTCCAAAGCATCCTTCGATACAATTGGAAGAGAGCAAGGGTAAGCGCAGGATTTAAAGAGAGCAGAATAGTTGTTTTGAACCCTGAAACTTGTAAATGAATGAAGTATTCCATTGCGCACGATAGTCGGACCTCGCCAAAACCCGGCCACTCCATCTGACTTGTAGATTTGTTTCATAATGTCTGACGCATTAGGAGTCGGGTGTTCGTCGTCTTCACTCTTCCTCTCAGACTGTAGCTTGGAAGTGATGACGCTCAACGGCGTCGAAACGGCCCTCGATGCAACTCCAGCGACGAAACCCATCAAAACTTCCTCGAGCAGTGGTGGTGGCTTGTGCGTTCCTGCATGCTTGAGGAACAACCGCCGTCGGGTGCTCAAGTAGCGCAGAAAGGCATAGAAGTAGAAGTAGAAGAAACTGATCCATGTGCATGATCAGTCGATGGCCGGAGACGGGACGCCTGTGACTCACTTCGAGATGAGGGTAGCTGCGGTGTCGGTTCCGAGGCCACTGTACAGCTCTTTCGCTCCATACTTTCTGACAATGCTGCTAATGATACGAATAGCAGCGCGGAGACCCCCACGAGCTCCGATCGATGTTTGTCCTATTGGTAGTGGTCTTGACTTCCCGTCCTTGCGCGACCTGGATTCGAGTTGCAGGCGAGTAGTGACGAGATCGAGAGGGTATACAAGTGCGTTGGCTGAGGAGCTGCCTAGGGCGCCCGAGAATGCTTGGACGAGAGGCGGGAGGGTACTGGTCATGGTGGAGAGAATAGGAACGGTAGTTTGTGTCACCGATGGTGTTAATGACCTCGCGTGACGTCAGTGATGTCGCGGTCACCTGATGGGAAAGTTAAGCGGACAAGAGATGCCAAGTCATAATCACGCAAGTATGTTGCTGGCCCTAAGACTCATACCGTAGACCCACTCGCTATCCTACCGCGACGGTCGAACACCGTTTGTGCCGAAATGATTGCATTTGATCCGATGGCGCTGCTACAATCAATCTTAGCTCGTGACTGAATTTGTCTTCCCGCTCCGAGTCCCAATCAATGCAGGTCGTCGATCTTTCTCATCCTCTCAAACCTGGAATGCAGGTGTATCCAGGAGATCCTGAATTCGCCGTGTCTAGTGTTGCTGCTATCGAGAAAGACGGCTACGCAGTCTGTGCTTTATCCCTCGGCTCCCACACCGGCACACACGTCGATGCTCCAGCCCATTTTTTCGCCGACGGCCTCACCATCGAGCAAATCCCGATCGGAATGTTCATCGGCCCCGCGTTGGTCGTCGATCTAACTCACAAAGCGGCGCGCGAAGAGATCAAGTGGGAGGATCTTGTTCAATATGCTCCGCGGATGAAGCAGGGGACGTTGTTGCTCCTTCGCACGGGCTGGTCACGGCATTGGGGCACACCCGAGTACTTTGATCATCCCTACCTGTCGCACGCTGCAGCAGAGAAAGTGATCGAATGCGGTGTGCGTCTCATTGGCGTGGATAGCTTGAATCCTGACGAGACCCGTTCCGACGACACGGGCGTTTTCGGAGTGCATGAGGTTGTCCTCGGCGCTGGAGGAATCATTGCTGAGAATCTGACGAACCTGGAGCTTCTGCAGGACGGAGACTACGTAGTACATTTGGTACCACTCAGCATCAGCGCGAGTGACGGGTCTCCCGTTCGTGCATTCGCAACAAAAGTGACATGAATACAAGCATCCTAAACTGCAGCATCATCGTCTTTCTTTTTGCGTTTTCGCCGTTTCTTGCCGGCTTCAGTGGGCGCTTCTTCCTCGACACCCTCTTCGTCTCTTTTCCGCTTGCCCTGAGAGACCTCGTGCGTGTCCTCCGTCGCAGCAGCTGCGGCCTCCTTCTCTCGCAATCGCTCCTTTTTGCCTTTTCGCTTCTTCACAGGTCCATTGGGAGCGTCTCCGTGTCCGTGCTCGACCCATCCGGTGCGCTCTTTGATTTTGGACTTGAGAGTCTGAAGCTTCTCGCCTCTGTTTGCGTCCCAGCCGTCGCCTTTGCGGTAAGGAGCGAGCTTCTTCATGCCCATGTACTCATTCAGTTCCGCGTCCTTGGCCATGAGGATGTCGGTGGCCGAAAGTGCGTAGTTCTGCGGGGCAACGGTCGTGTAGTGGAATCGTGTGGGCATGCCACCGACCTACAGGAATCGTTGAAAAAGAAATGTCATGCATGGAGGCGTGGCGACTCACAATGTCGTTGAAATCCATCGTATCGATCTCATCCATCCATTCTTTCAGTTTTCGTTTTCGCATCTCCTCAGTGCCGTCCCATTCTTCGTCATCCACCTCTTGGAGAGCGGCCGCATCGGCGTCCATGGCATCCACATCCACGCCGCCTTCTTCCTCTGCATCCTTTTTCTTCTTTTCTTCTTCTTCTCTTTCTTTGTCGGCGCCGGGTCGTACGAGGGGTCCACGTAGATATCACCGATATCTACGTCGTCGTCCCAAATGGGTTTCTCATGACTATCATCGTCTTCCTCGCCGTTGAGCCCATAGAGATTCGACATGTGTTTCTCGTGAGCCTCAGGGTCCCAGGGAGCGTCCAAATCAATTCCCAATTCGGCCAATGCTGTCAAGAGTCAATAGAGTGACAAATTCCATATAGCAGCTGGACGCACATTCAACCTCGCCAGTGTTGACACCAGCCCGCTCTAGCCGACTGCGGATCTCCTTCATCTTGAGACCCTTCATCCGTCGCACATCCTCCTTCCTCTTAGCCAATTCTTCCTCCTTGCGCTGCTTCCGGCGCTCTCGAGCGTCCTTTCGCGTCGTGTCCTCCCGTCGCACTGTCGAGGTAAGATTGCGAGGATATGCCTTGATGTCTGCTCCATCCCTGCATTGCAATGAGTTGGTCAATGAACAAAAGGTGAATGAGAACGGCGTACGGTTCCTCGAAGCGGAAGTTGTACGAGCTCTCGAAGCGATCGATGATATCATCGAAGATTTCCTCCTCCTCTGCTTCGTCAGGTTCAGAGCCAGCCGCTTCAGCCTCTTGAGCGGGGTGCTCTGGCTCCTTGACTGCTTTCGATTTCCCCTTCTTGGAGAGCCCGGTGATCTCGTTGTACGTCGGCAATCGCTTGGCAGAACGGTCGATCCATCCGCGGTTGAGGATGTAGCTGCATGATTAAGCCTCATAAACATGGAAGGTTGGCAAAAACGCACTTGACAAGGAATTCCTGGTCCGCTGCTTGCTTGTCCTGTGCAGTCTTGCTGGATCCCTCTTGCAAATCCTCCGCTCGGACCTTTTTCTTTTTCTTCTTTTTCTTTTTATCCTTTTTCCCACTCGTCTCTTCATCCGTGTCCTCAGGCACCTCGACGACTGCCGTCTCCCCGGCTACGTCGATCAAGTCACGAAGATTCCCAGCTTCAGTCTCGAGGAACTGCCGGTATTCCTCTTCTTCTCGCTCAATCTCATCCATAGACTTCTGACGCGGCACCAACCAGTCGTCGTTATCGTCCGCATCGTTCTCCCCTATCTTGTCCAGGGCGCCGAATGCAGCAATGGTTTCGTCGCGTAGGCGGCGCTGCTCCTCGACGTGAGTCACTGGCTGCTCTGCTTCTGGCGACGGAGATCGCGAGTTGAGTGCGTTTTGGAGGTTCACTTCCCGTATGGTCAGAGGTTTTCCCTGTGGGCAGGCTTAGCTTGTGTCATGTCAACGTACGAGCAAACACACCTCCTTGGGCTGTTTGGCCCGAGTCCCCGGCCGGGACAGGGAGGTTAGAGCAGATTTGGACGTATGTTCCTGCTCCTCTGCTCCCATTCAACATGTGCTTTGTAAATCCATACACTCGCACGCACCATCGAATATCTTCTTGTCAGACTGGTAGATGGCGGGGTCTTTAGACTTGATGCGGGCGAGAGTGCGCAAGATAGCCGCATCCATGGCAGGCGTGAGCTCATCTCCGTCCGAGTCCTCCGATTCCAAGTCTTCCGAGTCCGTCTCCTCTTCGTCATCTGAGCCCGCATCCGAGCCGTACGTCTCTTTCACTGAACGAACGCGTCAATCAGTTTCCCCCGCACGGTTAAGCACGAGTCGCGGCGCACATCGCTGAAACTCCTCCCGCTCCTTCCGGTACTCGAAGGCTTTGGCGTAGTGTTCGTTGATCGTGAGCTGATTTAGATCCTTCTCCCCGTCATTGTCAGACTCGGAATCCGTGAGCATGGTCGCGTAAGGTCTCTCGCAGTCAGTGCCGGCTCGTCTTTGTCCCAAATTATTCTGCAGTAAGATTTCTCCTTCTCTTCAAAGGGTCGCCAGGCAGGAATCGCGAAGCCCTAGCTGCGGGTCAGGGATGGCTACGGTGGACCAAGAAATTTTGGAAAGCATGTGATCAGATCTGCGGTCACGAGACCAGTGTAGCTTCTCGCCGTGCTTGAACTGAAGCGCCTGATGATGAGGGGAACTAGGTCTTGCCACCCACCTTCGATTCCGAACGCACCATGGTTCGATACTATCAACTTGGGGGCCACTACCCCCATGCAGCAGTCGCGTACTACTCCCCCTTCTCCTCTGTTAAATCTGTAGCTTACTGTGCTTCAGCCCACGCGGGGGAAATTGGAATTCTAGTCTGGATCAGCTGGTGTACGAACCCTTGAAAACGATAGCAAATCTGCCAGCAACGAGCTCTCTCATTTTGACCCTTGGTAACAACCCAGCCACTTATCCGTTGTTCTGCATCTTGTCCTGACCTGCCGTCGAGGCATCAAGCCTTCGGGTTCCAGCCATATCCTTTTGACTGAAGAGCAATTCGACCGACTGTGGGGATGTCAGCTGGACTCTGTCAACTTCCGTAGAATCTCGAGCGCTGTCAGCGATTTCGAATCTCTGTCGCTTATCTGCTTCCGAGACCGATCGTCGCTGGAAGCCAAGCTTCGCGGCCTCACGCCCAAATCGAACACGAACAGAGACACATCGCCTCTCAATAAGAATTATCAAGACTTGCATTGCACCGATGGACATGGAAGGGGTATCTTCGAAAATGCGAGGTGAGCCCTCGGATGCAGTGTTCCTGCAAATCTAAGCACATCGTAGGGTTCTCTATCGACTCTTGAACGGACTCGATTCTGGCCTATCTCAAACGCTCGCATTGGGTTCTACTAGTTGGACATCATCCGTCCAAGTCATCGTCTTCGCATTCAGCCTTTGGCTCGGCGATGAACGTTCTCTCGCAGACCGACAGGCCAGTCCCAAGATCTTGGATGTGGCCTGGGGCGAAGTAGAGATCCCTACTCTGGACAAAGTGAACGACTTGCAGGATATCATCGTCGCAGACAATAAGGGGCATAATAACACTAAATTTCATCTCTTCCAGTCGGAGGACTCGGGTCTAGGGCGGTAAGCTCGACACTATCTCACGGGGTATTGCGCTCATAACGGTGCCAGACACTGCAATCCAGCGGGAAAACGGAGACTATGAGCATCGCCGCCCTCAAAGCAAGGCTGCAAGATTACTTTCAGCCATTCCAGAGCGCTCGATCTCAGCGACCTGCAGTCATGCTTGTGCAGAACAGCAGACAGACCAAAGACGTGCTCAAATTTCTCGGTGTACAAACAGAAAACTGGAGCGAGAACATCGGGGACTTGCTTCGAGAGGCGAGCCGAATCACGACTTCTTAAACTTATTCTCACTAATAACCAACGTGAGTAGCGTCACTCACGTGAGAGATCTGCTTCTCCTCGAGGCCGATCCCGCGGGCGACGACAGAGCGCATCGCTTCCTCGGCAGTACGCGCCCATGTACCTGGTCGAGGTTCTGGCTCTCGCTAGACTCGCGATCCGCTCGCAAGATCACATGCCCAGCCTTCTGAAGCCTGCTCAAGAACTCGGAATTCCTGACGTCCCTGCCGGATGGTGCTCAGGGAATGATTGTTGGTATGTCGCGAGCAGAACCATGCGGCTCCAGGACTCAATGGTCTATGCAGCACTTTACTTCGCATCTTTGCTTTGATAGTCAAGAACCCTGAAACCATCGACGACCAGAAGTATCAGAAACTGCAGACCCCAGCCGAAGATGAAGGGGGCGATAATGATGTCCTGTACGGCAATGAGGAAGAGGAGTCTGATTACGGCTCCGAATAAGATTTAAATCAATGTATCAGACGGGCTTTGTGAGCTCTGTCGCCATATCTTTGTAGCTTGAAACTGGCAGCGGCACGCACCAGGTGTTGATTGACCGCTGTCTCGCCCTTCGGGGAGGAGGAAGATAATAAGGTCACGGGACTAGACCCGATAAGGCCGATAACGCGGAGTGAGATGCGACATCGACCATCGGAACGCCTCCTACTATAAAACGTCAATCGAGTCTCGTCTATAAACACTTCCTTATCGCAACATGGCCGGTGTGCACCCTCTCGACCCTCTGACGCCCGACGAAACCACTGCCGTCTGTTTGGCGGTCCGTAAGCACATCGCGACGGCCACCGACGTCAAGGCCATCAAGTTCATAACATGTTACCTCCTCCCACCACCGAAGAAAGCCGTGCTCGCGTTTCTCGGCGTCCCACTCGCCCCAGGCGCGAAACCGGAGGATCCAGTCCCGATCACGAGAAAGGCCGAGGTTGATGTGTGTTATCCCCGCTGATCTCCCGCCGTGCAGTTGGCTCATTGTACAGATCGTCGATGTCGTGAACGGTCGCGCGTATAATGTGATCTTGTCTCTCGAAGAAAGCGGATGGAAGGTGCACACTTTCGAGTTGCTACACGAGGAGATTCACCCCCAGATCACCGTGGAAGAACTGGTGAACTGCGAGGAAGTCGTACGGAATGACCCGCTCGTTCAGCAGCTTGCGAAGGATGTCGGTGAGCTGCAGCAAGCCTTCTATATGTTCGTAGCTGATCTGCCGTTCCAGGTGTCCTGCCCGAGCAGATCTTCTGCGAGGGCTGGTCAATTGGTTACGACGACCGCTTCCCCAACACCAGTCGTCTGCAGCAAGGGCTTCTCTTCGCTCGGTTCTCTCAGCATGACAATCTCTACGCGCATCCTCTGGATTTCATCGCGATCTTCGAGTCGAACTTGGAGAAGGTCTTGCACATCGGTCAGCACGCTCACCATCCGCCGGCGTGTTGTCTCTCATTCTCTTAGACATCCCGGGTCACTACAAATCGACGCCGAATGGACCGGCTCTCTCCGTATCCACGACAGAAGCTCCGTCTCTCAACGGCGATAAAGTGTCCGGAAGTCAACGCGATCGCATCCCCCCTCCTCGCAAAGCGTTCGACTTCCTCCCGGATCTTATGGAAGAGACACAGAAGGGCTTCAAGCTGCGCGAGGACGTGAAGCCGCTGCACATCATGCAGCCCGAGGGTGTGAGCTTCAAGCTCACGGGCTCGCAGCTCGAGTGGCAGAACTGGAAGATGCACGTTGCTTTTCATCATCGGGAGGGTATTGCCCTGTCTGCGATCACGTACAACGACCACGGGGAGCTGCGTCCGGTAGTGTATAGGCTCTCCTTGGCAGAGATGGTCGTGCCGTATGGGGCGCCCGAGCATCCCCATGGGCGCAAGTTCGCCTTCGATTCGTAGGTTCCATCGACGCTTCATCTCCGGAGAGCTCATGTCAACTAGCGGCGAATACGGGATGGGTGTGATGGCAAACGAGTTGTCTCTGGGATGTGACTGTCTCGGCCAGATCCATTACTTGGTGAGCACTTGGCCGAAAAGGTCTTCTGACAAGCGACCATTCTTGATCTCTCTCTAGCCTGGGACCTTCGTCAAGCACGACGGGACACCCCATGTCATCAAGAACTGCATCTGTATCCACGAGGAAGACGCCGGCGTTCTCTGGAAGCACACAGATTTCCGTCCCGGAGGCCGATCGCAAACCGTTCGTCGCCGTCGTCTTGTGGTTAGCATGGTCTGCACGCTAGCCAATTATGGTGAGCTCAGCCACCTGGACGTCCTCACTTGGATCTGATTGCACATTCCAGAGTACATCTTCAACTACATGTTCTATCAAGACGGCACGATCGAGCTCGAGATCCGTCTCACGGGTATCCTCCAAGTCTATGTCGCGGCCGATGGCGAGCAGAGCCCCCATGCAACGGTCGTGGCACCGAACATCAACGCGCACTATCACCAGCACATCGTGAGCGTGTTGCCTGGAGCGAGTTCTCGATCAGACTGGCTGACGCGCATGTATCCCAGTTCTCCGTTCGCGTTGACCCGATGGTAGACGGACTGAAGAATTCGGTGGTCGAGACGGACATCATGCCGTCTCCTCACCCCGCAGGATCCGCTGAGAACTTCGCCGGCAACGGATTCATGGCTGTCGATAGCGTGCTGAAGACCGAGACCGCGAGGAATTACCAGCAAGGCCTGGAACGGCGCTGGCGGATCGTGAATCCCGCGCGGCAGCACTACAGCTCGGGCCAGGACGTGGGCTACACTCTCGCGGTCAAAGGGGCCGCGGTGCAGCTCATGACGGCGCCCGATGGCTGGGTCGGGAAGCGCGCCCCGTTCGCCAAGAACGCGATCTGGGTGTGCCGCGACGTCGAAGACGAGAAAGGCAGTCGGATGTGGCCCGCCGGGAAGTACGTCCCCCAGACGAAAGAGGCGCCCGCAGACTCAGTCGGAAGCTGGGTCAAGGGAGAGCAGTCCGTCGAGAATGAAGATATCGTCGTCTACCTGACCGTCGGAGTCACTCACATCCCGCGTCCGGAAGACTGGCCCGTGTAGGTTTTCTCGCCGTTCAATCTGACCGGGTCTGATCTTCTGTTGCAGAATGCCCGTGGAGCACTTGAGCATCGCTCTGAAACCAGTCTCGTTCTTCGAAACGAATCCCAGTATGGATGTCCCAGGAATCAAGGATCCACACAGTGTTCCCGCGTTCGCCGCAAACGAATCTGGTCAGAGCTCGACCACTTGCCATTAGGGGTTCTTGCGATGTGTATATTAGGTCTGCTAAATCTGTACCATTTATATACCAGGAATATTCAATCGTTAGTGTGACAGCAAAACAAACCGAAGCCATGCGATTTCCAGGTGCTATCGAACATCGCAGGTCGCTTCAGTACACTCGGCCACATGAAAGGCGTTCTAGCCATGTTCGCTTGTCTTCTGAGTGGCCGGCAATTCAGCCACAGGGAATACATCAGTCACATTGTGGGCGTCTTCTTCATCCAGGAAGGACCTTCCTTCATCGATATCCCGTCTCATGTGCGGCATGCTGAGGGCCATGACATCGGTGTCTGTTGGCTGACAGTCGAACATAGAGCATGTCACGCAATGAAGGGTTTCTGGTGGGCTTTTTTCGTCCACGAGGCAGAGATTGGGGTTCAGCAGCGCGGTTTCGTCGATGTTTTGTGTGGACAAAGGGAAAGAGTGCCGGATTCAAGGGACTGCGGGCCGACGATTTCGATCAACGATCGATCAACAAGGGAAGACGGGTCGTTTGCCCGCTGGTGGGTCTCTTTCCTACCACATCGATGCGCCTCGCCGCATGTTTCCCTTTGTCTCTTTTGCCATGCTGAAGCTGTAACTTCACACCATCAAAGAGGGTGCTGCTGTTGGTTTGTTCTATGACCAACAGCTTTGCATCAAGAACCCAAGGTCCGGCTATGTTTCTTTCTGCATGTTCGGGACAGAAGAGATAGCTTTTGCATGGGCCAATGAGTCAAGCCAGAGACCTCACTTTTCTACATTACAAAATAAACAGGCAAAGAAGGGGATGTGTCATAATTCAATCATTTGGTTTAATTGTCATGGCATGCTGCCTGAAAATTTGACCCTCAGGGTCATGATTTTTGAGTATCCATAGTATTGGCTGTGGATAAATATATATTCCGATTTTTCTCAGGCAACATCAAATTGATAGGAGACTCGCCTTATTAGCTGCTACAGCATATGGAGTCAGATCTTCTGAAGCTAAAATGGTCTTCCCGAACGTTCTGAATCAGAAGCATGAATGCCGAGTTGAAAACATGTGTGTGATCTGGTGATAGGAGGAAGAAGAAGCAGGGACCCCAATTTCAAGTGTTTAGAAAGGCAAGTGTGACATGAGTGCCTATGATTAAAAAAGGTTGTTTTCTGCAACAGATAGTGTTGTTCAGCTGCATTGTGTGGCTACTGGCAGAGACTAAAGCAAGCTATTGGAGTTGAGGTTGTCTTCCACTTATATGTGACCTAAAATAGCACAATTGTATTTGAGCTGACTTGTTAGTCTCCTCAATTAGGCAGCTGTGACATGATCACATTCATGCTTGCCGTGTATTACGATGATGGTTTGTCAAGTGTCACTTGAAGAACAACGATTGCGAAAATGTGATGGCCACACACGGTGGCGGGAGTCCGACTGGCTCGATCTGGCTCCTAAATCGCAGATTCATGTCGTGGGTCCTAATAAGCGGCGCTGCATCCGCAAAAAGAGTGTTTTACCCTGTTGCAAATCCCCTTCATGGACCATCCAGCGCCCTTGTTCCTAGCCAGCAATCAGCTCAATGCGACTGAAAAAGTCCCCAGGAGGCGCGTGAGACGTAACATCCCAGAAGTCATTGAGATCTTGGAAGGTACGCGCGACGGGCAGACGCGTCAACACGCATCAATAAAAGTGCCGCATCCGAGTCGCGCTCACATGTTTCTCTTCGAATTGCAGCTGCTTACAATGAGAACCCTAATCCCAGCACGCGCGAGTACACTCGAATCTGGGAAAAAATCAAGGTATTCGAACCGCATCGTCTATAGCGGTAGCGCATTGGAGGCTGATTGCGAACGCGAAGGAGGTTAGCCCGGATTATCCTCGTGAAAGCTTGAAGAGATGGTTCAAAAGAATGCGCAAGGATGGCCTGACACTCTGCACTCGACCTCCTGCTCTGGCGTCTGGTCCTTCAGGCTCTACATCTTCATGTTCGTTGCTCTATGAGCAATGGTGACATTTCGCTCAGTGCACTACAGCCTCTTGTCCATCCTTGAACGACAGCGTCCGTGGGTGGCTTGAACACGTCTGGCAATCGACCGCCCCCACAGCCCGCGAGCCCTCGTACGACGTATGGTGCAACTCGCCCATATACCTTGCAGAAGGCGCGACACCGCAAGACATCCGACAGTGGCTCCTGCGACGTGAAACACTCGATCGCCAGGCGGCCGCACGTGCTTTGACCAAGTTGGGACCGGGATCAGCGTCGACGTCGAGATTGGGCCTGGACACGACCGCGCCCATATCGGCGGCGCTTGCCCAGCGCGCGTATCATAGCCCCGCACCCACAGATGTGGTCGGGTCGCCGATGCTCTCGTCTGCTGACCCCGATCTCTGGGCAAAACCCGAATATCCCTTGTCTGGTGGCGACGAAGAAGAAGATGCGAAGGGCATCACGATGATGGACCGCGGCCGGCGTCCCACAGCGTCAGCCGGTCAATCTGAATGCCGACTCCCGACGCCCGCATGCTCACGAAGCACGTCACTCGCACTGGAACCAGAGCCTATGCACTCCCCCGTCATAACGTTCCACGCCGAGCTGCCCGTGGTCCTCATGACAGGCTCTGCGTCAAGCTCCCGTCCTATTCTGCCGACACCGCCAGCGGCCAGCGTCGCTCCCGACCCCCGGGCATCATCACTATCATCGTCGTCCTCATTCCCAGACCCGCCAATGCCACTATCTCCACTGCCTATCGCGCCTGCTAGCACCTCTCAAGGATATACCCCTATTTCTGTTCGCATCCTCCGGGAGCTAAAAACAACGCTCGAGAACGAAGACAGCATGATCATGGAGCCCATACCCATGAATTATGCCGACTTTGCACAGGGCATGGCACCCTACGAAGAGAAGATGATCAGATCGTTGAACCAATTACGAAACCTCTCACAACGAACTGGTATGGTTGGGTTTTCTTGTCTGAGGGTGCAGATCTGAGGATTTACAGCTTGATTGGCCAAACAAACATTACTTTTCTTTTGAGATACAACATAACCCACGATACAGATAGAATAGTTGGTATTGCCTTTGTGACATCCAATACAATTGTAATGCGCCAAGTGGCAAGATATTGACATGTCACACCTTCCAGTCTCTGAAAAACTCTGGCTCGCGCTGCACACAGGCCAACATGTAATCAGCAATGCTTCCCCCATCTTCGTCCTCGACGTCTGCTTGTGCTTCGTGCTCTAGATCTTGGTCTTGTTTCGCCGGATCTGGGTCTTGAGTCACCACATCCTCTTGGTTCCCGAAATCCTCATCATCTTGGCCATCCATCTCGACCTGCTCATGAGCAGCCACCTTCGCCGCATCGGCGTCCTCTTTATCGACGAACTGTTCCATTGCGTAGTTCAACGAGTCGTCAGAAAACAAGGTGCGCCAGTCGAATTCGCCTTTCTGGATCACCAGATTGTCAAGGGTCCGTTTCTGGTTGGCTTTTCGCAGCATGGCTTCTTCGACTGTGTGCTGCGACACAAAACGGTAAATATGGACATCCCGGATCTGGCCGATGCGGTGGGCCCTGTCTTCGCACTGTCGGTCCATCTGAGGATTGAAGTCGCTGTCATAGAACACCACAGTGTCCGCTCCAGTGAGGCTACGATCGGCATCAGGAGAGGTGTTGAGCGAACGATCGAGACAACTGACTTGATTCCCACGCCCCCAGATCGAGAGGAGGCAATAAAACAAAAAATCCTCGGGTCCTTATTGAAGAGTTCTGTGATATATTGCCTATCCTCGATTCGGGTTGAACCATCGAGCCGCAGATACAGATACCCGTGGAAGCTGAGAAACATTTCCAGGATATCGAGAATCTTGGTCATCTGCGTAAACACGAGCACCCGGTGGCCGCCGGCTTTCTTTTCTCGCAAGAGCTGCGCCAGCTTCTGCAGCTTGCCACAATCGTACTGGAGCAACAAGGGATCAGGGAACGCGATCTGCAACTTGACACTCGCACGGTGTAGCAGGTCGATGTCGACATCGTCGCTGATTGGCTGGCCGGCGAGCGCAAAGCGCGGAAGATCTCTGGCAACTGCAGCAGGTGTGATGATTGCAAAGCGGTCAATGACAGTAGCCATCTCCTCCGCTCGCTCCGCATATGACCTCACTGCAGCATATGCAGCGTGGCAAATATCCATATATTCCGCTCGGTGGTCAAGCGCAGAGAGAGGAACTAGTGGTCGGGTCATGGTACTGATGATGGCGAGCGTTTCAGAGCTGTAGATTGGATTGGGCCGGTTGCACCGCACGCTGTTCAAAGAGGCTAGTCGAGACGATCTTGCCAGCTCTGCAGCTCGTCGCTGGTAGATGTGATAGGCACGATATCCAGCTATTGTGCGCAGATCTTTGGCAGGCGGCCTCTCGTCAACACCCGCACATCCAAGCCGTGCAGTCCCATCCAACATTCTGATCTCCTCAGCTGCAATTTGTGAAGTCCCTTGCCGCCCCACGAAGTGGAACCCTAGTGCATCCAAATTGGGTTCCTCCGTGGTTGTCAGCAGCTTCCGTCGAAGCAAGAGCTCTTTGATCTCGAAATCGGAGACGACACTGCGCTCGATGGCGAACGACGTTACAATTGGACGCACTTCGAACAAGTCGGGGTGGTTGCACACTTTTCGTAGCTGCATCAGGATGTTTGCGATCTTCTGGTACACCCCCGACTCAAGGGCGTCTCTGGTTTGAGCCTTGGACATGAATTCGTCGTACAGAAATCGCTGACGCTTCGAGAGGGGGCAGAGGACAAGGTGTTCGTATTTGGAAGGGAGTTCTTTCTCGACATCGCGCTTCAGACGTCGAAGAAGATAGGGCCGCAACACTGTGTGCAGTTTGCTGACTCGCTGTAGCGTTTCTTCATCGAGAATATTTCCTGCTTCAATTGCTCTTTCCAGTGGATCTGCGGGAGGGATCAGCGATCATACCCTTTGAAGCACCTTCAAACGTACTGGAGAAGATATCACCGAACTCTTTGAGGTTTACAAAATCAGAGCCTGACATGAGGAACTGCAGCAACGACCAAAGCTCTGTCAAATTATTCTGCAGAGGGGTTCCTGTAAGCAGCAGTCGCCGGAAAGACCGAAACATGAGCAATGTCGTCCATCGCTGTGATTTGAAGTTCTTAATCATATGAGCTTCATCCAAGATCAAGTAGTACCAGTTCTTCCGCTTGAGAATCGCGGCGTCCCGGCTGGCAAGGGTGTATGATGTGATGCATACATTGAACCGGTGTTTATCGTTCCAGCCTTGTCGCAGCTCTTTGCGTCGTTTGGGAGGGCCGTGGTAGCTGACGATGCGGAAACCAGGTAAGAACTTCTTGAACTCCATCTCCCAATTCAAAAGAACACTTGTGGGGACGATCTAGGCAGCACTTATAAGTGGTCGAGAATCAGGCCAAAGAATTGAACTTACAATGAGATGAGGACCCCAAATTCCTCGATCACAGGCGAGATGCGCGAGCAATGAGATGGTCTGAATAGTCTTCCTGAACGATACTCAGATCCAAAACGCACCGAAGGAATACACTCACCCAAGACCCATTTCATCGGCCAGAATGCCATTCAGATTGTTCGTGTGCAGGCTCGCGAGCCATTCAAGACCAGACTGCTGATACGGACGGAGCAAGCCACGAAGAAGTGATGGCGGCGTCACGTGCTGGGCGGGATCCCAGTGCACAGGAGCAACGGCGTATGGCTGCAGATAGGGAGCGGCGGACGGCAGGGACTCGGCCGGTGGCGTCTTTCCGTGACTAGACATCGATTCGTCAATGTTTGCCCGAGTATCACTTCCGGGTAGTGCTACATCGCTCTGAAGCATGTCGTCATCCGGTACTGCGACATGTTCTGATGAAGTTGGCTCCAAAGATTGGAGTTCGTTTGGCTTGCCGATATCCTCCTCCTCTTCTTCTTCTTGTCGTCTGGGCTCCTCATCTTCCACGTCTGCGATCTGCTCTTGATCTTCGTCCTCGCTCTCATCACTGTCCTCCTCATCCCAAGCAGAGAGACTGACTGACCGACTGCGAGAGTTCCAAGCGTCTCCAGTGCCGCGTGCAAATGCACCTTGTTGCGTCTCCAGAATCTGACCCGATTGATCAAGAATAGCATCGAGATGGTCCTGTCCGCGCCTTAGCTCTTCAGCCTCGAGCTCAATGCGTTCCTGCTCTCGAACATGCTTCCAGAAATCAGCCACTTGCTCTCAACAGCAGCACCAGATACAACTCACGTAGACCGCTTTCTTCCACTCGGCGATCACCAGCTTCATCACAGCTCGCGCCACACCCTTCATCCTCCGTTCCTCCATCGCACGGCCTTTCTCCAGTTTCGACGCTCGAACTTCCCAATAGGACTTGATTTTAGATGCAATTAGGCCCCCGACGATCTCGCCTGCACTTTTCTCGGGCAGATCGCGTGCTTGTACATCTCGAACGACGGCATCCCAAGCATCCACAGGTGGCGACTCATTCTGGCCCTCCTTAGCTTCCTGCTCGAGCCCATCCTGCCCTAGAGCCTGCATCGCGTCGAACAGATCTGTCCCAAGCCAAGCACCGGCACGTTTGATGGCCGCCATCCTCTCCCTCAACACGGCTTCTTCGTGGATAAGTCTCAGGATCTCTGGGTCCAGCAGAGAGAACGTCTTGTCGTTGACGGTCATGTAGCTGCTTAGAAACTTGGTCACCGACCACTCAAAGCGAGGTGCAGGGGGCCGTTGCCGGGGATTTGTTATATATTCCAGGGGAGGCCGACGGACGATGAGTCTTACTCGTTTGACACGAGCCGGGGCAATTAGCTTCGAAGACGCTTTAGTCTGGAGGATTTATCAATATAAGCATATCAAGTCTGAAAGAAAGGTTCTATTTACCTCAGGTCTGTACGCTGCAGCACGATGTGGAAGCATACGCCCCGGAGGAGCACTGATACTCTCGCTGGTTTGCTGTATTTTCAAAGGAGAACTTCCAGCTTGACGAGAACTATCGCCGTCCAACTCTTCTCCACGTTTCCTCCGTTTCCTAGGCGGAACATCCAGATGAGAATTCGGGCTTGGTCGTTTGCGCGACAGTCGGGAGGAGACGAGTACAGGAGTTTCCTTGGCCAGCGTCTTCCGCCGGGTCGTTGCAGATTCAACGTCGCTAGGAGTAGACTTCTGCTTTCCCCGCCTCTTCGATACATCAACACCGTTAAGCTCTACTTGAGCTGAAGAAGGCGGTTTCACTTTGGATTTAGGAGGGAGGGATGCGGAGACCGAGAGCGGAAGGGGTGGCAATGCTCGGGAACGCGTCGCACGTGGTGCGGGCGCAGTGTCGATGGCAGGGACGTGGGTAGCTTTCTTTTTGGGCTGCGAAATGAGGATAAGCCGAAGAAAGGATGGCGAGAAAAAGGTGGTTCACAAAGCGCGATATCTTGAGGACAGACGAGCCTTCTGAATCATGCTTCTCACCGGCAGCAACACTCGGATCCTTCTCCTGGACCTTCTCTGCCTCTGGGACGACATCCACAATCGCCGCGCGCCTGCCACTGGCTTCGGGATCGACCTTCCCGCGCTTCGAAATCTCAGTGCCAGTGGCTGGAACTGAGTCCTTCACGTCCGCATTCATCTCATCCTTTGCGCCAGCATAATTCAGCTGCAACTCCAGCAGCGTTGGCGGCCTAGGGGAGCGACCACTCCGTCTGGGCCCAGTATCCGACTGCTGAGAGGTCGTCGAGGACATCCTGCGTCGTGTACCGCACCGTTTTCACTTGTTTTTGAACGGCCTGACAAAGTGCACGGATGCGAGAGATGCGTTTAGAATGCGATCAGCGTTGGAGCGCGCATGAGCTGGTTGTAGTGGAGTCCAAAATGCTGAAGACATTTTTGGGTCGAACTGATGCAGTGTTTGTTTGACAGCAATGCGCATACACGACTCGATTTGACACTTGACTTGCAGGATGGTTCGCACAGCAAAAACAATAAATAACTGTGTATCGCAGTACTCGCGTGCTGAGAATCAGAATCTTTTATCGTACATACCGCCCATACCGCCATAGCCACCGCGTCCACCGCCCATCATGCCACCGCCAAAGCTGCCTGCACCATACATATTGCGTCGCTTGTATTCGCCATACCCGTAGTATCCACCAGCGCACACGCCAGCGAAAAGGAAGAGTTTGAACAAAAAGCCGAACCAAGAACCTCCTTCGCCGCCGTCAGTCACTCTCCCTTTGCGCGAAAAGAAGCTCGTGCTGGCTTTGTCTCGCTGAGCACTGGGGGCAGAAAGCACGGCCGAATACGATGTCACGGCAATGATGCTGAGGGATAATTAAGAAGGGATGAACGCCATGCCTTGAGCACGCACTCATGGTTGTCAGAGACAGCGCCCGTCAAAGCAGAAAATCCAAGGAACGGAGCAGCAACGAGGTCAACCTTCTCCTTGTGGAAACAATCAGTCCATTCGTCCCCTGATTAAAAAATCAGGTATCAGTCTCTCGAGCAGCAAAGAAGATGACTCACAAGCCCGGTACTGGATTTTGACCTGGACGATAATCAATGAATGCGGTCCCGAACACAGCACGACTCTCTTACATCCAGAAAGCCGTTCTTCACATAGGTGATCTTCAGCTTCGTAGCCACATTGGTCTGTCGGAAGTTGCCCTGGGCAAGGCTCAGGACGACGGACAGGAAGACAGAGGGCAAGACGAACTGAGCAGGCGCCGATCTCCTGGCCGTCACCATCGTTATCAGCATCGTACTTTGTCTTGCCATCTCCGATCATTCCAACTATACGAGGGAAAGAGTAGCCGTGTCTAATGTTCGCGTACCTGCAATTTCGGTTAGAGTTGAAAAGCCAGAGCAGGCTAGGAAGGTACGAACGTATCCAAGAAGATACCAAGGCCTTGGAACTCATCTAGAAACAAATCCGTGTGAGTGCCTAACAGAGCTGCAATCAAACCCAGTACACGTACCCTTGTTACCAAACACCGGACCAGGTTGCGCCCTCGTTGTAGTGAGCCAGACGGCCATTCCGTCCCCGAACAAATGTCCTGGGTCACCCGACACCTTGAATTCCACTTCGATCACGAAGTTTGTCGCGGTGAGAGGTAGCCGTGACCATAGCCAACCCTGGATACGTGAGTCCCAGTCGGGAAAAGGAGAAGGAAACCCGAATCGTACAGTTTCTGAGGAGCGTTGCTGCGTGAGTCGAATGTGTTTATTCGTGTTCTGAGCTGCAATTCAGCGAATGCTCCGCCACACTGGATATACGCGTACAACGTATGCGTCCCCTCCAAAGTCCCACCATCTGGAAGGCGTGGTTTGTTTCTTTAACAGAAACGCACATTGATTTGGACACACCGGTTTTGCAGGTCTTGGTCTATAAATGGGGCATAGATGGAGTGCGTCCGCAATTGAACGGTCTACAATCGCAGCATGAGTGTATGAGCGGCGAGATCCGAGTGCAGACGATTTCCCAAGGGAAACGCAAAGCATCTGGCCATGAGACCACGTACCCGGTCAATTGTGCTGTTGCCAATCTTCGTTTTGTCGCTGTCGACAGCATTCGAGCGTCCAACGAGTACAGATAGCGTGAAAATAGAGAGCGAAAGGAGGTTGGCTGGCAGTAGCATCGCGAAGTAGAGCGTGTCCCGTTCAAGGGACCTGGCAGACCGAAGAGGGCAAAATACAGAAGCGTTGCTGGTGACACGTGCACGTGGACAGATAGATGCCAATTCCCAATCAAGCTTGACTGAGGCAATATCTCGTGGACTGAGGGAGCAAAGTAGTCTCGTAGGAGCAATTCCGGATTGAAGAAATAAGATACGACATTATGTGGATATGCAAAGGTATACTGAAGCGAAATCTAGGGTCAAGCTGCGGGCTTCTTGCTCACAACAAGATACATGGGGGTGAAGAGCTGTCGTTGCGTCAGAAAGATTCTCGGGCAGATGCGCAGAGTGACTGACCTTGGTCTGTCCACCGGCGACCAAGGCGACAGCAGCGAGTCGCAGTGCCTCCCCGACACTATAGGTCCCCTTCGGTGCGAGTCCGATCATCTCCATGATCCAGACAAATAAGTGTGTGACAAATATGCCGCTCCAGCTCATTCGCCAGACAGTGAAGTAATCCCAGACAGTCTGAGCCTTACGGATATCTCCCTCGAGAGGGTAGTACCATGGAATAGGGTCAGGTCGGTCCGCCAAGTCTTCCTCGTGAACGATGTTGAAGCCAACAGTCTTCAATGCTTCACGCGCAAGCTTCAACGGGCGCATCTCCGGAATACCGTTGCCCAACTCGATCTCGTGTTGCAGCTTGGCGTGCTCGGGATTCGAACCATCCCAGTCGTCGGTCATGCACCACTCGTACACACCGAACTGCGAAGACAAAATGATCAACGGCGGCGCAAGGTGCGGATCAGGAATCACGTACTGTGCCTCCGGGTTTGAGCACTTTGAAGATTTCGCCATATACACCTTCCCAGGTCGGGGCATGGCACGTTGCCTCGATGGCGTAAACTGGTGAATGGGAATGAGTTCGAGAAAGGAGGGAAGCCAGGCAAAGAGCACGACAGACCTGCATCAAAGTAGTTCGGGCCGAACTGCTCCTCCAACTTCATGAAGTCACCCCGCACGAAAGTAACCTGGTTCTCCAACCCAGCCTTCTTCGTGTACTTTCTTGCCCGCTGCAACTGGAACTCGTTGTTGTTCAGACCAACGATCTCCACGTCGGCAAAACGCGCAATGGCGCGAGCGGGACCACCGACACCACATCCGACGTCCAGGACACGCATTCCAGGACGCAGCTGCATTTGGGCAGCCAGGTAGTGCTCATGCCTAGCGAGGGCAGCTTCGAAGCCCTCGCCCTGGTAGAAACGACAAAAGTGGAACGACTTCGCCCAGCCGAACTCGTAGAGTTCAGTAGCACCGTCGTAGTAGCCTGAATAAGGATAAGCAGGAGGTAGGATGGGAATGGCATCCACGTACCGTTGACGACTTCAGTGTAACTGTCGACACGGCTGTCGGTATGGGACTCGTCCTCCTTGGAGATATCCTTGTTCCAGAACTTGGTGTAGTTGGCAATACGATCGCGCTGACGACCGTCAACCATTCCCTTGCCGTCGTTTTGTACCAGAGACATGATGGTGTAAAGACTGCAACGACCGGTGGTCAGCGTTCAACTTGGCAAATCAACCATATCGAAAAGTTTCAGCGACTTGAATGGATCCCGAAGGAATGCCAACCCATGATGCCGAAGCACGTCGCATGAATATGGTTCATCATGTAGGAGAATGTACGGCGGGGACACTTACAAGTGAGAAGATGAGAGGGAGGGACAAGAGAGAAGGAGTGAAATGAGCCGATGTCAAAAGGAGGTTTTTTAAAAGTGACCTGATTCCCTTTTTGAGCATTCTGATAGGCGGCACGCGTCTCTATTCGAGGGGCGGAACAGGGCGGAAATGATGGTGCGGCCGTCCAGATTTAGGTGGCCGTGCATCGCTCCAGCTTGTTGGACGAGCGAGAGCAAGTAGAATTTATTCATGATAGCCAACCACAAAGGGCCATTGGAACAGGCAACAACTGCGACAGATTTATTCATGCACAATATATTGGTGCTCTCATCATGAAGGTGGAATATGAAGCTCTTCGCAATTCAGGATTCCAGACAACAATCAGAAAGAATATAATTCGCGGCAGCTCAATTCTACCACAGGTGATCTAAGGTCTAGGCGAGGAAGGGTTGGAATGGCGGAGCCCAAAGTTGTTCCAATAATGTCGAGAGTACGAGCCTCGTCCGAAGCAGGAGACAGGCGCAGACCGAGTGCAAAGTCGATGTTGATTCACCGTGTACATGCAATATCGAAGTATGTCTAGCTCCTACGCACTGAAGAATGAATGTGAATAAGACTTGTCAAAAATAAGATATACGCACCTGCTCTAATTTAGCGCAGTTTGGAGAAGACCTGGGGAGCAGCGCAAGCCTCAGAGCAATGCATCATGCTGGTAAACCCAGTCAGCAATATGGTTCACGGGACCCGGCTCAACTTACTGGACTAAACAAGGTAACGGAAAGAGCGAGCATCAGACGGGAAACAGCGGAGCACTTAGACTGGCGACTTACACCTACAGAAAACGAGGTCAGTCGAGTCTCCACTTAGAGTGCTCTAGATACGCACATTTCCTCTACACAGTCCTCCCCCTTGAAGCCTTCACCAGCCTGGACTTTCTCCTGGCACTTTTCAAAGTGGTGCTTGGCAGGTGCACACTCGGGACGCGACATGCATGCCTCACGGATAGCGGGGTGAGCCTAGGAAAGCGGACCAATGGATCAGTTATCAAAAACTCATTCTCCCGGGCCAGGGAAAGCAGCCAGGAAAGGTAGCTCCCAGCCCAAAGAGTTCCCGGAGACACACATCTTCGGGTTCCTCCTCCTCTTCTTCGGCCTCCTCCTTGGCCTCCTCAGCCGGGGCCGCAGCCTCGGGCTTCTCCTCCGAGTCGGCGTGCGTGGGGGTGAAGAGCGAGGTGATGAAAGACCCGATGCCCGACATGGTGGTTTTTGGTGAAGTGGTTGATGGAAGAACTCGGACGCACGATCGGGCAGCTACGGCAAGGGCGGCAAAGCCTCTAGGGAGCGAGTCACGCCGTGCGAATTCCGCGTGACGAGCATCATTCGCTACGTGTTTGAGGGCCCTGTAAATTCCTTTCGTCCGTCTGCGAGCATGAACATCTTCCGGTTACTGGGTACATCGTCTTTCGAAGTACGCTGAGAGGCTTTCTCACCATCTCTTAGGCGATTTCTCCCACTTGGGCTCTATCCTCATCTTGCTCCACAAAATACAGACGACGCGCTCATGTCGAGGTGGGGAGCACGTCGTTAGCATGTCTCGTACAGCGCTCAAATTTTTGTAGGCATTTCCTTCAAGACGCAGGCCCTGTACGCCGGTGTGTTCATAGCGCGCTATCTCGACCTGCTCTTCCGCTGGGTTTCGGTGTACAACTTCGTCATGAAACTGTTCTTCATCGCGAGCAGCTGCTACATCCTCTACTTGATGCGTTACCGCTTCCGGTACGTCCCAGGCACTGTTTAGTACACCCAAAGCTGCAGCGCTCATTCTTGTTTGCTAATAGCCCCACACACGACCCCTCCATTGACACCTTCCGCGTTGAATACTTGCTTGGGCCCTGCGCCGTCTTTGCGCTCATCTTCAACTATCACTTCAACGTGACGGAGATACTCTGGTCGTTCTCGATCTTCTTGGAGTCGGTCGCGATTCTGCCGCAGCTCTTCATGCTGCAACGCACAGGCGAGGCTGAGACCATAACAACCCACTACCTGGCGGCACTGGGGGCGTATCGTGCATTGTACATCCCAAATTGGATCTTCCGGCATGTCGACCACGCTGTTCTCCTGCCCTTAACTGATCTCGGACCTCAGATACTTCTCGGACAACGTGGTTGACCCTATTGCAGTCACGGCTGGCATCGTACAGACAGGTCTCTATATCGATTTCTTCTACGTGTACTTCACAAAGTGCGTGCCTTTGTCCAATCTATCCATGTACGGCCACTGATTGATTGGTTTTGCAGAGTTCTCCAAGGACAGAAGTTCGAGCTACCTGCATGAACGGTTCTGTCTGTGTATTTATGGGCGTTCCAGCGTGTTTCATTACATTCCCCGGATGCAGCCCACCTACTACGTATCCAGTCTGTTAATAGAAAGCCGTCGATGAGCGCTTTTTTATAAACAAAGCTAAATGAATTGTCAAACAAGCATATCAGACTACATGGCTGAAAATCGGATGCCTTGCCTACCCGCACAAGGCCAGAACGCCGTTCAAGCGCCTCCGCGCTAGTGACCGGTCCGCTCCTTCCAATAACAAACAAGCCGGTGATCGTGCATCCTGCGGATCGCACCGAGAGCAGTTCACATAGTCTATGCATTGCTCAGCGTAGCCATCTGTGCCAGAGAACAGGTCGTCCGCCTGTGCTTGCTCCACAGCATCTGGGACACAGTCGCCATAATCATGATGATTTGAGAGCTGCTGTTCTCGTGTCCGGAGGACACAATAACCGTGGCTCCGTGCGAGCCGGTGGGGCTGGTCCCTCCGGGGAAAACAGTACCCGACGAGGCGAGACGGGATTCCGCCGAAAGCGTTCGCAGCGACTGCCGTTTTTTTGTCGCGACCATTGCTGGTTAGAGCACAGAGCAGGAGGGAAATCCCTCGTGGCGGATAGCCTCTAGTTCTGACCATTCCAAGTGCTGTGCGGTGTGCAAGTATGCAGCACCAGACCAGACCATAAGCTGTTGGCAATCTGTGCGCGCCCCCATGTCTGACCACACCTGGCGCTGTTATCAGGGAGGGGTCGGTGCGCAAGAAGTTTGAATACGACCACTGTCAGGGGATGTGAACGAGAATGGCTCGAGGTGCAACCTATGTCGCCGGGAGATTTCTGGTCCGAATCGTGAGCGATGCGGGCGGCGGTAATTGGCCAATGTCATGCAGCACAGTCAGCTTGTGTGAGCCGTGCGGTGCGCACCATTTTCACTGAAAAGCACGACTGGCTGCAATCGTTGATGAACGGTAATAGTTGCGACAGATGTTCTGCGACCTCTCGGACAACGGCTTTTGAGCAACGGCACTCCGCGAATACCTGGTTTACGAGTCGCCGAAATTTAAAGTGATAGGGCAATCGTCAGAGAAGTATATGGCGAGTGAGAACAGTGGGCTCAAGTCCGTGTCTTAGGCTGACTAGGCTGGATACATGCTTGGGAGGGTGAGACCTCGCAGCCAGCAGCACAACTCACTTTGAAAGGATGGCCCTCAATGAGCATCATCAAGAGCAGAATATACTGGACGCATATCGGCAGAGTTCGTTCGAGCTGCGCCTCGCCCGGCGATCCGTCCACATCGCTCAATCGCATCTTGAATTTGAAGCAGTTTCCGTAGTTCGAACATGCCAGCAACAGATGCGCCGACATGGCGCCGGGCTCAACTAGGGAGAATGGTTCAAAAGCGGATCCACTGATAGTGAAACCGTCAGTTGGTTTGTTGAGCCACCTGAAAACGGAGCAGACGGTCAGAGGCCATAGCAGAAGCAAGTGCGTGATAAAAAGCGATCCGTGATCTAACCAATCCAATGGCCACGCGTCGTACTACCCTGTGTTGGAAGTGCGCATATGTCCAAGGCGTAGTGTGTTCATGGAGAGTTTCTTGCCCGCCTCGCGCTGTTCTTGGATGATGGAGGGCCTGGGTGAAAACGGTCGGCTGTTGTTTGTTTTCAGCCCCATCAATATGTACGCCCCAATAGGTAGCATCGCTCGAAAGATCTGTGTGCTGATTGTACAAGAGATATCACCACCTTCATGAAACAGCCAACTGGGGTGTCATACGTGAGAGTCCCTCAGAACCGTGGGGAGTGTTCAGCAGCAAATGCTGTTCGATTCAGTCGTCCGTGGATTTTCGCGGCCGGTGCGGTGTTCACAGGAATAAGTCTACACGCAAGACATTCGGAGGGTTGGAACGACAAAAGCAGTCTAACCGCCTTGAAAGAATCCGCCCAGTGTCGGAAAAGATTTGCTCTGCAGAATCGTAGAACGATGCACTAGAGGTGATGGCATCGACAGCAGTTTTGGGCCAGGAGATTCAACCCGCTCGACCACTATACCGGAGGTGGAATTGTAACTTCTAGACTGCTCTGAAAAAGTGTCTACAGGAACATAGCCACCAAAGCCATGTGGTGATAGGTGGCGATGCTTCCCTTATCCAACCCGTATGCTGCAATCTCATCGGCTCATATCATCTGGAATGACGCGTCTAAACGCGTCGCATTCCCATTTAAAATGTCTCCCATTTTTCTCCATCGAGTACGCAAAAAGAAAGAGATCTGACGTGCGTCGAGCCCTCAGTAAAACGATCCGACAGCATGAACGCGTCTGACATCCAGATCGTCATCGTGTGATGTTGTTGATTGCGGCGGTGCATGTGCGCAAGTGGCTTGATGTCGTCGACGACGATGGCTGCTCGTCCCGAGTCCCCCAAACCGTCCTCGGCCCGGGCCAAGGCGTCTGGCAAGAGCTCGACGCTCAAAACCCGCCATGCGCATCATTCCCGGCTGACCCAGGCGGTCGATACCAATGTTTCTTCATACGACAGGACAGATCCGTTCATGTGCGTGCCCGTCCCTCTCCGCCCTCGAACGCGCGCCCTCAGCGCGCTATAGGGCCTTCAATGTGCTCCTGAAATTGTTCGGATCCTTGCCCTCTCGTCTCGGGGGCTGCCAGTACAAACTCACCCCCGACGAACACAAGCTGTCACTCCATCTGCTCACCATCGTCGAGCCCTTCGTTGGGCTGGCGCCGTCGCGCCGCACCATCACGCGCCAGCCGACGGAGATCCTGGACGCGATCGCCTCGCACGTCGACACGAAGCGGGACCTATTCTCGCTGGCGCTGTCGTGCCAGCGCATGCACGACGTCGTGTTTCCGCGGCACTTTCACTACCGGCACATCCGCTGCAAGGTCTCGTCCCTGAGTGTGTGGAACCACCTCATCGTGCACCGCTCGCTCGCGCGCAATGTCCGCCAACTGGAGATTGTGGATGAAAGAGCCCCGCTGTCCGAGCTCCTGGTGCCCGGCGACATCATCTCGACCGACACGGATATGGAGTCGACGGACGACGAGCTCGGGATGCATCAGAAGCAGGAGCGATTCTTGGTCAACGCTCTGCAGAAAATGGGTCAGCTGACCAGCTTCTCTTGGTCGTGCAACCACTCGCCAATCTCAATCGATGACATCTGGCCGATCCTCCTCAGGTGTCAAACTCTGCAGGCGATCAACATAAATGATAATCTGGTCTTCTCGGCGGTCAAGGGTATGTCTGAAGAGGATTCGACAAGCATCAGCAGCAGCACAACCGCGCGCGCCGTTGTGGTATGGTCCATCTTCTACGATGACCCAAACGGGACTGATGTGTGGCCTACTATAGCTCCATCGCCTCAAGTCCGTCGCAGTTCGCTCCACGAAGCACACGTTCGGATCCTCCAAGAGCCCTGGGCTCAGTCGTGTGCAGGCAATGCTAACCAACTGTCCCAATCTAGAAGACTTGGACATAACATACACCCAGCCCAGGGGAGGACAGCCCGGCTCCTATCCCTCCGCAGACGAGCTTCTTCTGTACAGCCGCTTCCCGCATCTGACGTCGCTCGTCCTGAACAATCTGCGCTGCTCCATTGCTGATGCGCCGGCGACGTTTCTCGCGTCCCACAGCGCCTTGACGCATCTGCGCATCGACATCGGCGCGTCGCACCGGCTCGTGCTCCCGCCCAACGCCCTGCCTCAGCTGCGTGAGCTGCACTGCAACAAGGACATCGCCACGGCCGTGCTCTCGAGCCCGTCTCGCGCTCCTCGGCCGCTCGAGACCCTGAAAGGCGTGCGGCTCTCCGGCCCCGCAGCGGGCAATGCAGATCAGTTGTTCCTCGCGAGTCTGCGTCAGTTTGGCTCAACCGTGCGCCGCATCGAGCTGGCCGGCTGGACCGAGCTGGAGGACATCCGCCGCCTCGCCGAGAGCGCACCGCTGCTGGCGTGGCTCGACGTCGGCAAGAAGGGCGCCGCGGGCTCGTCGCGCGGCCCGCCCGTGAGCAACGCCGCGGAGTGGGCGCAGATCCTCGCGGCGCTGCCGGAGCTGGCGACGTTCCACGGCGTGCGGTTCTTCTACGAGGTGTCGGGCACGGCGACCGCCGCGAATCTGACCCTGGCTGACCGCAGCCGGGTGCGCAAAAACGACGAGGTGGCGGGCGTGCTGGCCTGGAAATGCACCAAGCTGAGGAGATTGGATCACTGGGAGGAGGGCGGTGGGAAGGTCGTCGTCCTCGTGCGCGATGTGGAGAGTCAGCGGGAGCTGCGTGTTCGGTGGGAGGTCAGAAGGGTCAAATCTTGAAAAGACTGGAAAATCTATGGAAATTTATCGCACCTATGCTTACTCACGGACATCTATAACCCATTACTATACCAACTTAGGCTATAGCAACACAGCGGATTCGCACCACCAAAGGTCCAGTTGTCACAATGCACGTGTACCGTGACTCTACGCGTCCTTGGAAGGTAAGGCTGTGCGTGACGCGTATTCATTCTTCGCTCTCGCAGCGCGGGTATTCATAGGAGGGGGACTCCTGCATCGTTCGACCCATGCTAATATAGGAGAAAACGGTCTGCGAAGTTATACAGTCGATGCAGCACCATTACCAGAACAAGACAGAAAACTTGACGATGAAGGAATTGCCAAATCAACGAGAACAGCTGAGGAGGTCGGAAGCGATGAAGCACGAGCCTAGCCCTCCGGAAGGCTCCAATGCGCGGAGTGGCTGTAGACCATTGTTGTCCGGATATGGTACCTCTTGTAAGGCTAAGAACGCGATGCATTGTGTTGTCCCGTTCAAAGCGCATCGCACATATAAAAGACGTGCTTATCCCGAGGACGAGTCTGCCCCACTTCTGCCACCGTCACCGAGATGAGAGTGAGTTGTTGCAGGCCAATATGGTAGCGTCCAAAGCTGACCAGTGCGTGCACAGACGACAGTCAAAACACCTCCGCGGCGCAAGTCAGTCATCAATCTCTTCACCACGCCCCCTTTGCGCCGATCCGACCGCTCCACACGGCCGACCGACGACTACGACCTAGATGACGACGAAGACGAAGATGTGTTCATCGGCACCGGCGACCTGTCGCTCTCCCACCCATACTTCGTCCCCGGAGGCCCGGGTGCACTGACACCGAAGCGGCCACTACCTCCGTCGACGGTGCCGGGAAAGACGAAGCTGAGGGTCGTGCGGCCAATGCCACCCGCCCGGCGCGCGTCAACCCACTGCGAGACGTACAAGTTCCGGACCCTCACGCTCAAGGGCGGCCCGATGACGCCGCGCACCACCACCACCACCACGACGCAAACGGGGTCGATAGGGACGATCCCTGATGAGGTCCTTCCGTGCACGACGCGGGAGCAGAGACTGGCTGCTGCGCAAGCGCGGCTGAATGTGTTCATGGGCAGCCGCGACCTCACCAGGTCCCCGCAGAAAGCATCCAGCAGCGGCAGCAGCAGTGAGGTTGATTGCAGACGGAACCTGCTGGAAGACCTCAATCGGGAGGCGCAAGGAGTTGTCGGGCAGGCGAAGGTGGTGCCGGTTCAACCTAAGCATGCAACAAGACCCCTTCGGGGCAACGCGCGGTTGCCTGCGCGACCTCGGATTCCTGATTTTGATGGGATGGATGTTGATATATGATACTTGAGCTTTATTTCTTGGTTATTTCTCGGTTGTAATATGGACGGGATCGTGTTCTGGGAGTGCAATTCAAGTTGTGATTGGGCCGTATCAGAAGTTACGTAATAAGCATGCCAGGCGTTATCTTATCTGATTGAATACTCGTTATCAAGCACCAATACCAGCTGCAACACCTCACGTTCCCGCGACAGGGCTGACCAAGATGATAGAGCTGATCTTGCAGGTCGTGTGGCCGCCGGAGACGGTCGCGACCGGCGTGGACATGGACACGACCGTCGCGCTCTGGTAGTTGCGCGGCCCGCCGGTGCACCAGGCCGTCGACGTCGTATTCGCGACGATCGACACGTCCTTGAACGCAAACTGCCCAAAGGTCCACGTGACGCCGTAGAGCTCGATGGCCATGATGGCCTGATTCATCGGGTGCGTCGCTGCAGTAAGCGCGATTCGTCAGCATCCAGTGGGACAAGGGGGGGTGGGTGGCCGACGCACGCAGAGGGAAAGAGCCCGTCGCGGTGTTGCCTTTGCCGTCGGACAGCGAGGTCGCCCAGGTCCCGCTCGCGATGCTGTTCGCGTTCATCGCGAAGTTCACCGTCCCGCCGTTCGCAACTAAGCAGACAAACGGCGATCGGTCAGCCCTCATCTTATCAAGTCACGCCGAGTCTGGTCTGATCCGGGCGACGCACCGTTGAAGCCAGAGCCCCATGCGAGGGACGGGTTCGAGCAGCACCAGCCCGAGCCGATCCACCACGTCCCGCTGCGGCCGTCGAGCACGGGCTGGAGCACGCCCGCGTTGTCGGGGGGCTGCAGGCCCGGCCACAGGTAGTACGTCGCCGCGCCGGGCAGGGTGGGCGCAACGAAGCTGCCCGTGTACGACGAGATGTACGAGCCAGCAGGCGTTACGAACGTCAGGAAGTGCCTGACAGTCGCAGTCTGTTAGCTCAGCGGACAGAGACAGAGAGACAGAAAGAAACCGACCAATTCTGGGCAGCGACATAGCTGAACAGCGCAAATAGCACAGAGGTCTGGCCGAGAAGATGCATCTTTCCTTTGGAACCAGCTTGCAGATGACCCACTGCCCCTCCCGCGCGCAATTTATAGGCCACTGCGCAGAATCAGGTCGTCATGCAGATCAGATTTGGAAGGAGCGCGGGTCGCGTCCGGTATCCAGATAAGGCCTAGCAGCAGGCGTGAGGCCAGCTCAGATGCTCCGCAAGAAGCACCACCGCTGCAGCAAGAAGGCGAACGTGATTGATGGCGTCAGAGCTAAAGGAGCATCGCGGCCCCAATCGTCGCTCAAGCACGATGGCAAAAACCGAAAAGCGTGCAAAAGCGTCCGAGATAGTCTCTCTTACGGACGGAGGCCCGCTTCAGTCTAGAGATATATGTATAGCAGATATCGGATAATGGCTGATCTTACAGTTGGATAACGATGGACCAGTCTTCTGACACCAAGACCTTGGGGTCCTTGATCACCAGCACACTCGCAACACCTTCTCCTTTTCCGCTGGCAGACACGCCAGCCGAGTACTCCCAGACAAGATCGCCCCCTCCCTCGACCCTGACGCTCGCCGGCTTGCTCGCGACGCCGAGCACAACAACCTTCTCCACCCGCACATCCTTGATGCTCTGCACAAACGCGTTGCTCGGATCGTACGTCGCCAAAGAAACGCCGTCGACCGCCACGTCGATCTTCCGCGTGGCCAGATCCTTGGATGATATCCGCACGGTCTTCTTGATCGTCTCCGCGCCAAATTCGCGCCAGAGCAGCTGCCCGGCCTCGTGAGCATACGTCACCCCGTCGTCCAGGTACAGCTCCCCGCGCGCCGCCCCGGCCTTGCTGAGCGCAACGCGCAGGGTGAACGGATCGTTGCGCATCAGAGGCGACGAGCGCCGCGGCCGTTCCCGCGTAGAGAGAATGGATCCACCCCGGATCAGGAGCGGAACCTCGTGGAGGTCCGCTTTGATGCTGATCTCCCTGCCTTTTGCGGCTCCGCGGTGTGCGAAGTGGGAGAAGTAGTCGTAGTACACCTGATCTTCGGGAAGGTAGACCTTTGTCTCCCTGGTGTCCTTGCTCGTAATGGGCTTGACAAGCAGACCCGAGCTGCCGATGAAGTACTGGTCGTCAAGCGTAAATCCTTTGGGATCTTTCGGGAACATGACGTAGTGGGGACTGTGTTTCGGTGAGTTCCGTCCAAGAACATAATAAAGATCTTACCGGAGAACAGGAACGCCTGTCACACTCGTCTCGCGGAAAGCAGTGTACCATATCGGCAGCATGCTGTATCGCAGACGGAGCAGATCCTTGATGATGCCTTTGTAAGGTTGTTCCAGTAGGTACGGCTCCCGGCGCTTGGTATCAATGTGCGCATGTGCACGGAAGAACGGATTGAAGATCCCAACTTGGTACCACCGCACCAGCATTTCCGGCTCAGGGTTGCCGAAGAAACCGCCCACATCAGCTACTCACGGTGAGCAGACATCAAGAACGATCCGCGGGTCGAGACGTACCACCACCAAAGCTCATACCAGCGATGCCGTTCGCAAGGACCATCTTGAGACCAACAGCCATGTGTTCCCAGGTTCCAAGGTTATCTCCAGTCCACATCGCACCGAAGCGCTGAGAGCCGGCGAAAAACGAACGGGTCAGCACGAATGGTCGCGTTGGAGGATCGGTCCGGTATTTGACGGCTCGCGAGGTCGCATTGGCCTATGATGCCATGTTCACCGAGTTCAGAACAACGATAAATGCAACGTACAAAAAGCATTCCGTTGATGTTGTGGACATCGCGATGCTCCCATCCGTTGTGATGGACATTATCACGCGGCATGGAAATATCCGGTCCATTGAACACAGAGGGCTATCAACGCTTGTGTCAGATCAACGAATCCCCGAGATGTAGACCGAGACACGAACCTCGTTCATGTCGTTCCAGATGTGGATGTCGGTCGTACTAGCAAGCCAGCTCCAGCCCCCGGTGCTCAAGATAGTTGGCTTGAATAGCGACTGCCACCAGTCCCAAGCAGCCGGGTTGAAGAAGTCAATCCACGAGCTGCTGCCACTCCAGCACCAGCCCTCGTACTCTCCCTCACCACTAGGAGGCTTGACCAGAATCTGGCGCTCAGAAGCTTCGTGGTAGACTGGGTAGTTGTTGGCACGCTTCAGATGTGGGTCGACGATCACGACCATCTACCAGAGCTGCATCAGATCCAATTCAAGCCGAGGTTCTGGAAGAACTCACTTTTCGTTCGAGAGCAGCGACGTCGTTGGTCATCTCGACCGGATCCGGGAACGTCTTCTGGTCCCAAATGAAGTATTTGTGCTCCTCGGCATACTCAATGTCCAGCCAGAAAACATCCACAGGCATATCCTCCTCATCGAATCTCTTCTGCACAGTGCGGACGTCGTCACTGCTCACATAGTTCCAGCGACATTGGTGGTACCCAAGACTCCAGTGGGGCGGAAGCACAGGCGTCCCCGTCAGTCGCGCGTACTGCCCGAACACTTCATCGACGGTGGGTCCAGGCATCAAAAACACATCCAGGATTCCTGATTCGGAGATCCAGTGGGTTTGACTGGACTGTTCGGTCGAGTGCGAAACATCGATCCAAGTCTCTGAGCCGACAGCGTTGAAGATGCCGACAGTTGACTCGGCAGAGTGAGCGTAGAGAATGGGGATCGATCCATAGAGGGACATGGTGGATGATGCTAGGTATTCGAAAACATCGGCGTTGTACAAGCGATATGGATCGCTGAACGTAGCCGATTCGCCTGCGGTAGTGGGAAGTGCAAGGTTGGTAGCGTGCTGGGGAATACCGTAGAGGACTCCGTGTCTCGGGAAGGAGATATCGAGAGAGAGTGACTCGGGGCCTGAACGGCATTAGCTTATATAAAATCGGATTGTGGATATGGAACCTCACCTTTGGGTTTTGTATCCGTCCAACTTGACCATTGCTCCGTCCAGTAGTCATCTTCCTTGTCGCCCTCAAACCAGGCCTGGGGTCTGACTGCTTCGGAAAGTACAGCCTGTTCCTCCCCTTCGGTCACGACCTCCTCAGCTTTGGTTTGCTCGATTTTGGTCCGGAAATGCTCCAGGTGTAATAGTCCCTGGCCGTTGAGCACGACCTGCTCCTTCCCGTCACGCAGCAGCGAGACCTTGAGCGGCTCATAAACGACGACGACCTCGTTCTTGCCGTACTTGGCGCGGATGTCTTTCTTCCCTGCGACCCACGTCACTTCGCGGCTGATCGTGGGCTCGGCAATCAGCGCCCACGACGCCGCCTCGTCGTACCGCTTCCGCAGCCCATTGACCTCGTCCATCTTCACGCGCACGACCCCGTCTTCGTGCACGCGGACCTCCAAGCCAAATTGGATGTCAGGGTAGAGCGAGGACTTGACGCCGGCGGTGAACACGGACTTATCCGACGCTATGGAGACGGAGGAGACGTCGACGGAGTAGGGGGATTTCCAGGAGGACTTGGCTTCGGCAGCACGTGCGGAAAGAGCCCGCCCCCTTCGACAGAAACCCGCCTGCGAGCATGTCTTGAAGTCTTGCTGTTTGACTGCAAGCGCGTCGGGCGCGATTATAAGAAGTGTAAGGGCGCTGAAGAGGGCCCACGGCTGCATGTCTGGTCCCTCTCCTTAGAGAAAGTGGAGGGAGAGAAAGAAACCACGTCGACGGTTTAGAGATGTGTAGTCACAGTGTGACCGTCTGCTTCTCTTTCTTCCGCTCCGACTGCAAGCACTCTACATAGAACAACATCGCTTGACTAAATTTATTTTCTCGATGAATAAACTCACTGGAAGATGTTGCTGGATACCTTCGTCGACGTCCTACGGCCGTCTAGGCTATGTAATTTATTACATGCTTTCCCATCCGCTTCAAGCACTCCAATCTTGCCTGCGATTGCTATTCTACTTGTATGCTAGGATAGTACTTGTAGTCTGATCTTACTCCTGCGCCATGCAGACGATCGAGGAAGCGGCCCGATCGTGTCAGTAAGGTTGGATGTCATCACAAGCAACCTCCAGGAGGAGAGTGGATTTGCGTGCAGTGTTTCAAATTCCAGGCCGCACTACCATCGCCTCAGGAATCTTGTACTACTAACTTTAATTCCAATTGTCCTTCTATCACACGTGCTGTCCGACGCGGCCGAAACACCAAAACAACTAATATCCAATAGATTGTGTGTTACAGAAAGCATATATAGTAACAAAAAGGACAACATAACAGGAGGGCACGCTAATCAACTAACTACGTACAGACGTGGTGGTACAAGATGAGAGTTCTCCGAGGAGTGCCAACAGCCAGTAAGTAGGAGAGAATATATAACCGATACTGCTACTCGGGATGATCCCAAGTACAAGTAATTGTCGACAGAACCGAAAGAGGATGGATGGATGTGTATGCGATGTTCATGGAGGTTTCGTGCAGTAGGCATAAGAGTGAGAACGGGGAGGAGGGAAGCGATCATCTCGCAGAAGGAACATAGCCGACAACGGGCGGATACGCGGCGCCGGAGTGGTGGTAATGGTGCTGGTACATCTGCATATAGGCGGCAGCTTGCATCTGGGCCTGCGTGTAAGCGACAGGGTGGGGCATCACCGGCACCGGCACTGGAACGGGTGCCCCGGGCACATGTATGCTAGGCGGATTGCAGTAATAGCCGTGGGGAGGGTACACTGGGCGCAGCGTGGGGTACGAGTACGAACTGGATTTCGCATGCGTCGGTGGCCGATGATCCCTTTTGGCAGCAGCAGTCGCAGCTGATCTCCCCTCTTTCCTCTGCTGGGCCCCCGGTTTCTCGGCGCCTATATCAACGGAGCTCCGCTTTGGCCCACCCCCTTTGCCCTTGGGTGCGTGCTTCTCAGGAACAACCAAGGCAGCGCCCTCGATCCATCCATCATCGTCCTTGACAATCACCGGCTTCACTTCAGTCGTGCTCGAGGCACCCGGAGGAGTCGAGCGGCTGCGTCGACCGGCAAGCGCACGGAACAGATCTCTCGTTCGCGCAGATCGATTTTCATCAGCACCAGCACTGTGCTGATCGGTAGCAGTGTCGAGCCCAATCCATCCACCAGAGTCATCCTCTTTCTCACGGTCGTCGCTGTAGTCCGACACTGAGATCGAGATCGAAGGACGGCTTGCAGATCGAATGGTGGCTTCAGGGAGCGCCGACACACTAGGCAACGGAGACAACATAGAACCAGGCGAGAGAGCTTCCGCGGCCCGCCCAGCCAATCGAAGTCGGTCCACAATACTACGAGTGCTCGACATGGCCGGACGCGTCGTACGTCGACTTTTGTCCCCAGTGCGCACAGATGAAGACCCATGCTCGACATCCGCTGCACTGTAGAATCCTTGCTCGTCTTTTGCCATCCGGATCACTGGCACAGCAGGGGCGTCCAGGCCGGAACCAGCAGGGAACACGAAGCCAGCATCGAAGGGAGAAGGAACTCGTGTGGAGGAAGACTCCCCAGTCGACGTTGACGAGACGGGGTTGAGCGTTGGGAAGACAAACTCCTTGGGAGCAGAGGTGCCAGGCCGCTTGGGACTCGGAACGAAGGTCGTCGCCTGCGCGTTGAGTCTACCGGCACGAGCAGGTGAAGCGGTCCGTAAAAATGGCGTACGATCTAAACCACGCTGGTGCTCTGCCTTGTCGTCCGCGGATTTCTCCTGGCCCATAGTACCCGCGTACGACAGCGGCGGCGGTGTTCGGGGTAGAGCAATGGATCCTGAAGTGGATGATGACAAATCGGTCAAGTCAGAGCCATCCAAGTCTGACTCGCTCCGGGCAGAGGAAACCGGCGAGGACAGGGATAGACTGCCAGCGCGACACTGGACCGCATAAGCATCATCCGACTTTCGCTCTCCCTCCTCCTCGGCATCAGCGGAACCGATCCAGGAAGTCGATGCTTGGTCATCGCCATCACTATCCTCATGACAAGAAACGTGGAATCCAGTGGCAAACTCATAGCACAGAACCGCATCCAGTGCACCCTTGACGTCTATGAGGTCCGCATTCAGATCGATGTCGCAGGCGTTGTCTGGCGGGTCGTCAGGTGGCGGAGGCTGTGGGCGCCTGCGAAACAGTCCAGCAGCGAAGCCACGCTTGGCCCGCGAGGCCCCACAATCTCCTGGAGAGCCTGTCTCCATCTCTGGAGAAAACGACCACGACACTGCCTCGTAGGAGACACGCCACCGGTCACCACGCGAGGCATGGCGCCGCCCTCCCTCTCCCACGTTGCGGCCACGGTTCATGATGCTGCTGCGGAACAAAGAAGAAGTGGCGTGGGTTGGGCGCCGACGAGACTGTATGTGATCGAAAGAGAGACTGGATACGGGAGAGGTAGTCAGAACCAAGTGACTCGGCCCGCTGCGTAAGCTTACCCCACGCAAATACACCAGTTTCGTCCGAGACCGAGATTTTCGAGGGGAAGGTTATTTGCCGGAGTATATCAAGAGAACGCGACAAGAATAGTATACAAGGCGAGAGAGAGCGGGTTTGGTGTGGCGAGCACTGATGTGCAGGCGCACACCAAGAGTGGATGGGTGTGTTACATCACGGTCACGACTTGACACCATTGTCCTTGCCACCTGCCGTTGTCATCACGGTGGTTGTTCCGTTCCCGAAGAGATGACTCGGTTATTCTGTGTTCGTTGTGCAACACCCGTCAATCATGAACTGGAGGGTCAAGACGGCAAACGAGTCTTTGGACGTTCCCAATGCAATATCCGCGTTCTGAACTCTCGAACAATGGACGAATGTGGTAATTACCCGCATTTGCCGAAGGTGTGGATGGGCTTCTCCAGACTCGGCCTGGATTGTCCCTCCACATAATGTTAACCTGGATTTTACTTGTCATCTCGACTGTTTGTTGCCGCCCACCTCGAGGCGGAGTTCGCTTAGGGACCCGAAATTGCAAGCTAGAGTGAGCTCAACGCAAGAGCTGAATCTATGCGCTTCCGTCCATTCTATCTCCGAGTCCCCGTCCTCCTGCTTGCCACTAGCTACGATCCATTCGTACGCGATCAGACGAAATGGAGGTAGCTTCATCGACCACGAACTAGTTTTCGACAGGCAAGATTCATCGCACGCAGCGCTTGCTATCAGGACTGCTGTACTTCGCGCTGCCAGTTCCTCTGCGAGACTTCTCTTGTTGATGTGCCATCCTGGGTACTTGTAGCCTGTCCGACATGCGTGTGCTGGCCGGGAGACGGATGGATCCACAAACTCGTAGCGAGACCAAAGCGATCACGCGTTTGACATGACATCCACATTGTGACGCCGCCCTTGTTTTATCTTCTTACCATAATGAGCAGCTTTTGTTTCGCGTTTGGTGCAACAGCAGCGCGCTCTCCCATAAGGATTCTTGTTGTCCTCATCCTCTTGTTCCAGCACAAGAGCTGGCACTGTTGCCACTCATGGGTTAGTATAAGGTTCTGAGCGTGTCGAGGACTTTGCAGACGCCATGTTCAATCTCTTTCCTTGCTGTAGAAATCGGGTACAGAATAACGGTGCATGGTTTCAGCGCAGCTCTTGCTTGTTCTCTGGATAACATCCCAGCCCAGCTGGTCGCGACCAAGCATTACCTCCGCCCTTGCATCCAGTGCCCATCCAACAATTCGCGGCCCCAAACGCATCTACTGCGCAACAAGTCGCAATTCCTTTCAACAGCCCTGCTCCTGTCGCACCCGCCCCCCTTCAAATGCGCCAGACCACTGTTTGGAACGTAGACTGGGTCCTCAGCAACACCCAAATCGACCATCGTGCTCAACAGCGCGATGCTGCCCCCGCCCCGAACCACTGGCAGCAGCCCACTGCGCCAAGAAACCTAGGTCACCCGAATACGCAACCGGGACAGGCAGGGCATGGAAACGACAATGCGCTGATGGCGCCGCAAGCGCCCACTTCGAGTCAGATGGTGCAAACAGCTGTCTGGGATGTGCAGTGGACTTTGGAGAGCGAGGATATCGCTCAATTGGGACCGGGACAAGGGCAGGCGCAACCGCTACGACCCGTCCAGTTTCATACGCCCCAGCCGGCTCAGCCTGTCCGCACCCCAGTCGCAGCTTCCTCTGGGAATGGAAATGCCATTTTGGGGCAGCCGGTCTTCAATATTGCGCCCCAGTATCATCTACCAGCAGCAGACCGGCGCCGCCGCAACTCGTCTGCACACGATGGTGAGCATCCGCACGTCAGTGGCGGAAATAGCCATGTCTGATTACTCCGGAGTCCTGCTCGAAGATGATGACATGGAATGTGACGAAGAATGGAACCATCGACGTGCCCAGCGACGCCGGGATGAGCGCAGACCACGACGGAATCGTCGCCGGAATTCGTACTCCCACGGACCACAGCAACCCATGTATGCAACGGCCATGCCCTTTTTTGGAAGCGGAGGGAACCACAACCATTACCAGCAGCAACCTGCTTTTCCTGGTTGCCAGCCGCATAATCCATGGGCTCCTGGGACCCTGTGGCCGAATCAATACGACCCTCGGGCAGGGACTCGGTGGACGCCTGCGCCTGCTCAGCATCCAAATTTGTGTGCGTTTGCTCTCCATAGCCATTTTCTTTGATGTTGATATCATGAAGTCGCCCATCCGGCTTACGCGCATGAGCGACCTCCCATTTATTTCCATCAGTACCGTTAGGGACCCACTGATGGTTATCTACCATCATTAGATTATCGATAAGCATGTCCTGTCAGTACGAATCCTTATGACATAATAGCACATCTGGATCCTTTTGTCTTCATCCTCGTGAAAGAACGAAGCTAGCGACTTGGGAGTCGAAACACCATGTCGTCTTGGGAGACCATCCACCCACACGCCGCATGCGCTCCTCGCACATGTTCTTGACCCCGTTATCATTCTGCCAGCTCCTTGTTCTCAGCTCAAAGGGCCTTTGTAGCTGACCCACACACATCGTGTTGCATGCGCGGCCTTTTTGTTCTGGCTTATTTTGCGCTTTTCGGGCCTCTTGTGCTTCCTATGTCTTTTTCGTGTAGGCACACGCATTGCGACCGATGGTTCGAGGTCCTTGTTCTTCATCGAGTGCATATAACGACGGGGTCGAGGGCGTCATGACCAAACTCACCGGCAGGAGAACTCAATGACTGGCTACGGTATGCATATCCCGCGCATACGTTTTCATTCTCTGATCCGAACTGCACGATAGAGTACATACACACCCTTCCTCCGCACTTCGACATCGGTCTTCATCCCTACGGCTACGAGCCATCGAACCGATTTCCGCCTTTTGGTCGTGCGCAGACTGCATTGATAGACGAGGGGCGTCGACGCTCTGAGGCATGGGCTGGCACATATCAACCAGCACGCACGCAGACGCGTTGCACGAATGATCGGGGTGACGCATCACGAGCGTTGGAACAGCGTGAAACGCGTCAATCTCAGACGCCGACTCGTCTGGTGCGTCGGCCAGAGGGGCCGTCACAGTCTGCTGCAGAATACACGTCTTCTGCCGGGCAGAGACGCGAAAATGCAGTTCCTGCAGCCTATATTTCTCGTCAAGCGCCGAGTGGAAGACACCGCTCCGGCGGACCACTATCCAATCCGCCTCAAGCTCTATCGCGCTCTGCCAACGTGACTCCGCCCCAGATGCAAACGGATCGTGCTCAATCCAACGGACGTGCGACTCGGCCCGGTGCCCCTGCTTCGCAGCCCTCGCTGTCGGTCCACCATCGCTCGGGTTCGGTTTCGGGATCCGGCTCGCGTAATCTGGTACCAGATCATACCGGGAGAATCTCAGAGGAGATCTTCCAGGCATCGCACACCCCGTGTCAACCCGTTTCGCCTCAAGACGCTGACAGTCTGAGTCGAGTTGAGAAAGGCACATCGCTGCTGCTGCTGGAGCTCGATAAGCGGGTGACCGACCGTTTGGCGAAGTTGCGCGCTTTGAATGCGATCTTAGAGCGCTGCCTGTGTCGGGACGGACAGGAGATTAAGAGAGAAGAGGCTTGGGTGGAACCGGTTGATATGCCTCTTCCCCCATCCATCACGGAACGTCTGGTCGTATCCCCGCACATTGGTAGTGTCGGGCTCTCCGGCGCCCGTGGCGCTGGTATATCCGGTCGGAGCGTGCACAACAGCGATTCGCATGCGGGTCCGGGGTCAAGTTCAAGTTCTCCATCGAATTTGATGCTCGAGTGTGTTCCGAGTGGAGAGCGAGCGGCTTTCGTCGAGGACGGGGATTTAGATGGGGGCCCAAGGCGTGGCTCGAAGCTACCTGTAGATCAGGCAACACAAGGATCCGGCCACGGGAGTCAGCGAGTGAGGGCTGTGGCGCAATCAGAAGGGCCTGATCTCGTTTCCAGAGACCAACACGCAGCTCAACGGTCAAGAGAAGGTTCCCTAGCACCTAGTCCATGGTTCAGCACTGGGCATCGACGGGGTCCGGATGGCTTCAACCATTGGAATATTCCGCCACTGACAGAGCACTCGCAGAGAGCGGTCCCTGTAGGTCGTAGTGCAGATGGACATCCCGATGATAGCTCGGACTTCTCAGATTCTGATTCGGACCACTCAAGCTCAGATTCAGACCTCCCATCGTCTGAGTTGGACTACTCGCACAGGTCTGATGCGCTATCCTCGGGGCCTAGCACTGCTCCTCCTCCCGCGCGCGGTCCTATTCGCTGTCTGGCCCCAATCTACTACTACCATAACTACGCGCAGCCACGGGTAGTCTACGCTCCCGCTCAGAAACCGCCGTACTACACGTCACCGGCACCACATCAGCCTCACCCGACTCATGGCTTTCGTCTGGTGCACAATCATCCGTTGTTGATTTATTACCCCGCTAGTCCATATACATACGAAATGTTGATTAGAATTGCTGGAAAGGGTCCAATGTAGACGCATTTGTTTGTCTGTTTATTTATTCACGCAGTCACGTTACCGTGCCGGAGATTCACCGCATCATTCATCGATTCATTCTGACATTGACCCCAGTCAATGGGAGCCTCTTCCATTTTCCATCGCACACCTTGCACCCAAAACGGGTAGTTTTTGTACCGCCGGGTTGATATGAAGTACACGCCTTTCAAGGCTGTTTCGTTGATTGACTCGAGTCACGGCTGACTCGTAGGTGCTGTTGATAGCCGCCTGTCCAGATTGCTTTATCACCCGAGCCGCTCTCGGTCCCCCAGCTTGCTCTCTCCCACTACACATACACACATACCGCATTATGTATATGCTGCAACGTACGTAGTCCGCCGCCGTGGATCGAGCCAGTCTGACCGGTTCTCAGCGGGTATTGGCTACGTTGCGCCAGCAGCTCCGACAGCGCCTGCTCCCCCGGCCTCGGCAAGCTCCCACGCTTCGACGTCAGCCACGGTAGTCACAGCGCCCGCAGCTCCCAAGCCTACCGCGGCGCTCTCCGACTTCGACCGATCACAAACGGCCTCTAGAGCCAGCTCACATTCGACTGGGTCGCTGTCAAGCGGGTCGTCGAGTGTGCTCGTCATCTCCCCACCTAGCTCCGTCCTCTCCAATCCGAGCGAGCCGCAGCGGTACGGGCACATGCACGGTCGTCCGTATGAGGCGTTTGCGCTCCCTCCAATCGTTCCACCGCCACCTCCGCCTGTTGGTGTGTGCTGCTACACGTCGCCTCCCGCCTCGTATTCTCACAGCCGCACAGCCCCAGCCTATCCTCCTCCCGGGTTCGTAGCGCATCCTGCCTGGTCTGCGCACCCTCCCCCACCCCCGGTCCCTGCTCCTCCTACCGTCGTTCCGTCTTGGGCTGATTGGATCCCCGACCCAACTCGACCGCCCACTCCCCCAACCCCGACGCAGGCTGTGCCCCCGTGGGAACATTGGCGGCCCGGCATGGGCCGTCCGCCGAGGCCGGTGTCGCCGCCGGAGATGCGCTTGAGCAGCTCAGCGCAAGGGTCGGAAGCCGCGCCGCGGGACGAATTGGCTAGTAACTCGTCTACCATCTCGACTCAGATCCCCCCTCCCATGCACTGCTTCCGGCCGGGGAAACCCGCACCCCCTGCTCCGCTGGCGCTCCCAAATGCGACGCCACCAGGTGTCGCTGCCGCGATGCGTCACGATGAGCGACCGGAGCTCGTCCAGTGGTACCACCACAACTTCACCCCGATGTCTGATCGCACCCCGATGCCCTCTTTCACCATGGAGATACCCGGAACCCCGGCCGCGGGGCAGCACACGTCGGCGGCGTCGGATAACGTCGAGCGCGGCCGTCCGTATGAGCTGCGTCCCGTTTCGCCCGTCGCTCGTGTTCGCTCCCCGGTGTATTCCCATCCGACGTCAATCGCGAATTCCCCGCGCGGGACGGTGCCGAGTCCTGTCGCTGACAGCGCTGCCCCACCTGATGTGCTCAGCGTGAGAACCCATTCGCGCTCCCCTCTACGGACTGTCGTGAGTTCTCCATCGGTCACCTCGAGTCGGTTGACGCCGTCGCCGCCGCCGCAGCAAGTTTTCCTCTCGCGCGCTGGACCAGTCTCTTCATCGAGCCGAGCACCTTCGCTGCTGTACCAGAACTCGCCCATGAGCACCCCTCGGACGCACTCTCCGGTCTCGAGTTATGATGGGGTGCATGGGTATCCGGCGTCTCCGGTCGTCTACCAGCTCTCGAGTGGGCTGTCGACTCCAGGTGAGCCGCAGATGTCTGTCAGGCCGCCGATCGTGACCCCCGTTCACCCCTTCCGGGGCTGGGTGTCCGAGCGGCCTCGAGCTGAGACCGTCTCGTCCCGGTCGTCGAGCTCCGAGACATCGCATACAGTGCTGATTCCGTCGATGCCCATGCCAGCCCAGCAATCGCCTGGGATGCCCATGCAGCCGCCGATGCAGGGTGCGCACCAGCCGTATATTCCGGCGTGGACCACCCCGTGGCCGTGCCCTCCGCCGTTCAATCCGCAGCCGACGTTCAATCCGCAGCCGCAGCCGTACACGCCGTGGGGATACAATTCCACTAGCCCGTACCCGTTCGAAGGATCTCAGTACTCGAGACACCCCAGATTCTGGTTCGAGGATGGTAACGTGACCTACGTCGTAAGTCGCGGTTGTGTTGCTACTGCGCGCTGCTGCTGACTGTCGTGGACAGATCCAGAATATGGAGTACAAACTGCATCGGTATCACTTCAACAACGGGACCTGGGCGTCGTCGAATGCTTGGCCCGGATACCAGTCGTCTCGCTTTGAACTGTTTGAGAACAAGATTGATTTCGAGCGGTTCTTGACTGTGCTCTACCCTCTGTTCGTCGTTTTTCCCTTCTCTTTTCACATAGCTTATTTTCTCTGCAGGGAACACGGCGAACAAGAATGCCAGACCACTGACGAATGGCGATCCATCCTCGCCATCGCGCGGAATCACAATCACAGCGACATCACCCGCCTTGCCATCAAGCAGCTCGGCAAAGTTGCCGGCCCGGTCGAGAAGATCGCGCTCTGGAACGAATACGGCGGGATGGATGCGATGAAGGACTGGGTGCAGCCTGCGTTCTTCGCCTTGGCCATGCGCAAGGAGCCGCTCTCGCCTGCCGAGGGAGAGAAGCTGGGCGTCGAGGCGACGGTGCACGTCGGCGCGCTCAAGCACGAGATCATGGCCAACCTCGGCAGCTATCTGGACGAAAACAAGTTCTCCGAGCTGTTCGCGAAGAAACTCGGGATTTGAAGGAAACAAATTAGGGACATGCCTGCCTGCCTGCCTTTTTGTACTTGTACACTACTGCTGCTACATTTTGAGATCCAAATCGAATTGATCATCGTGCTCGACGTATGTGAACGAAACTGACAGGCTCCATCGCGCGTCGGCGCCTCCTCTCGTGCTCCTGCTCGGCAGGCGCATCCCACTCCTCAGTCCAACTCCCAGCCACCCGGTCGACCCGCACAGCCACCCGCACCGCCCCACCAGTCAACATCGCGTCCAGCTCGTCCTCGAATGCAGACGCGGAGAGGCACCCGAAGCTGCGCGGTAACGCCGCGTGCGGGATGGCTGACCCCGGGCGTGAGATGACGGGTTTTGCGGGTCGCGCGAAGCGTCGCAGCCCGAGGGGAAGGCGGACGGAGGGCCGGAGTATTGCGAGGACGGTGTCCGAGCTCGGTTCGGCGTCCTCCTCCTCCTCCACTTCCTGCTGTAGAGTGACTTGCTTGCGTTTGCCGGTGGCAGGGATCCGTTCTGGGCGTGGCGGATAGGTATACACTGGTAGCGCGGCGCTGGAGCTCGATGCGCCGGACGAGCGTGAGGACTCCAGGTCCGATAGCGCGTCCGCCGGGAAGTCCAGCACAGACGAGACACACGAGAAGCGCGAGAGGTCGTACGCCGGCGAGCTGCAGCGGATGGAGGATATAGACGCGCCGGAAGAACACGACGAAGATGCATAAGATTCGCGCTGAATTAGAGTATGTGTGAGTGAGTTGCGCCTTTGGCCAAAGGACTGATTGCGCGCACCGCCCACGCTTTGTTGGAGATCTCGAATCTCTGCGAGTCCATCTTTTGTAGTCTTTCTGTGTGATTGAACATGCACGGAGAGGGGGTGAAACGAAAGCCGCTTGGGGGAAACTGGAGATGGAATAGACGAGAGGGACGGCGGAAGCGTAGAACCAAGTGTAATTTGTACGCTCTGGCGGCGGATCGTGACGAGGAGCAAGCCATGCATGAATCCATTGCCTTCCTTTTGAAGCAGGCCGTGGCTCCGAAGTTGTCATTGTCTCCCCGGTTGGGCCACACACGAGGCTGCGCTTTGTCTGGAAATTGATGCGGATGGCAATGGGCTTTGTCCCGTCAACATGCTTTGGGAGAGCAAAGATCTACGGGTAGTACATATATGAGCGTAAGTGGGTTGGCTGCACACGCTGTAAGACGCACCCTATTTCTGGAGCAGAGCACCCAGGTGGGTGCCCCTGCCGCTCACGCTTCTTGTCTCCAATCCGCTCTAACCTCTACGCACAGATCACAATGACGAACTATCCTTCATCGTACCAACCCGGCAAATGCGAACACGAGTCTACTCGGCAGCGATCTAGAGACACCATCTACTCGGCGAAACCATTGCCGAAGACGCCCAGTGCTAGAGCGGAGGATCTGTTTATCATCGCGCGAGCGACGAGGGAAAAGCTACAGTTTCATCGAGGGCGACTCTGCAGGGTGACTGTAGAGGATAGTCATCTGTTAGTCAGGCCGTTCTGAGTGGAACGAGAGTGGTGACTCACAGGCGCTTCAATTTGCGAACTTGGAGACGCTGTACGTTACATCCATGCCCTCTGAGTAGGGAACGGAGCAAGGCGAGCCGTTCATTTGATACCGCGTCGCATGCATTGTCTGTACAGATTCGCAATCCCAGAGATGATAGATCACAAGTTGTGGACGGCCACAGAGAAATGGATTGCATCGCCACCGCCACGCGCCGATCATGATGATCGGATATTGACGAGTGACGTCTGGTATCTGAAGCAGCCCCTATCTTGTCTCTCTCACAGCCGACTGCGACCGTCGAAATGCGCTCTGTCTACGGTGAAGAGTTCTCGTCGAATGTATCTTTGGCTCTTCAAGAGAGTCCGATAAAGAAACACCCGCGATTCTTCCTCTCAGATGGCACCGTGATCTTCTCGGTATGTTACTACTGGCCTTGTAATCGCCGGGAGTGGTAACTATGAGAGCTGACAACGAGGCTGAAAGGTTGAGAGAATTTTGTACAAGGTGCACCGCTACTTCTTTGAGCGAGACTCGCTGGCTTTCGCGGGGATGTTCTCTCTGCCGACGGCATCGGGGGAGCGGCCTGAAGGTGAAGTCGTGGAGAACCCAATCGTGCTCGAGGGGATCTGCACAGTCGACTTTGACCGACTTCTCTCCGTTTTCTATCCCGCGTATGTGCCTGCCACAGGACTGCCTGCATCCCGGGCTGACCGACTCCCCCGTCCGGCAGCGACTTTGCGACGCGAGATTGCGCCTCGGTCGAGGAGTGGACCTCGATCCTCTCGCTCTCAACGCGCTGGGAGTTCACGTCTATCCGAGAACTGGCCATCCAGCACCTCGGGCCGTCGACCTCCGCCGTGGAACGCATCGCGCTCGGCCGCCGCTTCGATGTGGGACCGTGGCTTGTTCCCGCGTACACAGAGCTGTGCGAGCGCATGGATCCGCTGACTCTCACTGAGGGACAGCTGCTCGGTGTGGATATCATCATCCGCATCCAGCAGGTCCGACATTCGATCCGGTATGCCTCCAATCTCAATAGACACCACGACTCAATTGTAGCGCTTGTTCGAGATGTTCTTCTTTGAGGGGGACATTCGCAGCGCTATATATGTCTCAGATAACTTGCTTATTTATTGGATTGCGTAATGGACAACTTCGAATTCATTCTCATGAACAGATTCGACAGTCGGATTGCAGGAAATACACTGTCAACGATGTCATTTCAGTATTCATTCAACGCCAAAGCGGGGGACACGGAGTCACTGAATTCGCGCTGAAGGTTCTTGGAGGCTTTCTCCGTTGTGCAGATGAGCCGGTGAAAATCGGAGAGCTTAGACTCTCTTCTCAGCTTTGTATGCAAATACCCACTCGACCTTCTTAGCCCAATGATTGAAGCTACGTACAAGTTCAACTTTGAGTTAAAAAATTAAATAGCAATACCGCTCGCCCGGCCGCTTAATTACACGTGACCTTATGTTCGTTGAAATTGTCGTTCACGTCGTTTGAAGGACTTGAGGGTGGAAGAAAGCAGTATGCAGTTATTTATTCCTAAGGCTAGCTTCGTACTTGAACTTACAGCCGAGTTCATCTGGGTCAGTGGCTTTTTTCGACTTCTCATGACGACATGCCATAAGGATTTAAGCCGAATCGACCCTCTAGCTAATAAGCTGCATCACATGCGGGGCAGAACAGAGAACGACGCGTTTTGTCAAGGCTATTTGTTTGGCCTCTGAAGCTTTTTTCAAAGTTTGGCGCTTTTTGTAGGATCTTCGCTGTTCATATCCTAGTACAACCGCTTTTTCACGAACAGGCTAATCAACCAATGAAATTTCTACTCGGGTGCACCATTGGCGCATCTTTTCGCTAGACCTACTTAAACTTAGCAGGCGCCTCACAGGGTCCTGATCATATCACGGAGATCTCCAGCAAAAATATCTTACGTTATCTAGATTAGGGCACGTACACACATCATGTGCCTGGAGAACACTCGCTTGACCATACGCTACCCTCATGGAACCTCCGCCACCGGCGCCCCCACCACGGTCTCCCCTGCGCCCTCCACCGACATCTCCACCGTCTGAACAGACTGTTTCGAAACGACAGCATGCTCTCACGGAGCTGATCGCTAGCGAACGTGCTTATGTTTCGGATCTGGCTCTGGTGCTGGAAGTACACGTCCCACTGGGTGGGTAGAGGACTCTATACCCTCCCCTCCACATCTCAACGACTTTTCAGCTGAAGGTCCCATGTCTCTGGACGACATTAGGATAATCTTTGGGAACATCGAGGAGTTGGCCGAATTGTCGGATGCCTTGGTGGAAGCCATGGAACGCACGATGGGGACTGCGCTGGAAAATGCGGACGCAACGGACGATAAGATCGGGGAGCTTTTTCTGCGGTATGCACCAGAGGTCGAGGCGCCTTACAAGCAGTACATCACGCGTCATCCCTCCGCCCTCGCGCACTTGAATTCACTACCGCAGACGCCCGAGCTCACGGCATACCATCAAAAATGCCGGGACACCGCTTCGACGCTGTCGCACGCCTGGGACTTGGCTTCTCTGCTGATAAAACCGGTCCAGCGATTGCTCAAATATTCACTCCTACTCGCGGCTATCATCGATGCGACCGCGCCGACGCACCCGGATCGGCCCAACCTTGTGGCCGCTCGCGCCGCAATGGAAGAGGTTGCTCATGCAGTTAACGAGGGGAAGCGGCGAGCAGAGGTTGTGAAAGAGGTTCTAACCTCCCCGAAGAAGCCGCCTACGATGCTCCGCATAAAATCCTTCCGCGCGCCTGCGGATGTGAATTCTGAGGCGGCCCGTGTCGACCGAATGGCCGCTGAGCTCGCCAGAATCGATGTGTTCGCGCAGCAGTTCTCGCGATGTGCGCAGGAATGGGCCAGGATGGCGGACACCGCCGCTCACACGCTGCTGGCCTGGGCCAAGGCGTTCGGTGCCGCGATCGGGCTCTCCGCGACAGTGCGGTCCGAAGCCTTCGATGCGTTCCTCTCGACGCTGACCGCGAACATCCTGCCTGCATCGGCTGCGTTGCTGGCGCAAGTCGCGTCGGACCTGCTCGCGCCGCTCGCGCGACTTTTGGCGACTGCGGCTCAGCCGAGGCAGCTGATTGCGAGCATGGTCGAGCACGCGCCGTTGCATCACCACCTGCTTACGATGCCCGTGTCAGCCAAGAACCGGCCTCCGCCGGCGCTTCTCACGGCCTCGGCGCACTATCTCGCACTTCGGGGACAGCTGTTCGCCGAACTCCCCACCTACCTCGCGCTTCTCCACCGGGGACTTGCTGCGCTGGTGCGCCGACTCGCGGCTGTCCAGGCTGGCTTCTTCGGTGTAACACGTGACACGTGGGCCGGGCTGTGGGACATGCTGCGAGTCGAGGGCGAGCGGAACGGCGGCGGCAGCGAAACCGAGGCCGTCTGGCGGGCGCGGTGGGGCGATGTGGACGCGGGTCTGCTGTCTCTGGGCATCTGTCATCCACTGCGTATCTCGCAGCAACTGTCGCTCTCGTCCCCAGTCGTGGAAGCCATCAGCATCAGCAGCGGCGAGTGGCAGAACACAGTCCCCGGGTCGCCCACATCTCCGCAGCACTACGAGCGCGCGAGCTCGAGCTCCGCCAGCGTCCACAGCTCGCACAGCGGACAGGCAACTCAAGTCAACAACATGCTTGCCGCGCTGGAAGGCCCGCGCCGGTCCGGCCAACCGGCACCAGTCAATGCGGCCGCTACAACTGCGATGCTCAGCGCCCTGCATCCGAGTCCCCCGCAGGTCAGCGGGCCGTTCCCCTTGTCGCCGTCTCGGCCTCATGCTTTGAGCGACACCGGCACCGGCTGGTCCGGGTTCCCTGGCTGGAATTCGACATCACGTGGGAAGAGCCCCGGCCGCAGTGCCACAACTAACGGAAAGAAGACCGTCCGAGGCAAGAGTCCCACTCCCACACAGAAGAGCATGCGTGACGGAGGCCTCGAGCTGGGAGTGACCATCGCTGAAATGGGCTGGGACTATTCTGGAGCCCTGCTACCGCCCAAGAAAATTAAGGATCCAGAACGAGAGGAGGAGAAGATGCGCGAAAAGGAACGGGCGAGACTGAGGAAACTCGAGCAAGAGGAGGAAAAGGCCAGGAAAAAGGAGGAGAAGAAGAAGGAAAAGGACAAAGGCCTCAAGAACAGCAAGAGCGCTGATCGAGGATCGTTGGCCAGTTCGAAATTAGCACTGCTCGAGAACGGCGGGTACGGTTCTGTGGAAAAGAAAAGCAGCCGGTCTTCGAACGGCAAGAAGGCTGACGAACGCGAGCAACGCGGAGTTGCTCGAAGGACCAGTGATATCACGAACAACATGTCCCCCGGCACGAAACGGTCGGTCTCGCGAGGAAGACCGATTTCCGACGAACCCTCATCGCACATGCGCGCCCGTGCGCCGCAGCTCCCTAGACAGACTTCTCCTGGGCCCGAGAACGAGCAGCTCAGGGCACGGCGGTCCACCTGGCTCGCAGCTCCAATACAATACTCCTGCCGAGTCATCCAACCGTGCAAACCCCCCGAGACCGAGTCCTATTTTGGATACCCGTTTTTCACACTGGAAGAACACGCTATTTTTGGTGTGTTGCACGAGGCCGGACACCCATCGACGCATCCCCGGCTCCCGCTGTATGTGGATGACGGCGAGGACTGTCTGCTGCTGTGCCGCAATGCCTCGGACGACATCGGATGGGTGCTGGCGAGTTTCCTGGCGCCGCTCGCCGCCGACTGACGGAGTTCTCGATGCGGCTGTATTATGCTAGATATACCCAGGAGCATCTGTACCAATATAATAATATCATTTTTGATCTAAGTACCTATTGACCGAATTTAAGCCGGGCTGGTGTCGCTGGCTCGTGAGTGCGAGGGTCAACACGCTCCATCTGGGCATTCAGCGGCCAGAGAGAGTTGCAGAACACATTTGTCGGATCGTATTTCTTCTTGATCTCGCACAGGCGGGCCCAGTTATCGCCGTAGCAGGCTATCGTGCGCTCTGGTGGCTCATGTCTTCCGAGAAACTACCAGTCGGTTAGTGCAAATCACCAACATCCCCTGGGGTGGCAACTCACACAGGGATAGGGACCACCGCATCGAACGGGCGTGAGTGTCCCAAGGATCCACTGGGCCGAATGCGTCAGCAAGCACTAGATGGAGCTGATGTGTATCATCCTGACCTCTTCGGCAGCATCGATGCAACGTGAGTCATCCATGTCCATCTCCCATTGGTGCAGTGCAGCGATAGTGAACGCCGCCTCCCGTTGCGATTTCGGCAGACAGTTGTCGTCAAAGTCCGCCAAAGCGCCGCCCGCCAACTCAAACAACCAGGCTATGCGGGGGTAAGCAAGCAGGCGGTAATCCCGGAGCCGAGACGTACTGCATCCCACAGGCGTGTCTGCGAATTGCGTGACGGTCTCGTTAATGATGTCGTCCGGGAGCGAGGATATAAGCGAGGAGCGGATGAACCACTGACGGCCAGCTGTGGGAGTATGTTGAGAACGAAACAGATCGGAGCAGCATAAGCGGCTGACGTTTCCCCCGCAGAACTTGAGCAACACTGTCTTGTTGGTGAAGGAAACTCTTCTCGTGGACTTCATTGAGAAGGCATTTCTCGCCATCCCAGGAAGAGAGGGCCAGCAGATATTCCTGCCCCTTCTCTTGTGGTCCCACATAACACATCTGCACCACGATCAACGAGTCCTTGCCTTGCGGTCCTGCAGTTAGCAGGACATTGGCATACAGTTCACGAGGTGCTCCTTTGATGCAATCGCGAAAGTGTTTGATAAGGGATGGAGCAGTAGATCTTCTGAAACGACTAGAAGCAATCGGTCAGAGAGCGCACAGAAAGTGGAGTGACGCACTAGAGCAAGTTCCCCGCGAAAACTACTCTGAGACAATATCAGGACCGAGGGATACAAAAGCGAGAGCAGAAAGAAACGCACGGAACGGGGAATGCCCTAGCGATGTAACGGGTGACGACGCCGAATGCAGAGCCAGCACCACGCATGGCCCACCAGAGATCCGAATTCTCATTCTTGTTGACGATCACAATCCGACCGTCTGCCAGAACCATCTCGACCTTGAAAAGGATAAGAGACTCTTCATTCAACACGAAACGCCACCTCGTACCTCCACGACGTTATCGATGGTAAGTCCATGGACACGAGCCAGGAAACCGAATCCTCCCAGTAGGGCAACACCAGATCCGACAGGATGGGCAGAGCTTGAAATGATCGGGTCAGCCCCCGCACGCCAGGCACGAAACGAACGAACTCACAACGGGACGTGATACGGAATGGGTCTGGAGTGCGCTTCCAGCGGATGGTTCGCGGTGAACGTATCGATCTCCTTCTGCCTCATTCCCGCTCCGAACGTCACATAGGCATTAGCGTGGATCGGCCGCGCGGGGGAGGCCAGGTTCGATGGTGGGACAGCGGGCAGGCTCGAATTGGTCACCAGTCGCCCCGTGGCCCACGGCTCTTGATTCGTGCGAGGAATGTAGACTTGCTGCGTCACCGTCGGCGGCAGCGGCGCAGGGAAGTCGTTCTGATCATCCAGATATCCAAACGGGTCCCCACCCGCGACCGGCCGTTGCTTTGGGGCCGGAAACGCAGACGGATCGGGGGACCGGGCTGGCGTGGTATGTTCTGTCGACTGCGTATCCCGGCTGTGGGTCCCACTGGTGACATCGAAAACGTGCTCGGAGTCGCCGGTGGAATTCGAGGAGGACCTGCCCTCTTCCTCGGAGTCGGCGCGGGGCTCCTCCAGCCGTCGGCGAACAGCTTGACGGGTCTCGGAGTCAAATGAGTGCGGAGTCCGGAGGAATTCAGAGACAGCCTGCGAAGCAGAGTTGTTCAGTAGCAGGGCAGCATCATCTTCGCGTCGGCGCTTTGCACTAGGCCCGGCGTTCTTCAACTTATGTACAGCGTCTTGATCACGAAGCCCGGTGTATCCGGCTCCAACATTCGTGGGCGGCTGACGCGAGTTGTGAGCAAAGAACGGCCGTGTCGAAGGGACCATAGACTGACCTCGATATCCATGTCGACCAGTTTCGAGACATCGATGATGATGTCGCCTGGGAGAGAGGATGAGTGGAGGAAGTTCACACATGTCCATGGGGAGGAACTCACCACCGATGGACCATCCTCCAGTCCCAAATCCACCGGCCTTCACACTAGCCGGTCGCGTAAATCAGCCGAGAACCCACGGCACGCGATGCAGATACTCACCTCGGGGAAAGCGAGTGTTTGGTGCAGAATCTGATTATTCTGTTTCAAAGCGCGTGGGTCACACATGGACGACTGCCGTCACGACAAGCAGCCCCTTACTTGCTCACGTCTTCGGCATCCAAGGGGCAAACGACCGCTTTTGCAACCGTGACGACGTTGCCGTTGAAAATGCTCGAGTATTCGACAAAGCTGGGCGGTGAGGATCAGCGGAGTGCTCTGGATCAACTAGCGCGGGGCACATTACTCGGAATCGCCTCTCAGATGGACTTGTCCCCGGATACTCGCACCCAGTTCTTCGTACAGCTGTTTCGAAAGAGTCGACTCGGGAGTGCCTGGCATGGGGGTTGTTGGCGAAGGGGAGTGTATGTAAGATGGTTGTGTGTATTCCGGAGGCGGCGGGAAAGGCACTGGAGTGCTTGCATGAGAGTCGCCGTCCTTTTATTTTGATTAGCACGGCTTACTTGACCACTTCGCGAAGCGATCTAGTGTGCCCTAGGAACCACTGACTGGTGACTACTCTGGCGCCGAACAAGGCTGTCCACCCACTTCGGCGAACTTTCGACTCGGAATTCCGACCGCACGGCTTCCTGATCTGCTGCACAAGCCTCGGTATCTGGGCAACTGCAGAAAACCTGTGCGAGTGTGCACGCGCTCAGGAGAAGAGTCAGAGTTGACGTTATATTTAATGAAGCGCGTCCAGCAAAAGCAACAATGGATCCCAATCTTTTGATTTATACATTGGTTGTTCGGCATGCCAGATGCAAGTGCATGAGACAGGAGCACTTGAGTGTGAGCAAGCGGGAAATGGGGTGTGGAACTCCCTCGCCAAGGAATCGGAAGCCATGGAACGGCAGAGCATTCTTAAAATAACGCGCGGGCGACAATGAGAATCACGAAGCTAAATGGACTGGGCCAATAATCTCCAGCAATCCGACCCTTAGGGCTGAAGCGGGTTCGATAAGTTTATTTGAGTCTGCGGGGAAAGCTCGTTATGTACAAATACTTACACCGCATGATCCAGCAGGAAGTCGCGGAGCTAGCCAGTAAGATGCCAATGTTACAGGCGCATGTCAATAGAATAAGGTCGCTGTATAGAGCAGGGTGTTCGCATGGAACTCGCCACCTCCAGCCGATTCCGTAAGAGTCTGCTTCCAAGACTGGTCGCGGTCTGCTGACAACAGTGCCGGAGTCGTTTTCACGGGAATGGTGAAAGCAGGCGCCTGGGTCGGATCGAAGGGATCAATCAATTGGCATATCACGCAGCTAGTCCAGGTCAACTCTCCGGTACAAGTCAAGCAAGGAACGCTTCGCTTACGGGGCAGGTTCTTCCGCCCGGACATTCTTGTACCGTGGCAGGCCCTTGACGATCGCCTCCACCGAGTTCCAAACAGACTGATCGAACTGCCAGGGGATAAGAACACGCAAAGGATCGAGATTGCGATCGCAGGCACCATGTCTTGGATCTCTTCCAATGAAAACACGAATGCACTTTCGACCTGAACCAGTTCGATGGTCTTACGTGACCCGGTGTATCGCAGGTATACGACCAGCACTTTCTTCTTGCCGGCTTCTGGATCCTTGGCCAGATTCAGCGCGTGAATAGCTGAGATTGAGTAAGATTCCAGAAAGACGACAGTCCGCTTTGATTAATCAACTGACCCGCTTTCTGCAGAGCAGGCCGATGGATATCTCGCCATGTTCTCAGCGCAATATAATTCCCTGTGAACTTCTGCGTTTTCACTGACACCTCGGTTGATTCAACTGGGATGAAAAGCTGAGAGATGCCTGTTACCTTGTAACCGAGGTATAGTTCCTCTGGGCCAAGCACACTCAGCAAGAAGGATCTCCTGCCAGTTGATGACTCCAAAGCCCGTCGTTCGATAACCATGCATGTCCTTCGGCATCATCCAAGTCTGGAATGTGTTTCGGCCTGAGGCGTGTTTTCAAAAGTCGCGTCCCGTCCGCTACAGCGAGACTACGCACAACCCTCCGCGAATTCGACGATCTGGAAGGAGATGCATGTTTCCGATTTGGCTTTCGCGCGCTCTTGACCAATTCGTTGGTCCTCTCTCGGATTACCCGATTGAGCGCCGTATAACTCTTCGTACTGCTCAAACAGGATCGGACCCGCAAATGACACAGTGAACCGATGCTTAGCCCCAGGGGTGTCCGCAAGCGCGACAAAGAAGACTGGATGGAACGTGGGCATCAGAACTGTCCCGGTTCAGAGAGAGGCACTGGAGAACCGAATTCATCTGCATTCTCGGGGAAGTGGCAGAGATCGAGAGCAGAGATCGCAGCGGCAATTAATTTGGCACGATTTTTCCTGTCCCAGATCACAATATCCTCAATCGTTTTCTTCGCACGGTCAGGCATGGCTGCTTTGTCTTCTTTGTCCTGTTTACTGGAATCGTTGGGTCAAGGCAATTGCTGGCTAGGTGAGATCTACCATTGAATCTTATGTCGAGGCCACTGGCAGGTCTGTTTAATGCCAGAGATATGAGATGAGGAAATTCACACACGTCCGATTTCTGGCACTGAATGCTTTATTGAAAGATTATCATACAGTGATAGATATCGGAACACGTTCAGGACTTGCCTGCAATACAACGCGACCCCCTTCCCTGCCACAGAACATCCTCCGCACGCTCTCAAGTTTCCTCCCCACTCGGTTTTCCTGCATTTATTAAATCCTCGAGTGCGAGCCGCTGTCGGTGGAAGCTCACGTATTTCTACACTGCCCGCATACATTCAGCTCTTGATCATTCGAGCCTCTGACGAACGCACTGTAAGATATGTACATTCATGCACAGCTTTGTTGCGATATTTAGTTTCCATGGTAGTACATACTATCCCACTGGGGGGTCTGAGGCAGTGGGCGTCGGGGACAAGAGGTGGTCAAAGCCAAGGTCAGATCGTATTTGACACTGCTTGCATCCACGGATCAACGAACCGGGCTGCCAACTTCAACTTTGCCTTTCGTTGCTTAACCACTCTCTTGCCTCTCACAGTATGTCTCCGGAAGGGGATGGATCCAGACGCAGTGCCTACGCACGAGACTCTCCCTCTGACTATCGACGGAGGGGAAATGAAAGAGATGACTTGAGCCGATACGACCGCCCCAGACGCTCAAGATCGCGCTCGCCAACGCGTTACGACAGAGACCGTGAACGCAGGAGAAATCGCAGCCGGAGCAGAGACGAAGGCAGAGAAAGAGGCCTGGAGCGGGCGCGGAGTAAAAGCAGGAGTCCGCTCCCCAAGCGTCGAAGGCTATCTCGCGGCTCCCTTTCTCGCTCCCGTTCTCGCTCTCGTGACGCTGACAGGCGGCGGAGGCGCAGGTCAATATCTTCGCATAGCGTCTCTTCGGAGGACTCTGAGCGCAGAAGAAGAAGGAAACGGAAGGAGAAGGAGAGCAAACGAAGCAAGAGCGAAGAGAGAGAGCGACGCGAGCGGAAGGAGAGGAAGAGGGAAAGGAAAGAGAAGGTGCGTGGAGACTATTGGTGTATGTCTCTCGTGACCCCCCCAAGTAGAAGAAGTCGAAGAACAAAGCTCAATGGGGAAGATTTGGAATCATCACCGACACAGAGTATGTTCTTCCCACCGAACAAGGGAGCATGTTGACTGAGCGCGTATCTTAGTATGTTCACAAAGGCACAAGAGTTTCATACTTGGTGTGTTGTCTTCGCGTCGCCCTCCTTGCCTTCGTCCTGAGCAATTCCAAGGCTGGTCGAAGAACGCAAAATCAATCCAGAAACCATGTCCAAAGACCAGAATCGGAAAGAGTTCGCCAAGTACATGGAGGACTATAATACAGGTGCACGCATCGTCCATATCGTATGCGCGCTGATCTTACATACCTTTCAGCGACTTTGCCGGATGAGAAGTACTACAATATGGAAGCCTACAACCGACGAATGTCCGCGCTGAGACAAGGGGACTTTGTGCCTCCCCCTGAAGACACCTATGACGCAGAAGCGGATATGAAAGCTCTCAGCGGTGCTCACAAGAAGAAACACGTCGATCAGGATCTCCATCTCAATCGAGAGCAGCTTATGGAGCTGCGCAAGGTCCAAAATGAGCGTGTGCAGGTTTGTCAGCAACTTGATCTCGACTTGGCTCGCCACTCATCTCCGTCTCAGGTCGGCAAAATGAAGCAGTTGGGAATGGACATCAAACAGAACATGGGTGTTCGGATGGATGGTTCAACTTTCGATGACTAGAGAGAGGGCCGTGCATATGTGGTGCTACGGGAAGCAGCCGCAAGGTCAAGGTACCTGAACTTTGAAGGCGATGATGAGTCATGACCAACCACGTCTTCTGGCGATTCCCTTTTGCGTGCCCCTTGGTCAGCCTTGGCGCCTAAAAGGAGTGACGGTCTCGGCCATTCCCGAAAATGAATCTCTCTTGTGACACTATCATGCTCAATCAATGGTGGGCATCTGGACCGAAGAACGATTGCTGAGCTTAGTCGAAGAGAAGAGCATTTTCGCATCATATTGATTCAAAATTTTCTTGCAATGTTTTCACTCTCCGAGTGGGTTGTGCTCCTTTGTATGGACCATCGTCCCTTCCTTTTTTGGTAGTTCTCTACCTGGCACTCGTCAAAGTACCCAGACTTGATCTCTGGCTGATCTTTATCCTTATCCTCGCTTGCACTGTCGACTATAAAGTGTTTACGGCGCTGTTTGTGGAGTGAGTTGATCGCCTCCCACACACCCAGCGTCTTGTTCGTTTACTTACCGTGTGCCTCGCCACTGCCTTTCTATTCTGGACCAGAAGACGGCTCTAATGGGGCCTACCGGTATCCTTGCCCTCCTTCGACGTTCCGGCACGTCCCGAACAAGCTTGCGTAACGCAGCATGCGTCTCGGGCAGAAACACCTCAGCCATCAAGTTGCACCTAGTCTGGCATTGACCCGCAGTCCTGAACGTTCAGCCGACTTCCGGCAGATCCCACGCCGAAATTAGTGCCATCGACATCTTGGGACTGCCACAGCTTGGCCGTTTCAGGAGATTTGGCGCGGAGGGGACCCGGCGAGCCTGGCTCGATATCGATGCGGGCCCTGTGCGGGGTGCCATGTGCTCCACGAAGCGACATCGATTGAAATCATAGGCTAAAAGGATCAGTGTGATGACTACTGGCACATACGCAATATCCTGTTCCTGCAATGACCACCTCCTCCATGGATGACGAAAACGACGAGCTGGCGAGGATCACCGTGCCTTCGTCGTCTCCGAGCGCGACATACACGAACTGGGGCCTGGCGTTTGCCTGCCGTCCTCTCGCGATCTTCGAGCCCGAAACCGAGGAGCATTGTCAACTCGTGCTGCAGCTGGCGAAGAGGGAGGGCCGGGTTTTACGCGCGGTCGGCGTCGGTCACAGTCCCAGTGATCTTGCGTGCACTGGTGACTTTATGTTGCGGATGACGAAGATGAACAAGTTACTAGAGGTGCGCACTGCAGACATCCCGTCGCGGAGGTGCCTGGGTCTGATCTTCAGCGCAGGTGGACCAAGAAAAGCTCGTCGTCGTCGTGCAACCGGGCATAACGCTCAGTGACCTGCATGTCGTCCTCGGCGAGCATGGGCTGGCTATGCGCAATGTCGGGTCGATCTCAGAGCAGACCCTCGGAGGAATCGTTACCACGGCCTCGCACGGATCTGGTATCACCTATCCAGTGATGTCCGCGCATGTGCTCGCGCTGCGACTGTTGCTCGCCGATGGATCTACAGTAACATGTTCGCGGGAGGACCGGTCGGATCTGTTCCTTGCTTCTCTCTGCGGTCTCGGTGCCACGGGTATCATCCTTGCCGTGACTATGGAAGTAGAACGGGCGTTCCGTCTCAAAGACGAGCAATGTTCCCGAAGCTTCGAGGATCTGCTCGAGAACTTCCCCACCCTCATACGATCTGCGGAACACGTCCGATTCTGGTGGATTGCAGCCTCCCAAACTGTCAAATGCAGCGCCGTCAATCGCACGTCCGAGGTGCGCAAGCCCCCCTCTGTCCGTGCCGCAGCCTGAATCTGCGCAGCCCAAACGGCCCCCGGTGCCGTGGTTTTGGAGTTCGTTCATGGCATACCACGTCGTCCAAGTGATGTTGTTCCTCGGCCGATATATTCCGGACGTGAACACGCTGACGGGGCTTTTTGTGTCTTGGCTTGGATCAGCACCTGTTACTCTCGTTGATGACAGCCACACCATCTTCAATGTGGAGTGCCGGGTGTGTGTTCTGCCGTTATCTTATCTCGATCCCGTGACCGATGTCGACATATAGTATCCGCAGCACACAACTGAATGGGCGGTTCCGCTGGACAAGGCCCAAGTCTGCCTACGTGCACTACAGGAGTGGATGGCGCAAGAGCTCAGGGACCCCAAAGGGCTGCGCACACATTTTCCTTTCGAGATACGGTTCTCGGCTGCAGACGACATCTGGCTGAGCCCGAGTTATGGACGCGAGACTTGTTGGATCGGGATCGCCCAATACAAGTGCGTGTTATGATACTTCTCAATCTGTAGCTCACCCGACTGTGTCAGGCCGTACGATCTCAATGTTCCATACAAACGTTTCTTTGCCGGGTTTGAAAAGGTCGTGTCCAGTCACGGGGGCAGACCCCATTGGGCAAAAGCCCATCTCTTTGGGCCAACAGAGCTGCGCAAGCTCTATCCCCGCTTCGACGACTTTGTGCGCGTCCTGAAGGATGTTGATCCCGACGGTCTTTTTCAGAATGAATACGTACGCCGGCATGTCTTTGGGGATATCATCGACAGCAGGACGTGGAGGATCAGAAAAGCATGACTCCTTTCTCCCGTGTCACACACCTGGTTGTTAGCCTCCTAGTACAGATAGAAACATTTACGAATAATCACTACATTTGTTGTTGTTTCACGTCTCCACTTTTAGACGATCTTCACTTTGTATGTTGCCGTCTTCTCAGCCTCCTCGCCCCAGAGGCTGATGTCCCACTTGGGTGTGTACCGGAAGGGAATGTTGTACCGCACGGGTTTCTTGCCCAGCTCGTTGAGTTTGGCAAAGTCTGCGTCGCTGAGCTTGACCTGCTGGAAGTTGGCGATGACCCGCGACGCGGTCACACTCTTCGGGATCACGGAGTAGCCGCGTTGAATGCCCCATGCCAGCAGGACCTGCGCGGGCGACACGCCCATCGACGTCGCGACCTCGACGATCACGGGGTTCTCCGTGAGCAGGGGAGCGCCGATAGCTGTTTCGATCGTCAGCCGGCCGGCGAGCGTCTCCGCATGCTGGAGGTTACGTACAGTTGTTTCCGAGAGAGCTGTACGCCGTGATGTGGATGTTCTTGGAGTTGCAGTACGCGACGAGCTCGTCTTGGGGAAGCAGCGGGTGGCCCTCGATCTGGTTCGCAACGGGCACGACGCCGGTAGCCTCGATGATGGCCTCGATGTGCTCAATAGTGAAGTTCGAGACGCCGACGTTGCGGACCTGGCAAGAATCAGACCCCTAGCTGTCAGAAACTGTGCTCGATCGCACTTTGGATTTGGGCAAGGCGATCATAGCTTTCCACGTATCGACGAGAGAGGTCTCGGTGTCAAGGGCAACCTCGCCGGGTATGGTTGGGTGCGGTGGGTACAGGCCATTTCCAGGCTGGAATGCCACGGGCCAGTGGATCACTAGCCAGTGCACCGCGTCAGACAATTGTACCCAGTGGTGAATCTACACGCACGGTACAGATCAAGGTATTCAATGCCCAATTGCTTCAAAGTCTCGTCGAGCTCCTTTTCAACCTCAGCGGGCTGGTGGGCCGAGTTCCAGCACTTGGAGGTGATGAAGACCTCCTCGCGCTTCACGACGCTGGGGAAGATCTTTTTGAAAGTCTCGCCGATCTCCTGCTGGTTCTCGTAGATCATGGCGAGATCGAGATGTCTGTATCCGTTCTTCACGGCGACCTCGACCTGAGCGTGGGCAGATCAGCACTGATGAAGAACTGCGACTCGGAAGGGTCGACGCACCGCGTTTCCGACCTCGCCAGGCTTGGCTTGCCATGTGCCGAAGCCGAGCTGTGGGATGGGAGTGCCGCTCGACAGAGTGAGAATCTTTCCGAAAGACATGATGTTGGATCTAGTTGGAGAGCAAAATGCGGAGATTAGGAAACGACCTTGCCCATCTTATGTAGGCCTCGCAAGCCGGTCCGTGCGGTCCGCTGAACCGGGCCGCTTAGATGAGAAGATGGGAGGCCACCTGAAGGCCTTTAGTCTCACCGAGATGGCGCATCGAGCTGGGCGTTGATGTGGAAATAAACCTTGTGAGATGGGGTCATCGCATTATTATGGCTCTGCATGCATGAATCAGGCTCGCACCCAACACAGCGAGATGCAGAACGACCGGGGTGCAGCTGACCCTTAGCCAGGTGGGGTTCATTCACGCGATATGCCCCAGGCTGATTCTTCGTGATCCGTCCGCCGTCTTCCCCGAGCCCTCAGCCCGATTGTGAAGTGGGCTTACACAGTTACGAGAACATCACGTGATGTTGTGACATGACGCGACAGTGACTCTGTTACAATCTTATCTGATTTGTCCTTTTTTACGCTTCTACTGATCAATTACTTGTTGACCGTGACTGAGGAAGACCACCGCAGCATAGTATGACCACCGTGATCCACTAATCAAAATAATTATGCTCGAACAAATTTACACAGGCCCAAAACATGCAGAAAAGGCAGCCTTCACAGGCCGAGGAGTTGCTTAGATCGAGCCCAGGCCAACTATGGCGTGGATCACTCCCAAAGAGTAACATAAACTCACCTGGAAAAACTTGAACTGTGACAGAAGATATGCGTAGATATCATTTTTCTTGGGATCTTGCTCTGAACAGAAGCAAAAATTACAAGCTGAGGCCCCCTGCTCAAGGATCTGGTGTCGATCTTCTGGATCTTGCTCTATTCGCATCACGATGGAAGTGGTACTCAACGCAATACAGTACTGGTATGTCTTTCTGAGTTTAGGGGGAAAGGAAGCCTCGGCAATCGATACACTAACCTTATTAGGGAGTTATCACTAACTTGAAAGCAAACATGTTGGCCTACAACTCTGCAACTCTGCAAATGCGACAATGAGGGGTGCAAAAAAGCTAGATCTCGAGGTGCAATAGACAAGAGATTGAACATCGCACTACCAGAAATGGTATTTAGTAACTGCAAACTGTGCCAGTGGGGCAATTGAGCTAGAGTCTCATTCTCCATGAAATTTATGTCAAATCTCCCCTAAAGCAGCTCTGAGCGACGGAACGGATGTGTTCAAACTCGCAAATAAATCAATACCAACATCCATCCATTCAATCACGGCGTAACGTGATAATAAGTGTGACACAAAAGTGACACGTGGCCAAATTAGTCTGTGCTCAGAGTGACAGATGCCTCCGCAGGCTCGCCTTCATCCATCTGGTATGGGCTACGAGCGCAAGCGGAATCTCAACACCTCCTCGTCAGCGACATCCGCGCTGTCCAGGTCGGCGTACTCGAACGGCAGCCACACGATGGGCAACTCCTACAACCAGCACCAACGTGCGGCATCGCCCCCAGCGTCCACGTACTTCGTTTCGCCCTCCGGCGACTCCACCGCTGCGCGGCTACGACCCACCCCCGACGCAGACTCGCACTTCGCGTACAGCACGACGCTGCGGCGGCACCCCGCGGAGGGGCTGCCGCTCTCGCCGACCGATTTTGCGCATGCGGTCAATGCCGAGGCGACCAGTTTGTGGTCGAGGGCTGTCGGGGCTGTGACGGGTCAGCCACAGGACGATGGAGGGCTTGGGTTAGAAAATGGGAGCCGGGGTGGGAGATTGACGCCGCTCAAGGACGAGATCAGGGAGACTGTTTCTGCGCGCTTTGCGCACTGCTCTATTGAGGTATGCATCTCGACCTGACTCATTGCCTCTGCAGCGCTTATCGTGTTATAGGAAACCGTCTCCTACTTCCGTACGTCGCTGGAGTCAGGCCTACGACGGGCTGATGTGCCCAACCTCCTTGCCTCCCATGGTTACAACGAGTTCTCCGTATCTACACCGGAGCACATGCTCGTCAAGTTTGCGAAAACGATCTACGAGTCTCCGCTCATTTTGCTGCTCTGCGCTAGCGCTACTGTGAGCGCCCTGATGGGTAACATCGACGATGCTGTAAGCATCGCTGTCGCCGTCCTGATTGTACTGACTGGTATGTTTCACTTCGGTGTCGATCCACTCACTCCTAAATTTTCGACAGTTGGATTCATCCAAGAGCACCGTTCCGAAAAGTCTCTCGAGGCGCTGAACAAACTTGTCCCGCACCATTGTCATGTTCTCCGGGACGGCCAGACGCACCACATCCTCGCTAACGAGCTGGTCCCGGGAGACGTCGTCACCTTTGCGACTGGAGATCGGGTGCCCGCGGACGTGCGCATCACCGAGGCGGTGGACCTTGAGATTGACGAGAGCAGTCTGACGGGTGAAACGGAGGGCAGGCGCAAGAATGCAGACACCGTACCACACACGGGGCAGGTGGCTCTGGCCGACAGGTCGTGCATCGGGTTCATGGGCACGCTGGTCAGGAGTGGCCGAGGGACCGGTGTTATCGTGGCGACTGGGACGGAAACGGAATTTGGCGTCATTTTCTCGATGATGCAGGACGTAAGTTGACTTCTTCGTGGCGTTCGAGAAATAGGCGCCGATGCTGGTCTAGGTCGAAGAGAAGAGGACGCCGCTGCAGCTCAGCATGGACGAGCTGGCCAAGAAACTGTCGATGCTTTCCTTTGGAATCATTGGTGTCATCTGCCTCATTGGAGTACTGCAGCATCGGTCCTGGCTGGACATGTTTACAATTGGAGGTTTGTGTGTGCAGCATTCCTGAATTGATCCACCGCTGATGTCGCACAGTCTCTCTCGCTGTCGCTGCGATTCCGGAGGGACTGCCCATTGTCACAACGGTGACACTGGCTCTCGGTGTGCTTCGTATGGCGAAACGCAAGGCGATTGTGAAGAAACTGCATTCCGTGGAATCCCTGGGCAGCGTTTCTGTGATCTGTTCAGACAAGACGGGTACCTTGACTATGAACGAGCAGACTGTGATTGAAGCGTATTCGGTCGACGAAACCACACTGCTCGATCCAGCTCCCGTGTCGTCCTCACTGCCAGCCGCGATCCGGAAAACTCTTGACATTGGCGTCCTGTGCAATAACAGCAGCTTGGTCAGAAACGAAAACGGCCTTTTCGTGGGACAGTCGACGGATGTCGCACTGGTCAATGTTCTGCATGCTTGTGGGCAAACAGATCGGCGCCAGGTGCGTGTCGCTGTTCTCAACTTTCGTGTCTTGATCTGGTTGACTCTTTTGCAGACATTCAAAAGAACGTCGGAAAGACCTTTCAACTCTGAGCAAAAGTACATGGCCGTCAGCGGATTGCACAGCGATTCGACTCTCGGGCCCAATCCGCGCGAGGTGTACTACATGAAGGGCTCGATCGAGAATGTGCTCGAGCGCTGCCGATTCTATTACGTGTCGGACGAGAGCACACCCGCGCTAGACGACGCGATCCGTCGTGTCATTCTGAGCAAGGCCCAGGCGGTGTCTTCTAGGGGATTGCGCGTGCTGGCCATGGCATACGGGATCAACGGGCCGGCAGCGGGTACCACCCCGCTGGGCAGCCGCACGCCGTCATCGGACCGGGACCAGAGCCGCGAGGGATGGAACCTTGTGTTCGCGGGCTTCACCGCGATGCACGACCCGCCGCGGAGGGGTGTCGCCGACGCCATTGGGCTGCTACAGGCGGGAGGTGTGCAAGTCGTGATGATCACGGGCGATGCCGAGGAGACCGCCGTCTCGATTGCACGTGCCTTGGGCCTGAATGTCGGTGGAGGGCACCATGAGGAGACGGGGAACAGCTTCGTGTTGACTGGCAAGGCGATCGACCAGATGAGCAAGAGTCAGCTGATGGAACGTGTTGGAACCGTGTCCGTGTTTGCCCGGACGACGCCGCGGCATAAGCTGGCCATCGTCGAGGCATACCAGGCGAGAGGTGCTGTCGTTGCCATGACTGGAGACGGTGTCAACGATGCACCTGCTCTGAAGCGTGCTGACATCGGTGTGTCGATGGGCAAGAGCGGCACCGATGTCGCCAAGGAAGCTGCACATGTCATCCTGGTCGACGACAACTTCACGACGATCTTACCGGCAATTGAAGAGGGTGAGGGCTCTCGACTCTCGACTCGTTGTCTGGATTCGAGCGCTGACCTCCATGCACAGGCAAATCGATCTTCCACAACATCCAGAACTTCCTGTCGTTCCAGCTGAGCACAGCCGCGGCGGCGCTGACACTGATCACGCTCAGCACGTTTTTGGGACTTAGCAACCCACTGAACGCGATGCAGATCTTGTTCATCAACATCCTCATGGACGGACCCCCGAGCCAGAGTCTGGGTGTCGACCCGGTGGACCCCGCTGTCATGCGCCGCCCCCCAAGAAAGAAGGACGCGCCGATCATCACGCGGAGGCTGCTCTATCGTGTGCTCTTTTCGGCCTCGATCATTGTCGTAGGCACGCTGTTTGTGTACATGTTTGCGCTGCAGGACGAGACGATGTCAAGGCGAGAACAGACCATGGTACGTGCTCATCGCCGCCGCCGTCACTTCCCCGCGGCTCAACTGACTGACTTGTCACGTTGACAGACGTTCACATGTTTCGTCTTCCTTGATCTTGTGTCTGCCGTGCAGAACCGCGGAATCGGGTGTGGGCTGACACAGAACAAAATGCTGGTGACGACCGTGTCGATATCGGCGCTGTCGCAGCTGGCCCTGGTCTACGTGCCCTTCATGCAGGCCGTGTTCCAGACCGCGGCGCTCGACATGGGCGACCTCGGCGTGATCCTCGCGTTGGCCGGCGTGAGCTTTGTGCTGCACGAGGCACGGCGCAGATACGAGCGGCAGGTGGATTTGGATATCACGTGGGCAGAGAGGGTCGAGGGCATCGTATAGCAGCAGTAATTTATGTATCTTAAACAGTCAATATTGGAAGGGTGTGTGCATAAGTATACTCAGTCAGAGCCCTTCTAGGATACTGCAGATGTCAATATCTCTGTCCTCGGGCCAGTCGCCAGTCCAGTATCTGCCGTTAATCGCGATCTGAGCCTGGTACTGACCTCCCCAGTTATCTCCGATCATTCGAAACAGCTTGAGCCCCTTCGACTGGCTCGCCTTGACAAACACCACCAATCCAGCCGCGGTAAAATGTCCGCAGCCCCGAAGAGCTCCACGGTAGAGAGCTCATACCCGGGTCGGACGATATCGCAGCTCGTCCGATCTTCTGCGCAGTCAATCCCAGGCAGCATCGCTGCCACGGTAAAATGCGTCACATCCCGCACCGCGGGCGAGCGCAACAGCTCAATGAGGAACGCAGTGATGCAGGAGTAGATCAACAACAGCTTGCGAAGCGTGCATTGAGACCGCACGAGCATGCGCAGGACCAGATCCGCCGGTATCTTCTCGCCGTATTCGATCCTGAGCACCTCCAGCGAGGGTGCTGTGGTGAGCGGAAGGACGTCCCCGGTGTAGCCCTCGATCCACAGTCGGTGCAGGCTCGGCAGGACGATGTGCGTCGCGTCGGGTCTGCCTTCTAGAACCAAGGCGTGGATGCTGCAGTCTACGAGCGTGTACGATGTAAACCGGATGATATCAAGTTGGGCGGACAGCTCCAGTTGGCCGCTGAAAACGCCCCATGCACAGAGATCAAGCGCGTCGTTCTTATCCAGTATCGTAGCACAATCGGCCTGCGTTCGGAACTTGCACGCGACCGCCGCCGCGACTGGCTGCAGCCCCGTCTTGTACCGGTACTCAGAATGCACGATGAGCGTATACAGGACCGGGAGCGAGACGTCGCTCAGCCGGGATAGGAACGGACGAGCGCCCCGGAATTCCGCGGCGTCTTCTGCGGTTTCCAAGACATACAACGGCTTCCATCGCTCGCACTGCGCGGTGACTTGATCCCACCACCGTGCGTGAAGCGAACGACTGTCACGAGTTCCGCTTTTGGTCAATAGCCTCCCAAAATTCTGGGGCTGGGGGGCAATCGCATTCCACCATGACCGATGACCCGCAGGAGGGTCCCTCCAGTCGCGGATCAGGACATTAAGAGGCAACCTGCAGAGCGAGAGTATTGCTCCGCTAGCAGCTCGACGGAGTTGGGATGGACCGCTACATGTGCCAGAACGAGGCGCATCCAATCACTGCTGCAGCCCACGGCCGACACATCTGGGCTATCTCCCCGGGAATCCCGTCGACGATGGTATATCCGCCGATCTCGCAGATCAGCTCCGCAGGCAGTCGGGCGCACAGGCGCGAGGATGCGTCTATGCGCGGCGATGCGCGAGAGTGGCGACCATCGTCGCGATCTGGGAATGGATGGCGTCGAGGCGTCGTCCCAGGTCGGAGACTCGCAGAATCATATGATCGTGTTCCCGGCGCGTCACGCCGCCCATTTTGAGCACGAGGGGCGAGAGGATGACGTGTCGGATGTACTGGATCTACGCCTCCAGCGCGACCATGCGCTGTCCCGTCACTGCGATCGCGTCCAACACGGTCCTGATGTCGGCTTCATGCGGCAAATCATTGGTGTAGGCAAGCGCTGCAACGCGCGGGTCGAGTGTCGGGCGCTCGGCGTAGTACGGCAGTCTAAACCAGAGGGAGTCGGATTCGTCCATGGGTGCGACGGAGTGAGTCGGAGATCATGGCACTGGAAGCGGCGGTGACGCTAAAAAGGCCTGCCCTTGAATCATGAGCGAGCACTTTGAGCGTCCAACCGCTGCCGTTACGTACCGCTCTCTTCATGCGAGAGAGCGGAGGTCAAAGAACGCAAGTCCCAAGCGCAATCACATGGAACAAAAGTGGCGAGTGACATGAATGATGTGAGTGTGATGCGAATGTCGCTTGTGCAGCTGTCGCGGGTCCCGTGTGGAGACCAGACGTCGGCAATGGGATATCGATGTCGTCCTTGGCAACATCGACTAACACAAAATCAGCCTTCGAATCCCGCGATGATTCTCGTCTTGCATCTCCTCCGTATCTTGGTTCTTTCCAACTCCACACACATTCCCTCGTTCAAGCCCTGGAGGCTAAATAGCCCTTTTTCTTGAATTGGCTGTATTTGTCCGCCACCTCTACTGCCCAGGCTGCTCACGTCGAGGCCGATCTCCATCCTCGTTTCTTTTTTCGTTACGCCACACCAATGGACTATCAGGCCCCCGCCGCCCAGCTAACCGGTGGGCGCCCCCCGACAAGCCAACAACTCAAACCCGGCCAACGCGTCCGCCTCCTCCGATCCACGCGCAAAGTCGAAGCCATCCTCGGCGAGGTCCCGCTCTTCGTCGAAGCCTCGAAGCGGGAGTCCGCGCTCCCCGCCGTGCTCGCGCTCCCCCTCGTCCCCCCGCGCAAATCCTCGCTGATGGTGTACATCCCGCAAAACCTCTCGCCGGGCCTCGCCGCGGACTCGTCTCCCGCGGCGCACCCGCGGCCCGTGCTAGCCGTGCGCATCCCGAAGCGCAACCGCGACTCGGTCGACTCCCTCGCGCTGCGCCTCAGCGTGATCGACCCCGCGCTCCCCTCCGCGTCCTCCGCGTCGACGTCGTTCTCCGTGAACGAGAAGGACGAGGAGCGCCGCGGCGGCAGCGCGCGAAGAAGATGGCGAAAATCTCAAGGACGCTCGGCGAGCGCGTCCCGCCTGAGCTGCTCTTCCGCGCGTCCGCGTCCGAACGCGCGCTGCGCAAGCGCTCGAGCCGGGAGTCGCTGCGGGTGGGCCGGAAGACGTCGTACGCGTCGCTGCGGACGTCCTTCGTCGATCTCGTCGAGGACGACGACGAGGAGGCCGAGTGGGAGGAGGTGGTCGAGGATCCGGAGGCGGCGCAGCGGCATTCTGAGAGGTTGCCGGCCGCGTCGGGATCCAGATCGGAGCGGGCGCAGCCACAGATGCCACGGCGTGGATCGCACAAACGGACCGGCCACCACATTGCACCCGCTCCACTGCCGCTGCACCCGGCGCCCGCTCCGGCTTTCCAGCCTGCATTGCAGAGCGCGACGCCCCAGCGCTTTTCGTCCCGTCCCTTCGCGAACGCCAGTGCGGACGCGTACCTGCAGATTCCTGTGGGCTATGACCGCGGCACACACCGGACGGAGAAGGGATGGAGTGGCGAGTGGACGGGCGAGGGCGCGCGGATGGAAAACATGGACGAGGTCGCGCAGAAGTTACGCGGATTGAAGATGAAATGAACATGCCGATAAGAATACTCAACATTCCTTTGTAACTACATTTATTTCATTAGGTCCAATTCTCTATTACTAGGTACCGTAAGTACCATATTTAATCAATAATCCGGCTACTACCTGGTGTATCCGGGATATTACTTGATATATCTCGCTTGGAACTCTCTTCTGTCCATTCAGGCGGCCTCGGTAGTGGATGTGCCTTATGGAAGCTGTTTCGGCCAGAACTACCGAGAGTAAGGATTGGGAGAGAGAAGATATATCACGGTATCCCATAATGGCTGTTGCATGGGTACTTGATTACAGAAGACATCGTTCAATATTATATACACTAGCCGATCCCGAACTGAACGTAATCAACCGCGGTAAAAGTCAAGAGGTCTGGCCCCGTGCCTGTTACTACATTCGAGGCTATCGGCTAAGCTTAGCTTCACTATTTGCATGTCTCAGCACCGAATGCGCAAGCAGCGGGACTCGATTCCAGTCTCTGTGCTGCTTTCCTCGCTCTCTGATGCTTGGGAACTGAGAATTCCGGGAGGGGGGAGTAGCGGATGCGACGTTTCTAGCATTCTGGTTGCTCCAGGAAACCACAAACAGATGGTGCCGCTGTTAGATTGGGGATACCATTGACAGGAGGCGGGGAGCGCCACAAAAATGGTCCGTGCAGGTGGATCTGCTGCAGGACGCCTCTGGACTTCTCACCGGAATTCATGCAGTAGACGAGTTTGAGATCCCCGAGGTGCGCGGAGCCGCGGACATTGCACTGCGTCTTCTTGTTCGCGAATGTCTCGAAGGCTGTCGTTTCCTTCAATGACACTCGTCTTCAGCTTTCGAAGCGATTCATTCACGAGGATAGCTATTAGGGAGAATATCATCTTCAACTCTGTAAGAACAGTCAATACGGAGCAGTGGGATCTACTCGCCCACCTACAATGACTTTGATGTCGATCGCAGAATCCCCGACGCACTGATTCTATATTCGAGTTGATCACCGCAAAGCTGAACCAGGCGCATCAGTCTGCATAGCTTGGATCGAGAATTGCGTCGCTCACCAGAAGTATCAAACCCTGTACAGTATCTCTGTACAGTATCTTAGGAGGTCATGACTTTCTCCATCTCAGCACGCATCTGCCCTCCACCGTCCAAACCAAGGCGCACCGCGCGATGCGGTATTCAGTCCACAGTTCCACTTGACATCGGGGAATGGCGAAACAATGCAGGGCCGCAAAAGAATTCCAGAAGTCGTATAGGCGCGGTGTTGCACCGCACACCGAGTACTCAAGGACTCCCCGAACCCGAGATCTAGTAACGGCCTGGTGCGCCTGGATGAGAATGTGCAATCGGATATCTCCAGGTGGGCAAAGAAGGGGTGTGTGCGCAGTCATCAATGTATTGGCCATGGGTGGTCGAATTTCTAGATGCACGAGATCCGGGAATACGCGGGCTGCGGTCCACTGACAATGGGGGAAGACCACAGCGGTAGATTCGCAGCGAATTCTACAAGGACGGTGCCGTGCTCGATGAGCCAATGTTCTCGTATTGTCGATATGCGTCGTTTCGTTTGGCCAAGCAAGTCCATCGTCCCGGAACCTTCTCGCAGTTCTGATAGGACGTTCAAATCTTCACGGCTGAAGACAAGACGAGCGACTCCAGGCGGTCAGACAGAGCACCTCGTAGTGCCCTTGGTAGTCTTCTTCACGGAGGTTCAGTCTTTCAAGTACTACAGCATCGGAGAAGACAAGCGGGGGGTCCTGCTCTGGTCAAAGGCGGAGGAGAGAACCGGCAGCATCTGGACATACCACGCCCAGGATCGAGGACCGGAGGTCTATAGCCAGTAGCCAATTAGCAAGCCAATTGTGCTAGTGGCCCGGAAATTGGCCCCCACGATTGGGATTCCCGAGACGGGTAGCGGACAACCCAACAAAGTAGGCTACATGCTCGACGCTGCGCGGGTGAGGACATTGTGCTCGGCGCTATCCCTTCCTGCCTTTCGCGTCGTCCTGCAATCTTCCTGCATTCGTGTTTCGACAGACGCATAAGGCCAGAACGCGCAAGTTCCCTGAGCAGCGCCAGTGGGAGGAGGAAGGAACAATCTCAGTCACGTGCAAAAGGTCGTAAATTTCAGTCCAGTAGGTAAAGTAAAAGTACATTGCTTCCGTAAATGCTGATTGTAGATGTCCGACATGCGAGAGAGACTGGTTCAAAGAGAGGTGGGTTCTGCGACATCCGGCTTGAACCTCAGCCGCGCCAGGAGCACCGTCTTCCACGGATCGCCGGTGTCCGATATCTTGCACGCCGAGAGCGGTGTCCCGTGGATGGGCTCGTGGTAGGCGGGCCCGGCGAGCTCCGTCTCCGCGTCCGTCGTGAAGCTGCCCCACGGCTGGCCGTTCTTCGGCGTCGCAAAGACATTGAAGTGCGCCTGGCCGTCGGGGTGGTTGTGCGACACGAACAGCGCGTGGTCCGGCGAGTCCAGCGTCCCGATGACCAGGAACAGATCCTCCTTCTGGATGCCGTGCTCGGGCCGCACGTGCTGCAGAATGGTGTCGGCGTTCGACTTGAACCATTTCTTCGGTGCGTCGAGGTTCTCGATGTACCGATACGTCGTCGTCTCCGTGCACAGATATGCACTCTTGTGTCCCGTGCGCAGCGGATAGCCGTAGCGGCGGTTGATGGTCCGGCTCACGGGCAGATCGCCCGGCGTAGACTTGGATTTGAACGTGAGGAAGCCGGCGATGGCATCCAACCCTCGCTGCGCAGCGGTCCGCTTGTCCTGGCGCTGGTTTCCGGTCGTGACTCGCCCATATCCGTAGACGGAGGGCAGGTTCATGTCCGCATGCTTGCCTTTGTCGGGATAGAAACAGTTCAACAACGTCACGAAGGATCCACTGGGCTTGGCCAGATAGCCGACGGCCCCCACAGCGACCGAAGAGGGCGACCACAGCGGGAGTGTCACTGCGAGAGTGAGCTTTGCACGAAACGAGGAGCACGCGTTACTTACATGAAGGATGGAACTCGTGCGTCAGCAGCAATCTGTACCGTCGCTCGTTCCGCAGTGCCAAATTCTGCTCATTGTGGGGCAGTGGTGACTCGTAGCCACTGAAATCCAGGATTCCTACAAGATCCTCCGCCGACGAGCTCTTGGTGCTCGGTGTGAAGATCGAAGAGGCTCGACTGGAGCTGGCAGTGTAGACCACTGGCTCTGGAACGTCCGAGACAGTATCCTCATAATGGGTAAACAACGGCGTCTGCGACACCGTATGATACGACTCTTCCGACGACGCCAGCTCCGGAGACCGCGCTGGGGACACAGGGAACGGGATGTCCATCGCTGTGAGGTGTGAGAAGCGTGGACACGAGCTACATGCAGCGACGGCTTACGCGGTGTCTTTGGAAGTGGGACCGGGTGCATGTCGGGTGAAGGGTGCGCACGCTCCATCTCTTGCCATTCTGGTGCTTGTGCGCCAGGTGAAACGGGCGGGGAAGCCAGTTCGTCGAAGCCCTCGACAGGCAGCTCCGCATCCCGCCTCAGCTGCTTTGATTCCTTGACGATCTTTTCAAACGTGGGCCGGAACGATGCATTGTCGTGCCAGCAAGCACTGAGGAGGTCGTGCAGAGCTGGGCTATCGAATCGGGTCACTGGGACCTTCGGACGAGCCTTGTCTTCTGCAAAGCATGTGAGTACCCAGGTTGATTGACAGATGGCTGTGCTGCTCACTGAGGACAAAGTTGCGCACTTGGTCATCCGACATCAGGGGCCAGGGAAGCCGACCCATCGACAGGATCTCGACGCAGCACATGGCATACGAGTACACGTCCATCTCGGGTGTCAGATCGCTCGAACCAAGCATGAGCTCTGGCGCCTGCCATCGCAGTGTGCCGCCTGTTATCTGGTCAACCACTGACTTGAACAGCGGGGAGCAGAACCACTCACGAGGCGGAGCATTTCCGCTCAACCGATATGCCTCCGACTTCATCTCACTTTGGCCGAAATCTGAAACGAGGCAGTGGATGCGATCATCGACGAGCACGTTTGCAGCCTGGAGGAAGAAGATGAACAATCAAACCAGCAGGAAACTCGCGGGACGGACCTTGAGATCTCCATGCAAGACACCTTTCGCATGCAGATACTCCATTCCCTTGGCCACCTCATGCATGAACCTCAACAGATCGCCCTCGCGTCCCGTTTTGGCGACGTCGCCCTGCTGAGCCACACGACGCAGAAACCCGCTCAAGCTGCCAAACCGCATATACGGACAAACAAAGAACCAAGGGCCGTCCCCACTCGCCCCGCTGGCGCCGTACAGTTCCAGCACATTCGGGTGCTTGAGCGTCTTCCAGATGTTGACCTCTCGGACGAACAGCTCTCGTGGCGTGGTCTCGGCCAGACACTTGATGGCGACAATGCGGCCGCGCCACGTGCCTTTGTAGACATCGCTGAAGAACCCGATCCCGATCTTGACATCCCGGTCGACCTCGTATCGCGTGATCGTCCAGCTGGGCAGCAGCTGCCCGCCTTTGCTCATCCGTCGCAACGCGTCAATTCCCGTCTCGATGAACTCGCGGTCGAGAGTGTCCCGCACAGCTCCCAGGCCTCCGCTGCTTTCGCTGCTATGAGAGCTGGAAAGAGTGCCCGTTCGTTGCAGCTCGACGCCTGAGCTCGAGGAGACCGGCAGCTGAGCAGCCGGCGAGGGCGGAGCCACGGCCACACGCTCCAGCGCGCGCTGCATCGCCTTGAGCGCCTCCGGCATCTCAGCCCGGCCAACCTGGAGCACCCGCAGCATCTCGGCATCGTCGCCCTGAGCCAATGCATCCCGCAGCAGCGCACGCAAGTCCGCGGTATCGTGCGCAAAGTCCAGCGTATTTTGGGTTGTGTGCAGATTTCGGAGCGTCTCGAGCGCTTCCTCCCGATCCATCGGCAGTTCAACCGCGATTTGCCGCGGGGTCGCCTGCGGATCCGCCGGGGAGCCCAACCCCATATGCTGCTGAGCTCGGGCAATGGCTTCGAGAACGGCCTTGTTGTCGTGTTCAAGCCGTTCTTCTGTGTCCTTGGCTTGCTTGAAGATGCGCATTTGCACAGACAACTGTAGAAATCGTCAATATAGATTGGCAGCACAATCGGAAGTGAGCATACGGAGAACATTGAAAGCGCATCAGTTAGAGAAATATCACAATTGGCAAGCTCTGTCAAGGTCTCGGTCCGCTTCAGATAGCGCTTGAGGAACGGGCGATGAGCTTGCTTGACCAGGAAATCCCGGACTTGTGTGAATGCTCTGCAGTCATGCATCAGATGGAACTCCAAGAGCAGTGTCCGTCGAGACGTACTCTTCCAACCTGCGCAAAGGTTTCTCAACCTCCGCCTCAACTTTATCGCCCATGTCGTGCACCTCCTGCAGAATCGATATCAACAGATTCGCGCAACGTTCTGCGAGGCGCAGACACGCCAAGCGATTCATCTGAGCAACAATTCATCAATCTGCATGCCATGACCGAAAGGATGACGACACACATCGACGCTCTGAACGTTGTCCCATATGTTCAGCAACAAATGTGCCGCGATTTCCAGTCCGGGGACTGGGGCGAACTTGAGCACATCTGTGCTAATAACAAGGAGTTCGTGTGCGGCAAGAAGTGTTACGGGAATCAGACCATTCAAAGCTTCAGTGACGCGCTACAAATATCCGAATGAGCACCAATGGCCGCTGTGAGAGCTAAGCTGAGACTCACCACACGGGTCCGTTCCCAGCCTTGCGTCTGTTCCCTGGGAACAGTCGTTCTCCTCGTCAAAGCAGGGCGCCCCGCCAACGTCTCGAACTCATCATCCGACTCTTCTCTCGCCTTCAGCAGGGGCGGTTGGCGGCGAAGTTTGGCAGGACCTGGTCGTGGACTACCCGACGGTGACGAATGAATTGACGAAACAGGTGAGGCAGGATCTCTCCAGGGCCTGTCAGACGGTATGTTGCGGCCCCACCACGTCACAGGCGGCGCGTTCGGCGGTGTTGCCGGGTTCTCGAGGATCATGCTGGCCACCACGCGATCCCCGGCCGGAGAACGCGATCTCGAACGCGTGGCCGAGATCGGCGGCGGGGGATACGATTGGGAGACGCCCGTTGATGGGGAAGTAAGTGCGACGTGGATCGTGCTTGTGCTAGCGCCCATGGTTCCCAGCCCCATCCGTTGCTGAGCGTAGGATGGACTGCCAGCGCGCTGCGGTGATGATGAACCAGACCGCGTCATCGCGTCTCCGGCTGACACGGAGGAAAAAGAGTGTCCCCGGGGTCGCGCAGCAGGGGGAATAGGCAGTGACGGAGCGGCACTGGATGGAGGAAGGGAGTTGGCGGGGGTGCGTGTGGGATTGAGCGGAGAGGAGGGCTGCTTTGTAGGTTTTCCGGAAATAGACTCAGCGGGAGTCATAGCTGATCCAGCGGTATTGGAGTTGGACATGGGGCCTGGCAACAGCTCTGGAGACACGTCTGGTCGTCGCTTTAAACCGAGCTGCACTGCGCAAATGGAAGCTCCCGGAATCGGATCGAAGGAGGAATGAAGGGTTGAACGTAAAAAGGGCAGAAAACGAAAGAGAAAGACGATGGAAGCACCGAGACAAGAGCAAGGTGGAGACCAGATGGCGGTGTCGCGTGTGGTCGTTGTGATCAGCAGATCAAATGCTTCGCGAATCTCTTCCTCGGTCACGACTTGACTCCTTGAACGCGCGCTCCTTATATCGACGAGAAAGTGGACTGGGAGAGCGATGATGTATGTGGCCTTTAAACAAAGGGAGTGACCCGCATCCGAGGTATCCACGTCAGTCGAGCCTGTGGGAACGTACCGTAACCCCCCTTCCATCTCGTTCCGAAACTTCCTTCTTCCCTCCAATGTCCCGAACTTGCAGACACCGCATTTTGCAGTCCTCAGTCGCTGTAGCGTGGCAGCTCCAGGCTGTCCGCTGGTATCCTATTCAGGGTGGCTCAGCGATTTGCTCCCGCGGACCGGGACAATGCGCACGTGCGAGCGTATGCTAGAATGGAAGAGCCCAAAGCCGGAGTGACGACGTCGCGTCTTTTGCCTCAAACACGATCCCTCCCATTGTCCGCTGAACGAAATGGCTCAACAGCTGCAACGATGGTGGAGCGCGGTCGTCGGTCCCGCTCGACACTTGCGGGCGGCTCTACCTTAAAAGCTTATCCACGGATCTGTTGAGCGCGGACGAGACAGCGACGTGACCCCATAAGACTCACCCACTGCCCAGGATGTACCGAGGACGAACGAATGTACGGCAAGATGAATCGAGCTCGGAAACGGCGTCCGTCAGGGCCTGAGGACGACCTCTGCAGCGTTCTCCTTGGCCGAGCCGTAGTCCCGTAACAGGTTGTGGCGCATTGCTTGGGAGTCCAGCTCTGCGATGTTCACCGTGGATGCGATGTAGGGACTGTTCATACGCACAAGTCTCGCACTGACGGTGAAGTCTGTCGGGCTCAGTTGCAGAGATGTGGATAACCTTGGGGGAGATTTGATGGCGGAAAGCGCTGACAGTCTATATTTCATTTGACCACTACCATGCGCTGTTTTGACGATGAAAAAGCTTTTGACTATAGTACATTCTCTGTCCGGTTACATGGTCGCTACTGAGTACAGAAATACCATTAGATAAAATAACTCCCGCTCCCAGCAAAGATAAGGTAAGATGAGGGTGTTCCTAGCATGTAGAGACCTAGAAGCGAAAAGCACGAGCAGAAGCTGTCGTAAGGCGGTCATTGTATTTGCATCCCTTCTGTCAAGAGGATGTTTCTTCGGAGAGATCGATAGGTGAGGTGAAATGCATAACCTGTTCTCTGTCAGTGTTGTGCAAATATGGAGAACGAGCGACGTGCATAAGGATGGACAACGGGATATGATGAAGTGGAAGAGGCTTCTTCGACATAAATGGGAGCGCCGTCGAAGGCAAAAGCTGAACGTCGAGAGGGACCAGGCTTGGGTGTACCATCCCATACGGTGTCATCAGATCGAGAACCAGATGGGGCATAAGAGCGGTGAGGCGAGACCGGATCGGCAGTCAAGTCGATATCCCCTTGGGATTGAATATGGGTATTTGGCATATGAGTTTGGATAGACGAAAGAGCTTTTTGGGATGGCTGTCGAGAAGGGGGTTGATGTTCGTAATCCGGAAGAGGAGTCGAAGCACCGTCCCGACGTTTGCCAGGATCTTGTGCCTGATACCCAACCTCAGTTGTGGTCGACCGCGGAAAAAAGACCTGCAGTGGCCGTGAGAAAGCGATCGCAATAGTACCTGGAGACTTGCCAGCAGTGTGATTGCAGATGAGACGAAAGCACCAATTCCTCCAGTCATCAATAGGATATCTGTGCAAAGTGAGACGGTGGGCCTTGAGTTCCCAAGACTAAGACACACCAGACCAAAATCTGACAACTGGTGAGATCGACGTGGGAAGACACGAGTGAATGATACGTACGGACTAGACACCACTGAAAGTGAAGAATCAAGTAACCCATCGAACCCAAGAATTGTCAAGGGAACAGTGAAAAGAAATCGGAAGATGACACGAATGCACTGAAAATTGTCTTGGTGCGGTGCTGCAATATCCAAGTGGGAGGACACGCACATTGAGATGGTAAAAACTCGTCAGTCGCACAACAACGTCCGGTTCAGCACCTTCGATCTTGACACTACGAATGAATGGAGGGAAGGTCACAAGCACGTAGATGAAGCAGATCGTGGTGAACGTTCCAGCAGAACCGCCAGCGACAAAGATCCATGGCAAGGTCAGGTCCAAATCAGCCCGTTTGACAAGCGTGGTCAAGGGCATCCCCAGAACGGCAACTATACTTCCTATTCACCCAGTCAGCTATTCCGAAAGCGGTTCCAGCTCGACATACTCACCACAGTACCACGCCCGGAATTCCCAGCAGTTGAACCAATCACGTTTGCGCGGTCCCTGGTGTAGGAGGAAGAGCCAGAATGTGAGCTCTATTCATTAGTGAGCGCGCTATTCGATGGAGCTCGATGTCAAGCTACCTTCCAGATGCGTGATCCTAAGTGCGTGCGTCCAGTCAGATGATTGATAAGCAGAAATATAGACTTACAGCTCCAGCGACCAGGCGATACTGAGAACAAAGTAGAGGGGTAAGATCCACCGAAGATGTTCGTGCTGCCAATCCTCGAATACCCGGGGACAAACTGGATGATGTAAGTACCCGGACAACTTATTCAACGACTACTCTAGACTCACTAGTGCCATCTTCGAGCATTATGTACCCTGTATCCATGTGAGAATCAATTCTGCTTCAAGGGAAGACTGGAGCTCGCACCCTCTTTATACTTGAGAACCGCCATGGCCACCGAATACAACATCAAGAGTGGTAGCGTAATGGAGTAGGAATAGCTGGGTGAGGGCATGTCAGATGTATGGAAGCCACAGAGAATAGAAGCGGGCGCACGTCATGACCCGTTTGAAAGCGCCTGGCTGTCGTCCCGAGTCCCATCTCAGACACTGTCCGCACGATAAGCCATGTAATTCAGCCCGTGCCGCGTTATTCCCTCTCACTTGGAATTTGTCGTAGTTCCATAGGTGCACAAGCATGAATGTGAAGAACTAGAGGCGCGCCAGATGGGAGGATAAGAAACCGGGACTCGCACGCGATACGCGAAACAAGCAACGCACGGAAGTGGATAACAGGGCCCACAAGAGGTAGGCGGAAGGAGAACCGTTGCTCATGTAGGGTTGCACCCTGCTGTTCGGGGCGTTGGCGGAGCCAGTTTCCGCCCGTTTCCTACGAGGATGATGATGTATGGGAGAGAAGAGGAAGGGCGACAACGGAGAACGGCGAGTGACCGGCAATTGCCGGGCCGCTGATGCGCGGTTATTTTCGCTATCTTCTATCGAAAGTGTGTACATACGAATTTGATATGGCCTCGTTATTGCAGGTCCAGAATTGAGCCCGAAAGACTAATAGAAACTAGAACGGCCGGCAAGCACCGAAGGACTCAGAACAAGCACGGATTTTGGGAGGCTATCTACATGAATAGCTACGAAGGACCGAAGGACCAAGGACGAAGATGGTATCAAAGAGATCCCATGCCAAACAGCATGACTGGGGACTGGGGAGACTGGGTCCGTTGGGATTGGCAGCGCTCACAGCAGCGGAAACAATCTCTTTTCCGTTGATTATCATTGGTCGTGTGGGCGATTAGGGGCCAATTTGAAGCCGGCTACTCGCTCTGAGCGCTCGCATCAGGAGTCCTCTTCAGACATGTTTTGTTCGAAGAACGCGTCCTCGGTATCGTCCGGCTCAACCGGTTCCTCTTTGAGATCTTTCTTCTTCTTCGATCTCTTGTTTCTCTGTTGATTCGTCCATTCCTGGGCGCCACCATCGTTCACGCTTCTCGAGTCCATATGGAGCTCCGGCTCGATGGATAACTGCCCGCCCTTCATTTGTGATCGGATCCAAGCCCGCACTTCCTCTCTTCCGGGATCGAGAGGCAGGTCCTGCGCCTCCCCTGCGCGCAGCTCCGGCGGAAATAACGAAATATATTTCTTCGTTTTGGGATAGTGCTTGGACGGCGGTCAGATGGGTCGTGCGCAGATGACCGGAGATGGTTGATACACACCAGCGTGTAGTTGAGGTCGACTCGCAGATCAGCCACGCTCACACGAAGTTCAGACGTGTCTTCCTCCGCTAAACTCTTCTTGGCTTGAATTAGCTTCCGCAACACTTTTTGGCGTTCTGGGGTGCAAGAATAGACTGAGCGAATAGAATGATATGGGGGTCAAGTAAGAAACACACCAAAAAACTTGGGTCCGTGATACCGCACGGCCATGGTCCGTTCCTTCTTTCCTTGCTCCGCTGTGATCAAATCTGCCTCCAATGCCTTCAGTCTACGTTCAGTCTCCACACGGATGTTCGCTGCGAGATTGCCCTGTGCGCCGTATTAAGAGAGGCGACGCGAGACGAGAAACGCAAGGCTACTTTCGCCAATAGGCGTCGCGTTTGTCGTAGCGAGGCTTTGATTTTAGACACCCCAGGTTTGCCATTATCGCTGTTTTGCGGCGGGTATTGTTTGCGTGGCTTGGATGGACCGGCCACAGCGTTTGGAGACGATTCTTCAGGGCCTTTCCGAGATTTGTGAGTACGGACGGGGCCCATGGTGAGAAGCTGCGTTGAAAAGATAAAATTAACGTTCAGAAGAGCTGAAGCGAGGCGCGATACAAACTTGTTCAAACAAACTTTGCCTCGATCATCACTCGGTAAGATGATCAAGCGCAGGTTTTGTCTGACCTCCACTCCCGGTTTGCCTCATCCTACATATAGTCAGCGCAGCGCCTCTAAGTTAGAATCCGCCTCGCTTTGCTCTCTCGGACATGCGCAACCTTTCGCTTGCGTTCCACCTTGACACCGTGATAGCTGAAAAGAATGTGACGCAAACGACCTTCGATCTAGATGAGGACATCTTATACGCGGCCACAGAGAGGATCAATGCCGATGCAGACGTTGATGTCAAAGTATGGAAATTTTACCAGAAGGATCGATGCGCAGTACGATATCTCACATCCCTCGCAATCGCGTCGGTATGAAAATGAAGCTACAGGATCCGGAAGCCATCCTGGTGACGATGTTCACCGCAGGCGCTTCCAGTTCATCTACTGCGGGTTCTCAGATTGTCGCCTTCCACTTTCTGCCGGATACCCGCAGCATATCCGTTCTGATGCGCGCGGGTGACATTACAACTGTATCTGTGGACGAGGACACACTGGTACGAGATCTGTTCCCACACCTTCGCTTATATTGAGTTGTGGAGACAGCCTGAGGTTGAAGGCACCATTGAGAGTGGGATCATGGCTGCCGCTTGGAGCCCAGATGACTCTCTGTTGGCTATCGTCACTGGTGAATACCGTTCTGAACCACATTTTGCGCGAGCTAAATGAATCCAGGTGAATCCAAACTGACACTCATGTCTCCGGCATATGATATGATCTCCGATGGTCCTCTCTACCCAACAGAATTCGGGGAAGGTTCGGCCCAAAGTCTTAACCGGCATCTCCGTCGTCTAACATGGGAATTTTTAGATGCTCCAATCAACGTTGGCTGGGGATCGAAGCAGACACAATTTCACGGGTCTCTAGGCAAAGCTGCCGCCGCTGCCCCATCGGCGACCATCGTTGGGGCAAGTCCAGACGACGACCATGTGCCGCGAGTCAGCTGGCGAGGCGACGGCGCATTCTTTGTTGTATCGTCCCTGGCTGCGCCGACTCCGGATGGTCGGGCTTGTCGGGCACTGCGGGTTTATGACAGACAGGCGGTGTTGCAATCCACATCCGAGCCAGTCCCAGGTCTCGAGCACCCAGTGTCATGGCGCCCTTCCGGGAATCTTATCGCAAGCACCCAGCGATTCGGGTTCGAAGGTGGTGGTGCCGGCAAGGAAGGCCGTCACGATGTTGTCTTTTTCGAGCGCAATGGCTTGCGGCATGGCGAGTTTGGTATCAGAGTGGCCGATCTGTCACTGTCGGCCGCCGCGAGCAATGCGAAAAAGTGGGGATACAAGGTCAAAGAACTAAGCTGGGGTGCGGACTCGAATGTGCTCGGTGTTTGGATTCAGAAAGACGCAGGCGATGTTTGTGAGTGACAAGTCTTGAGTGCAATACCTCCCTGATACGTTCTATAGTCCAACTATGGACAACTGGAAACTATCATTGGTACTTGAAGCACGAGTTCGCCAGCTCGGAGAGATTTACTTCCATTCGATGGCACCCGGAACAGGCGCTCCATGTTGTCCTGACTACCAGCTGTAGGTTATGCGACTCTTCCCTTTTCTTGGGACTCATTCAAGCAGCCAGCATCATTCAACGCATCTATGGCTGGGAGACTTGGTCCTCTCCATCTTCCCCGCCCAATGACTCGGGAACCGTCGCGGTTCTTGATGGATGTGAGTTCTCGCCTGTTTTTGAATCTCCTATGCTGACTATCCCCCAAGCTAAGGTCCTCCTCACCCCCTTTCGTTCGCAGAATGTCCCTCCGCCTATGTCGTCTTACCAGCAAATGCTCTCCATAAACCCGGAACAGCCTACCAGGATTCCTGTACACCTATCTCTTTCTCCGGAAAACGAAACACTTGCTGTCTTATGGGAATCCGGCTATCTTGAACTGTGGGATCTTAATACCAGGATAGCACCTGGTCCTTCAAAGATCATGGATCCGGCACAGATATTCGCCGAATCAGTCGGTCGAGCCGACATACCGTCTCGGCAGGTTATCGTGTCCTCCGATAGAGTGTTCATTTTGGGATCGAGGGCTGGATGCGACGTAGTCACCAGTTTGGTCATCGGTAAGAGCGATGTCACTACAAGTGACATGCAGTCGGCCAATGGTCGGCTCGTTCCATGTGCTAGCTCCGCTCCCGTTTGGCAAAGCTCGACTGGCCAGCTTTTCGAAAGTGAGCTCTTTGCTTATGTTGTATCACCCCGCTCAACTTCGGCTAGTATCCGCATCTCCGGTAGAAATTGGCACCTTTGACGAATTCTGTTTTTCAGCGCAAGGAATCCCATCAAAGACTCCGATGTTCCTGGGATTGAGTACATCGGGGAAGCTGCATCTTTCGTCAACGTCGAGCCGGACTCTAGCATCCAATGTGACATCGTTTACTGTGACATCTGGTTTTGTGGTGTTCACCAGCGCTGCGCACGAAGCAACGTTCCTTCCGGTGCCGTCGCTCCAAAACCTCCTGGCTTTGGACGAGGAGACTGGAGAGTTCCAGCCGCTTCCGAGTGATTGGGAGAAACGCAGGGTCGAGAGAGGATCGAGGATTGTTGTGGCTGTGCCGAGTGCAATGACGCTGGTGCTCCAGATGCCTCGGGGCAATTTAGAGACGATCAATCCCAGACCGTTGGTCATACAAGTCGTCCATCAAGATTTGGCCGCGTGCGTGCTCTCCCCTTCTTTACGTCTCGACATTTCGAACCTTCCTTGTGCAGCCATCAGTATCGGAAAGCGTTCCTCTCCTGTCGCAAGCATCGCATCGATCTGAATGTTTTGGTCGAGCACGATCGTGCTGCGTTTATCGAGAACATTCCGACGTTCTTAGACCAGGTTCATGAGGTGGACTATATCAATCTCTTCCTTACCAACATCGGGTGCGACTGCTTCTGCAACGTTTACGACTGCTTGCTGACAGAGACCTTAGCCGGGGAACACAGTCACCCGAGCACAAGGCCGAAGTCTGCGACGCTGTGCGAGTGTGTCTAGCCCAGAAAGACCTCACCAAATACGTCAACTCCATCTTGACGGCATATGTTGTCAAGAGTCCTCCGGAAGCCGAGGCAGGACTGGGGCTGCTACTTCAGCTGAAGGGTAAGTGCGTCTTGTTCAGCACGCGCTAGTGTCTGGACGTTCTCGCAGATTCAGACCCCGAGATCGTCGAAGATGCCGTCAAGTACATCATTTTCTTGGTCGACGCCGACACACTTTTCAATACTGCCCTGGGAATGTACGACTTTGCGTTAGTCTTGATGATCGCACAACATGCACAGAAGGTTGGTACAGTATCTTATCTAATCTTGTAAACACCGCATCTGATCGACCGATAGGACCCTCGAGAGTACCTTCCTTTCTTACGCGAACTGCGTTCTCTGGAGCAATTTTACCAGCGCTACCGGATCGACGACCATCTAAAGCGGCATAAAAAGGCTCTGGAGAACATTCGCCTGGCTGGTGCCGCTTACTTTGACGAAGCGATGTCATACGTCGAGAAACATCGGTTATATGAGCTGGCTTTGGACCTCTGGAAGGACACGGATCAGTACAAGGCAAGCGACTGTGTGATCGGCTCGTGCCACCCAGTCTGACGTTAGTTCTAGCATGTGCTGGAACTATATGGAGACTGGCTTTTCGAAAGACGCGATTTCCGTCAAGCAGCCTCCAGTGAGTCCACCATCGTACAAGTGTCTGTCATTCGGCGCTGAACCTCTCCAGTCTTTGTCCAGGCGTCAGCAACATCGAAAGCGATGGTTGCCTATGAAAAGGGGCTGGAATGGCAGGAACTGTTCGACCTTGCAGGTCGGACGGGCATTTCCGACGAGGACGTCGTGGATATGGCGTATCGCGTCGCAGGTGTGCTCATCGAGAAACACTGCCTCCCTGATCGCTAACTTTCGACAGAGGACCTAGTATCTAAGAAACGGCACTCTGATGCAGGGCGCATTCTGGTCGATTACACACACGACATCCGGGAGGCGGTCATTGCCCTCGTGCAGGGAAACCGCTTCTCAGAGGCTCGAAGACTGGTGCGAGTCATCCGTGGGTGCCCGAGTTCGCGCGCTGACCTGCCGCACAGATCACACTGAACAAGGAAGACGCTCTTCTCGTGGACGTCGTCCACCCCGCCGCGCTCGAAAGCCGGGCGCAGATCTCCGAGGATCTGTCAGAGATGCGCGACCAGTTGAGGAAGCAGCTCGAGCGTGTCAAAGAGCTGCGCGTCAAGAAAGCTGAAGCCCCGGATGCGTTCTACAACGCGGAGGACGAAGTCAACCTGCACAACGTCGATGCGATGACCGACGTCTCGATGCCCGCCACTGCCTTTACACGGTATACCGCTGCGCCGAGTACGATGATGTCCAGGGGGTCCAAGTACGTGTGGTCTCCATCCACCCATATCGCTCACCGGCTTAAGCTGATCTGTATCCCAGGATGACGTCCCGCTCGAAGCGCAAGATGGAGAGAAAGACCGGACGCAAGGGGACCGCCGACGAGGAGGAGTATCTGCTCAAGTCGGTATCGAAGTTAGTGTCCAGGTTTGGCGCTACACAGGGTGCGTCTGTCGTCGACTAACAACGAAATCGCGCTCATACTCACTGTCAAACAAGATGACGCGCGGTCGCTCCTCCCGCATCTAGTTCAGCTCAGCCCAGAGCATGCCGCCGAGGGACGAGAGCTCCAGTCCGAGCTCGCGCAGTTTGAAGCAGAGCTGGTGGCCGCCGTCGCCGAGTTCTGGAGGAAGGCCGATCACGCAGAGGGGGATGGCGGGGAAGAGGATTCTTGGGCCAAGAGGCAGGAGATCCTGGCCAAGCAGCGGATGATCGATCCCGTAGAGCGTGTGCCGAAGCCTAATCCGATCGGAGAGGAGTGGAGGATAAAAGTGTTGTAGACAACCATGGCCATCTGAATTTGAAGTATTGTATGTACTATGTATGATCCAGTCGCTAGTCTGACGTAGACTGTAACACATTGTGCGATGTCACAACTGGAGCTTGGTCGCAAAGATCAAGGGCCTTGATAGGCTCCAACCCGTGTCAGAGTCCAGGCTCAATGATAAGCGTGGAGGTGATTGTGGGTCCACGGAGGACAATTGCAAACAGCTTATCTCTTTTATGCAGCTTACTATTCACGCATTCTTGTCTTATTTTTTCAGGTTGGAAACTGGTCTGGACAACGGTATGAGCGACGTGAGTGAAGCCTAAATATGAGCACTCACTTGGACCTACAATTTTGATAAAGGTTCCTATGATGTGGCAGTGCCCCCGCTCAGCATCTCTTCTTCCTCTTCTAAACCAGTTGAAGTCCCTCCCGAGGGGAAACGGCATGAACCCCATTGCAGAACCGGGTTATGAAAGCGACTCCGGCCAGCGCGACCTCCCTACCTGCGAGCATTTCAGGACAAAGACGCCCATGCCGCACTCTATCACCATACCGTGAGTGTCTCCCCCCAGACCGCTCTGCTCCGCCTTCCACTTCCCCGTGTTTACGCACTGACGCAAAATCATTATCCCGCGTCAGTGCCCGCAAACGCTTTCTCAATCGCACGGGGCGCGCCATCATCCGCATCGTATACTCGTATGGTCTCCGGAAGGGAGACATCGCGCACGTCTTCGGCTGCTCTACCGGGCTCATCTCCGACGCGATCGAGAACCTACACGTGAACCCGCGCGACCGGGTCGAAGAGGACTACGACCGAGTCGAGCGCGATACAGGGAGCACGGAGTGGCGGGAGGTGTATCCGCCATTTCCCCAGCAGATGTGGTCGAGCAAGGTGCATCATGTCGTCGTGTCGGTCTTGGGGCCTCGGCTGACTTCCGTTACGGCGTCAATAGCCGAGAGGCTACATGAAAGAGGAGCAGGACGAGGTTGAAAGTGCATTATTCGGCGATGGGACCCTCCATGTGCGCAGCACACTTCTCACCTGATCCGTACCGAGTTCTCATTGTCTCCTTCTTTCCCAGCGCGCAGCCAAGCTGGAAGCGAACGAACGACTGAAGGGCAAGCAGTCACGCCCCAAGGAGACCGTCCCGCTTGCTGAGCGCGGCGCCTTCGATTCCTCATCCGAACACTCGAGTCTCGACTCAGAATCCGACTTCGACCTGGATGACGCGTTTTTGCGGTATCCGGACGCGCAGGAAGTCGTCTCAATCTCCCCGGCACTTCGAAAACGCGCGCTTTCCGGGGCAGAAGTAAGCGTGTTCTGTTGTCCACCTTCTGTTGATCAACTGACGAAGTCTCAAGAGTTCACTCCCTCCATCCAAACGCCCCACTACGGTAGCTGCGTCCCCTCCCCGTCCCCAGCTTCCGCCAACGCCGATATCGAATGCTCCACTGTCTCGATCTTCGGCCCAGTCGCAAGATGGCCCGTCAACCGGTGCGATACCCAAGCTGACCAAGTCTATTTTCGATCGACTGAAGGGAAAGTCGGGTACCAGCGTATCGCCTGTCCTCTCACCCGTCCTCGTGAACTTCCCCTCAAGGGATATCCGCATGTCGTTGACGCCGGTTCCCAGCCCAGTCGCGTCTGAGCCGCCATTAGCCGGTCCCTCTACCTGGCGCGACAAATCATCCACCCCTCCAGCTTGGACGCGGCAGTCACAAATGGTAGCGCGACCACCTGCGTCGACATTAGCCCCGCCTGCTGGCTCTGCTTCTCCTGTCCGTGATCAACGGTCGCCCGCACCGTCGGCGTCGTTGCCCACACGACTACCCTTGCCTCGGAGATCGCTTCTGGCTGAGAAGAAGAAGCAGTCTGAGCCTCCTCTGTCTACCGCTCGACATCCACTCCCAAGTCGAAAACGAGAAGATCGGCTGGAAAGTTTTCTCCAGGAACCCATGCCCGGCGTCGATCTTACTGCTTACCTTCCGATTTTCCGCTCGAAGGGATTTGACACGCTGGATCGGTTAATAGCGCTCGGCGGATGGCCGGACTCTGCATTCCGGTCCGCGATGAAACGGCTCTTCCTCCGAAACAGCCATTTTCCAGCGGGGATGTCTGCGTTTGAAGTCATTTCCTTGGAGCTGGGAATACGGAGCCGCCGGTGTCACCTGGGGAGACAGCCATCGCACCACTGGAGTCTTGCTGACTTCGAGTCGTCCTCGCTGTCGGCGGTTCTTTCGGACGTGATGGGGTTCGATTTGTCCTCGCACGAGGCGCTGTTCCGATCCCAGGAGCTCGATGTATGCATTTTCCAGGAGATGATCAGGTCGTGGCTGCCGACGGCCATCAGGAACGCGTTGGAACGCGCTCTCTTGGACAAGCATGCTGGGGAAGGTAGGCTGTCTGAGTCTAGACGGAAGGGCCTTAGCGCCGTCGAGGTTCTTGCGCTCGAATTTAAGTTGTGTATCGCACAGAGCGGTTGATATTCTCAGCACCCGTGTTATGTTAATCGCACACAACCTGGACCCGGACGGGGCCATTATGGACACCGTCTCCGCTGATATGTACATACACATTACTCGGGCGTAGACATATGTCTATTATGTATGTATCACACTTCGCCCAAGTGCCAAGCGCGCGGGGTCCCTTTGGTGGCGGCGCGAGCGCTGGTTTCAGTATGTATGTACAGCGTAGTCGTTCGGGTTCTGTTTTTGGGAAGCAGGACCCTTCTGTCACCGCCAGAACCCGCCTCAAGGCCTGTTCCGTGGGATAATCGAGGTGCTGTTACTTCATATATGAGTCAATCCCGCTCCTGCGACAAAGTTCGAATAGGCGCCCTGGCAGTTGTGAGGCCCATATGTGTCGATCTTACTTTCAGCTCGGCACTCCAGGACAAGTGCTCTTCTTTCCCCCACCCACCTACATACATACATACACTTCAATAGGTCTCGTCGCGCAGGATGCCAGGCCCGCCGCGCAGTAGTATGCCAGGCAGCTGGGCCGAGCTGGACTCTGATCTGATCACGATCGCATCAGACTGCAGCAGCAGAACCGCCATCGCAGGAGGATCAACTTCAAGCTCATGCTCGTCCCTAGAACGCGAATCCCAAGAATGGCGCGCCGTTCCACCGGGTCACTGCACCCATTCCGAGGTGGGTGTGGCTGACAGATCGCCTTCTGCGCGCGCGATGCCTGCGCTCAACACCCACCCCACAGGTCCTACTCGTCGAGGCAGGGAATTGGACAGAAGAGTACATAATCTGTGCGGCTCCGCCGGCGATCGGGCGGTGGAGATTCCGCGTCGCTCCCAGGGTGGACGCGGAGCTGATGTATGTATTTCTTCGCGCACTCATTCCCTCTCTGTCTCTCTCCATTCAGTCTGTTGTATGTGCGGGATCGCATCTAATTGACCACCATCAGTGTCGAACAGCCCCCCGAACAAGGCCCGGTGCATCAACCACCACCACCACTCCCGCTGCGGCTGCGCATCCCCGCTCCTGCTCCGCAGGCTCAGGGCCCACTCCCCCGACGACGAATCATCAGTCCGCGACTACCCTCGGCTAGGATCTTGTTCCCCACCGCTGCGACCGCAATGGATTCAAGCTCTGCACCCTCCGTTGAGAGAACCGAAGATCCGCGACACGACGCACCCGAGTGGGACTTCGGAGACATCCCCACTGGCGAGAGGGACGCAGTCGAAGATCAGGCTCGGGACGGCGAGCGGGAATATGGAGATCGCACACCGGCACCCAGCGCCACCGGTCCAGCGCCCGTGTCCTCGGTCCAGGAACAGCATGCGGACAGGGCGTGCGCTGCCAGCGTCGCTGAAACTCAAATATCCGGCGTGCCTGCGGGATCTGCGGTCGACGGCCAGACAGCAACGGAGTCGGCAGTCGGATCATCAGACTTGGACCAGGTCGGGCGATCCGCGCATCGAAAGCAGCGCTGGTGCTGACGGACTCCTTGTAGCGCTTCACCTCCCCCGGTGCCGTCACCGGTACCGGAGACGACGACGACGGACACGAAGCTAGCTCTGGTCTCCCGCGCCAGTTCACGGCCTCGATCGTCCCCCAGCTCCCGCTCGCCGTCGCCAGTGGGCTGAACGTGTTCGACGCGAGCGGGGGTGGACGCCCGTATCCGGGGATACTACTACATCATCCATGACAGAGTCCGAGTCCGCTGCCCCTGATCCGGTGGGGCCGTCAGAAGAAGGGCGCCGCAGATCGTCGTCGTCGAGTGGGACGGGCCATGTGTTCTACGGGAAGCTTCCGCTGTCGCTCGACCGCCCGCCGCCCGTCCCCGCCTGCGAGGATATCGAAGCCCGAGGGACGCCTGACGACGATGCAGAGGACGAAGTCGATGATGAAGGCGTTGAGGATGAGACGGACGGCGAGGAAGACGAAGTGGGCCGCGACGAGGATGGGAAACACAAAGACCCGGATCGCAACGAGGATAACAATAGCAAACCCGGCGACAGTGGGGTCCATGACGGGGGCGGCGATAGTGACGACGCCCAGGACAACGACAAAAGCAGCGGCGGTCTCGGAGATTCATCGCAAGCAGCCGAAGAAGGGAACGCCGAAAACCCTGCTATGGGACCTCAACCGAGCAGCCACCACGCGCATTTCTGCTATGTCCCCGCTGCTGCTCGCGCCATTGACCAGGATTCTGAGGATGCCATGAGTGGTCATTCCGAACCTGAACCTCCCACCGAGGATCCGTCCCGGTCCCGATTCGCGCCATACATCCACACCCCAACGAGCTGGACCTACGGGCTCGATTCTCGCGCAGACGACGACGACGACACGGACATCCCCGAGTTCCAGCTGGACCGCGAGACGAGCGAGATCCTCTCTGCTCTGGATGTTCACGCAGCAGACCCAGCCTCAACGCGCCTCGCACCGGATCTGATTTCACGGCTGCAGCCGCAGCAATGTGGCGAGCGCGCAGACTCGCATGGGGACGACGACGACGACGAGCAGGACACGCCGACTGTCACTGGCAGCGCGATGCGCAGTCCCACGGAGACGCCGGAGCTGCCGGCGCTGTCGTTCAGCCCCTCCTCCCTCGTCGACGACGTCCTCGCTTCCCCCGCTCCAGCTCCAGCGCTTCGAAGCTCTCGACTCTGACGCGCCGGCGGTGGCGGTGGGGAATCCGAAACCCGGTCGGCCGCGGGCTGTGTCGAACGCCGAGTCCCTGCTGCACCCCATGTTTAGAATGGACGTGGAAGCAGACGCAGATGCAGATGTGACCACCACCACCACCAGCGGTCGCGGACAGGGCCACCGCCACTCTGCGTCCGTGGAGCTTCCCCGCTCGTCGTTCCCCGGGTTGGACTCCGGCGCGGATATCGTTCCGCATCTCGTCCGCAGCGGGGGCTGGTCGTGGTTCTGGAACTGAGTGGTGCTCTCCTCGTTGTCTTGTGTTCTAGTTCTTGTATGTTTTCTCTCCCCGTTTGCCGTCTTGTATAGTTTCGTGTGCTTTCTTGTATCGACTAATGAAATACTGACCAACAACCACTGATACACGTGATTCCCACTCGTCTAAAAACCCAGATGCAAAACAGTCTATTATTGATAATAACCCAAGATGAGATGTACATGCTAGTTCATACGTAATGACACAAATGATATCACAACAACAACAACAGCAGCAGCAGAAAACCGAAACGAGAAAGACCCAGACCCAGACCTATGCCTCACACCCTAACGCCTTGGCCATCACATCGACCGCGCCCAGCTGGAACGGCAGGATCGGGTCAGCACCGGAGCGCGGCAGGCGCCAGCGCAGACTGCCGAGCACGGACAAGTCGTGGAACGAGCGCGTGATCTCGGCCATGTCCGCGGCCGCGGGAGGGGGCCCGCGCGCCAGCAGCCAGTCGACGCGCATCATGCTCGGTGTCGACGCGATCGACGGGGCGGGAACGCGCACGAGCACGGCGCTCGCCAGCGGCTGCACCGGCATCGGGTGCGCGCACGCGTCCGGCGCGAGCCGCTGCTGGCACTGTTGCTGCTGTGGTGCTGTTGGTGGTGCGACTCAGAGCCGGCGGAGTGCGCGGGCGAGCTGGGCCCGGACGCGCTGTCCGGATCGGGGCTGGGCATCCCGGCGACCAGGTCCCCGCATTCAACGTCGGGAACGTATCCCAGTCCCAGTCCGACGTCATTCAGCGTCGGTGGGCGCGACAGTGCAAAGTGCCGGCGGGGGAAAACACGTGGGTGCTGGAGGAGACGTCCGTGAATACCGGTTTGCCTGTCACCGACGGCGGCGTCTGTGGCGGTTGCGGTTTCGTGCTGGCCGTGGGGAGGAACGACCAGGCGGCATCCGGTTCGACGGACAATAGCGTCAGGTGCGCATCGGCCAACGACGACCAGGCTGGGATTCAGGCAGTCAGTCACACATCGCCAACCGCGAACAACTTTGGGCCACACACCTTCCAGCTCGGCCACCTGCATCGACCCCAGCCTCGCGACCACGATCCTCCATGCCAGGCTCGCCTGTTTCGCAAATTGACAGGCCAAGCCCCAGACCTTCTTCACAGCATGCTCCTCCCGCGTCAAGCTCTCGCCGTCGTTCACCGGGACCGCCAGCCACACGCCGAGCTGGTACGCCTCCCCGCGCTGATCGACGCACGCCGCCAGCACCCACTTGCCGCACTCGCTGAATCCGTATCCGACATGCAGCTGCGTCCCCGCGTCGACCACGTCCAGCGGCGCCCGCGCGCTGTGCCACGCGAACTTGACCGTCGCCGGCCCGCGCCGGGCCAGCGTGTACACCGGGTCACAGAAGTACCGCCGTACAGCGGGCACCGCGTCCTGGTCCGCCCGCTGTGCGATCGGGCGCTCGACAGGGCGGAGGATCTTGTCGTACGTCGAGTACGCGACCGCCTCCAGATCAGCCACCTGCGCAGCCGGGTTCGCCGCGCTGGTAAACGCTAGCGCCGCTTCGGGAACGAACTGGAAGCGCGTCTGTAGTCCCTCTCGTGCTTGCAGCGCCTTTTTGACGGACGAGAGGATTTGCCGCAGGAGCGGGGAGGAGAGAGTCATCGTGCTCATCGGTGTAAACACGTAGAATACCACGTCCGACAGTGTAGGCATAGCCGCGATGAAAGCCGCTGGAGGATAAATTGATTTAGCGCGTGTCAAACCAAGAGCACGATTGAACGCACCCAGACTCTTGCGAAACGTGCTGTCAAACCGAATCGGAAAAAAGCCGTCTCGCGAGCACAGCGGATGGCTTCCGGGTGTCAGAGTACCCAGCTGACAAGTCTGGAAGGTGTATGCTCAGCAACAGTACTTCCTTCTCACGCGAGGAGTAATCAACGCGACCCACCTCGTATAAGAACAACAGCTTGTGCAACCAAGCTGAGGCCAGATCGGCTCTCGTGCTGCCGTCGTCCTCAAACAACACAAACACAACCGCGTTCTTGCGCCCTCCTCTCGGCGACAGACCGAGCTTATCCCAGAACCGCAGCGCGGTGGGCAGCACCTGTATGACCGCCGACTCGCCCTTGCCGACGGAGATGAGCGGGGACTCGACACGATCAACGTGGTCCACATCAAACAGCGCACCGAGATCGAGCGGGCCCTCGACCTCGCGCACGCCGCTGAGCAGCTCCGCGACGCGCCGGACGTCTGCGGGCCACACCGCATCGCGCGAGAGGTACCCGGCCATCCCGGGCCGCCACGACTCCGCCCACAGCGCGTTCTCGACGACCTCCGTGCCGACGGAAAGCGCCGCCGCTTCGAGGGACTTGGATTTCTCGGACGCAGCACCGAGCAGCGCCGCGGGCGAGACCGGCGTGGGCACCGAGGCCGAGGCCGGGTTGTGGTAGATCGGGGTGGCGGCGACGGCGGATCCCGGCGGCCGGAGCGCGTTGCTGAGTGGCAGAAGCTGCGAATGCTGGAAATGCGTGTGCAATAGCGTCGGCCCCAGAGGCAGATAGCTCGGCGTAGGAGTGGAGGGACGCGACATCATTGGGTTGCTGTCTTCGTCGAGGTCCCCGTCCCCATCCTCCGATTCGGGCTCCGATTCGGTATCGGATGGGATCGCGGGTTGCTGCTCCCAATCTTCGTGTTCGCGGGCCCACGCGGGAGACGCCTTGAACTTGGGTCGTTTGTCGGTGGACGTCGACGTCTTGCGCTTGACACCGATGAGTTTACGCACGACGCCAATCCTCGGATCCGTCGCAGACGCATACTTGAACTGCCAGCCGCGGTGCTGCTCGATCTCGAAATCGTCGTCTTCCTCCGGCGGCGGGCTCGGCAGCGCAAACTTGCCTACAGCGTATTTGCCGTCCGCGAGCCGGTGGCTCTCCGCAAACGGAATCGGGTCAAACAGCCGCACACCCCCGAGCTCCTCTGCGACCAGCTGCACACTCGGCGTCGACGGCGCAGAGCTCGAGCCCGTGGTCTGCGGCGTCTCCCCGGGTGAGGGCGGCATCAGATCCGGGAGCGACGCCATGAGATGGTTCAGCTCCGATGCGCCACCGGGAGTGAACGCATTGGCCGTCGCGGCCCAATCGCCGGGACTTTCCCCGAGTCCGACTCCGAGTCCGGTACCGAGCCCGAATACAGGCGGCGATATCGACATCGGCATCGGCATCGTCCCACCGAGTCCCATCCCGAGCATCCCCATCATCCCAGGCGCCCGGAGATGCGCGTCGCTGGAGGACATGGACACCGGGAGGCCCATGGATCCGCTGACTACAGGCAGAGTCGTCTGTGGCCGGTCGAAGAAACTAAAGTCGTCGTCCGTAAAATCCGTGTCGAAATCCATTGCCACCGGAACTGCTTGTGGGGCTGCATTACTATTGCTGTTGTTGTGGTTATTATTGTTGTTGCTGCTGCTTGCTGCGTGGCCGAACATCCCCATTTCCATGATACCGCCAAAGTCTCCCATGATGTTGTCATAGTCCATCGAGTCGAACAAAGGGTCGAAGGCGCGCTGATCTGGCTGAGTGGCCTGCAATGCCACAGACGCCGCAGGGGTAGCAACTGCCACAGGTGAAGACCGACCTTCCTCGACGGGGGGCACCGGATGGTCGACTTGTGGTGGAGATGGATAGAACGTCTGCGCCTGGGTTTGCACGGGCAATTGTGGTTGCGGTTGCGGTGGAGCTTGAACTTGCGCCTGCACCTGAGCTGGCTGTACGACCAAAGCAGCAGCAGCCACCGTGGGAACAGACGAGCGAGAGGACTCCCGCTCCCGGCGCATCCGCTCTCTTTCCCGTTCCCTTTCCTTGGCCACAGCATCCACGAAAACATTCACCTCTCCTGCCACGTGCCGGACTTGTCGTGCACGTGACACCGTGAGTCCTCGGTAGGCTCTCAGGGCGTGGGGCGAGGGCGTCCCTGAGCAGGATCGCAAGTGGCCCCTCAGGTGCGATGCCACGGCAGACGTCTGGAGCATGTGGCTCCCGGGAATCGCCGCGGTTAATTGGGGCGACGGCTGCAGTTGGGGCGGCAACTCTGGAATGTACGCCAGAGATTCTCTTCTCGCCGCGGGGAACGAGGACGACGACGTGAGCGATGGCACAAACAGCAGACAGAGACTCGACGGGTAGATCACCGTGATGCCTTTCTCCTCGCCCTGCTTGTTTTCCACGTTGATCCACGCAATGATGAACGTCGTTTGACTGACAGAATCATCTCCGGTCTCCCATCCCGACACGCCCAGACCTGCTAGCGAGTCCCGGAATTGCCGGCGCAACGCCGACGTCGGCCCGGAGTAAGCCGCCAGGTAGAAAGCAGGGATTCCCAGCGGGAGGAGCGTGATCGGGGCACCCTCAGCGGGCCTCCCTGGCCCACGGCTTGGCGACATCGGCAATGCCACGAACGGCGTCACATGCATTTGGGGGTGGATCACAATCTGGGCTGGTCCCCGCGGCGATGAGATGGACAGGTGGATCTGAAGGTGGCAGGATATAAGTGGCCGAGAACAAGCTTTGGTATCCCAGCCTTTGCTCCATTCGGACGAGCTCGGAGGCGGGCTGAGTACGAATCCGCCTTTTAGACGTTTGATAGGTCTGGCCGAGCGGCCCTTGGTGCTGCACGTCGAGGCAACGGACATATCGTCGATCAGCCGTATCCGCACAGCTTCCAGGAAATGGCTGACGGCAGCGCGGATAGGCGGTCGCACGAGATGCTGGTGGGGCGGTTGGGGGGAGTTCAGACAGCTTGAGCACGGTCCAGGCAGCCCCGCGCATTCGGGGCACCATAGATACATCTCTGCAGGCGAAAAGGTGCACTGCGACGTCACTGGTGTGGGAATAAGAAATCGATTCTGGGATCTTGGATACCGGGTGCATCACAATGCAGCAACTCACCGCTCAGTCCCTCTAATTGCAGACGCGCAAGCGCGCTGGTCGCTCCGCGGCAGTCGATGGTAAACGCATACAGGCACGAGTCGCTCCCGTGTATATACACGCTCGTCAGAATCGAATCGGTCAAAGAGGTGGAGGAGGGGGAGATATTCGAAAAGTGGTTCTGCGGTGCATGATTCTGATTTAGGATGTCCCTGCGTGCGAGCTCCAAAATGTCGGTGTACGCCCGCGAGGGCGTGCTAGGACCCGCGACTGGGGCGTACACGTAGCATGTGATGTGGGCGTCGGCTGGTAGCGGGATGGTCGACGACAGTAGGTGGTCGGACGACGACAAGCCGGGTCGTGCAGGTGGCACTGGGGAAGTCTGCTTTGCTGCCATTACAGCGCCGTATCAGAGGAAATTATGCAAAACGACAACGGCGACGAGTGGTGAAGGAGCGCGGGCGCTGGGGCCATCCACTGGGCGAGACTGGAGCACTGGACAGGTGAGCAATGCGAACGGGAGACCGATCGGGTAAGCGCACGTGGATTCGGAAGGAGGCAGATAACTCCATCGGGAATTGTCTCCTGCCCAGAACCACAACGCAGGCCGAGCATTGGCCGAAAAAGCCACGGCTAAAACGTCGTTACTCCGATGCTGCAATTGAATCCGGCTCTCATGGAGTATCCTCCGGCGAAGAATGTTTCTCAGTGCAACAGACAATCGAGTGGGATATTAATGCCTGGTGGGGAAGTCTGAATACAGCAAGCGGGAGACAAGATAACACGCTGTGGCATGCTCTAAGCACAGTACCACCGCCCTTCTCCTTCATTCCTTCACGTCAAACCTACACCGAGTTGCTCCTTTTGTCCGTTTTGTTTTCGTCGGACCCACCAAAGATCAAGTGTCATTCTCGGTAACGCTGATTTCAATCCCGTCTCCGCCACCAGCCATCCAATCGACATCGAAGAAATCTCGGGAACAGTGCCTCCCAAAACGGCTGGGACAGGAGAGAGGTCTGTGTGGCGAGCACTTGGTCGGCAATTGACATGTGCTTAGCGCCGCCTTTGGTCCGTCGCCACAAACGGGAGCACATGCCTTCTGCCGCGGATATATTCCTCGACCCTCTCGCTTCCATCCCAGCTCCGATATTGGCAATACGGCCCCAGACTGCGGTGGTGGCCGAGCTACTGGTGCAGTGCAGGCCTATTTTCGGTCAAGATCGAACGGGTGCATTGTGTTATGTCGCTTTCCCCTGTCTTTGAGTCTAACGTGGCAGTAGGCGATAAACAGCCTTTTGCACAGGCCCAATCTTATCTTCCGCTCTCTAGACTCCTCAGACGCTGCGAGGAGATGCACTCAGGGTCGACTCTCGTCGACCTTCCCCGTCTCGTAGAGCCTCTAGCCGCTTGACTTCTTCGCAAGCTCGAGCTGACGAAGCGCCACCAGGAGTAGTACAAGACAACACACACACACATCTAGATGTTCTAGAAACAATCACGCGGTGAACGGCACCTAAGAGTGGTTGGTTGCTGTGAACCTGACCCGGAATCACTCAAAAGCAGCTGCTCGAATTTGCGCGCGACTGCTCCAATAAAGCGACAACCGTGGCGGACCCACGGCCCTCTCCTTTGCGTCGACCCCATCTTGACTGCCCCATCTTGGCTGTCCTGCTAGGTGACTGGTTCCCCATCGTTCTTGGGGGCTGAACACGGAGTTTAATGAAATGCAGCGGACCCTGACATGCAACCAGGTGCAGATCGATCTGAGGACGCGAGAAGCCAAGGAATCGGAGCAGCTCCAGCGCGAGATGTCGAAGCTGATGGCGTCGATTAAGAGAGCTGGGGCTGTGTGTGGCATAGAAACGTCTCGTGCGATCATAGCCAGCTTAAATCGTACAAGCCCTTGCTGCTCGATATGTTTGGATTGTGCCCAGTCTGATCCTTTCGTTGCCTTCTCTCGTGACTGATGATGGCTTGTGGGTGTGGTCTGGTCCTCGAGACAGCAAGATGCCTGCTCTAGGAGCGCTGATGTCCCGTTTTGCTCTCAGCCTCCTCATCAAATTTTCCGAGTCCGTGCAGCCCGTTGAAAGCACCTCCGAGGTATGCCAAGCCCAGGCCGGTTCGACGGTCCGCACACATCCGACGCCACGGAAAATCCGTTGTGGATGCAGATGTCCTGCACATGTTGTGCAGGAGTGTTTTCGGTATAATGAACCCAAAGCAAAGATACAGCCCCAGAGAAGATTCCCGCGCGCCCCGATACGACTGGTGACTGCTTCTGGGGACAAAGCAAAGGTCGCCTGCCGCCATAATCCTATCCATTGGCCAGTCGAACCTGGTTACCGTGACGGGCAGGTCAGAGCCGCCGAATTCTGCGTTTAGACCAAGATTGGCACACTGTTTCCGGGAGTCCACAAGAAGCCTCAAGAAGCTGTCCGGCTGATATCTGCAAGTCCAGCATGAATCAGAGCGGTCCACGATGCGAGCCTGTTTGATTCCGACGAGCCGCAAGAATGACTCAGTCTGACCCCGTATTATTAGGCACTGCAACCTTGTCGATGGTTGCTCACTGGAGTTTCTGAAGCTCCGAAATAATGCAGCGAGCTGCAAAGCAACAGCTCTGTCCCATGCATGCCTTCCAAGGGGATGGAATTTTGGAAGATGCTCGGACTGACCAATATTACATCTTGTGGAGTGAACATCATTTGCGGTGCACGGTTGAGCTAATGATTGAATTGTCATTGAGATAAAACAGTTTCAGATCGAATCAGGGAATCTAGTCAACTCAGGTTAAAAAACACAATATATCTCTGCCCTTTTTAGTTCGAGGGGCGATTGCATTTGGAGCCTGAAGGGGATTTTGAAGGCCCTCTCCACAATCGTACAGAAAAGTCACGAAAGCAAACTTCGACCTCATGGTTTGATCACCTTTCAATTTCAATCGATGATACGAACTCAAAAAGCGATACAGCTATCTTTGAAGAAATGAGAATACGAGAAAGCTCGACGACACTTCTCGATCGCAACCTCGGCTATCAACCATTTGGCATTCGCTACAAGAGCTCCTGATGGAATAGCTCTGTAGACAGAGGGAGACACGCGCTGAAACAGTAGTAGCAGATTTCAGGGTCATCTGAGTCTGAAGAGAGAGCTATTTCCTCGTCTATTGACTCGATGGCGACGCGAACGAGACGCGTCGCAAGAAATTGAATAATTGATGATGTTTGTCAAACGCGTGATCGATCGCTCTTGCTTTTTGCCAACTCGCGCTCGATCCATCATCTCTGATCCTCCGAGACCTTGAAACCCTCTTACTAGACACGATCCGGCCATAACCATCCTATCTCAATTCATCTCCCAGCGTCCGGGATCCACGCGCCCCTTGATTGTCAGGCTGGCCCACAATTGGAACAACGGACACCATCTCATCAGTCGGCGCCACGGAAAGCATCTCAATCTCGTCCCCTTGACCGCCGAGGAGCAGTTTCGTCACGTTATAGCGCGAATCGTTCTGAGCACCATGGCGCCCGAGACGCATCCTCCTAAACTTCGACCAACGTCCGCTGGCTTGAAACAGGTTGATCCGTATTGGTACCCATACACGACGTGGGCGAAGCTACGGTGGTACAATCGCGAACTCTTGGAAGTGGTCTCGACCGAGTTCAGAGACAGGTCGATGGAATATTACGTAGGTCTCGCCCTGTTTCTCGTTCTGTGCACAATCTAAAGCCGCTCAGAAATACGCTTTGGAGTCCGGGGTAACGACCGTCAATGGGAAGGTTGCGGGCCCTAAAACGATCATCAAGAACGGAGACCTTATAGAGTATGGCCACCTCATTCAATTTCAGACGACTAGTGCTGACTGGTCTCATCAGAAACATTGTCCATCGGCACGAGCCTCCAGTGACAGCTACGCCAGTCAGAGTTTTACACCACGATGTCGAGCGCGAGTTTATTGTCGTTGACAAGCCTGGGAGCATCGTCCGTCTCTCTTACCTCCGAGGTCTTCCTTTTGCCGTCTGAAAGCCGCCAGCACAGCCTGTTCATGGGACTGGGAGATATTTCAAGAACACCCTGATCGAGATCCTCAAGGACGAGTTTGGATTCAGGACATTTCGTACGAGCTTCCGTGTGCTTGCCCGAGGCCCAGTCTAATCTCCATCCATCTGCCCCCAGCTGTAAATAGACTGGATCGACTCACCTCCGGCTTAATGATCCTCCCCCTCTCGTCTGAATGCGCCAAGACGATTGCTAGAGAGTTTGAAGTCAATACAGTGCAGAAAGAGTACATCACTCGATGCAAGGGCGAGTTTCCGGCGGGCGTGACGGTGTGCGAGGAGCCGCTGTTGACTGTCGACCGTCAGATGGGGTTGAATATCGTCCATCCCGAGGGAAAGGTAGAATGATAGTCCCTCCATTCAGTCATCGTGTTCTGATCATATCAGCCGGCGAAGACAGTTTTCGAGCGCATTCGATACGATGAAAAGACTGATAGCACGGTGGTCTTGTGTAAGAGCCTTCTTCATTTTATCTGCCCAGCTGATTCGTATACAGGCAAACCATATACGGGACGATGTCTGTGATCATCTCCTTGGCGAAGATATTTCGACTGACATCCTGCACTACCAGCACACCAAATCCGGGTACATCTTCAATTCCTCGGGCATCCCGTCGCCAACGACCCGGTCTACTCTGAAACCAAGATCTGGGTGCGTTCGTACTAGCAGCATGTCGGGCCGATGACACTACTCGAATGATGCAGGGTGATGGCCTTGGTGTAGGCGGCATCGACACAACACCGAGCGACGAACGAGCAGCGCCTCAGCCGCCGCCACATCTGGAGTCAGAAGGACTGGGGAATCCAGAGTCTCTGGCGCAGACCGGCCCGGGGGAGCCGGCCGAAAGTTCCAAGCCAAAACTGCTTCCGCGTGAGACTGGCGAGGATATCGGAATGGGCTCACCTGTACCGCTATCCCAAGAAGCCGTCAATGTCATCACGCAACTGCGCAATATGAAGGTGAGGACTTGGTTCGTCCGGTGCCGGGGAGATGACATCAAGCGATATTCCAGGACGAAGAAGAGGATTGGAGCCGATGGAGAGACGTTATCTTCCGTGTCAAGGGCGCGTTATTGCCGAAGGACCTGGTGATTCGAGGGCCAGCTAGTCGGCGGAACCGAGACCAAGACACACCCACGTCGAAATCAAAGAATGCGTCGGAAGATTCCGGGGCGAGAACTCTCGACGCGTTGGCTTCCGGCGAAGATGTGACTCTCAGGCCCACGATTGGGTCCCAGCCGGACAGCGATCCGGGACGCTCTGCATCTGGGCCAGACGCGCTGGGCGGGGCTGAGCCCATCTCTGGGCTGGGCCTGACCGCTGACGAGGCAGTCGAGCGTGCTTCCCAGATAGAAGGGGCGATGGATGATGTCACGGCTGTGCTCGCAGAAAGTGCGTACTGCCCCGAGTGCTATCTGCCGCTGCATCCGGATCCCAAGCCTGAGAAGTTATACATCTTCCTGCATGCGCTGCGGTACAGAACGAGCCTGGGTGAATTCGCCACGGAAATGCCGAATTGGGCGGCAGAGGATTGGGAATGGGATAGGACATAGACCGGGTGTTTTGCTATCTTGTTGATTTGTTCGAGGAAAAGATGGGTGGACGGCCGAGGACGAAGTGTCTGCTGACATCCGTCGCGCGCGGAAAACCTGAGATCAGCCACGGTTAGTGCGGTCGCCGGTGGGCTAGTCTTGCGTGACTGCTCGCGCTTTCTAACGGCAAATCAAGATCCCTGGGATGTCAGTCAGCCTTGCTATGCCCCCGGTGCACAAATACTTTTGGACATCCCGTGGTGGGAGCTTGGCTCTGTGTGAAACGTCGTTCATTATTTGCCGCAACGTAACGCGGTTGAGCCAGCTGCAGCAGCCCAGTTTTTTGTTCGGACGAGAGTAGAACGACCGTTTCATACATACAGGCACCATGGGCTTCAAGATTAACGCCACCGGCGCTGGGCGAGATCTGAGCCCGTCACTCCGAGCAAATGAACGTTCGGGCAATAACAGGGCTCGGCCGAGCGTCAGATCTCAATATGTGTAATTATTCGCCGGTGTGCTTCGGATACTTGCTCTGGCCTATCCCTTTAAGGCCTGCATTTTCCGCGGATATAAATGAACCACTCAGCCTTACTTTCTTTCCCCTCTACTAACAATGGCCAGCCTCGCCTTTCTGCTCTCAGGCGCCTGCGTCCTCTACCTCTGCTGCTCCCTCGTCCTCCGTCGGTGGAGACGAATCTCCCTCGCCGAGGTACCTGGGCCCGAGCCGGTGTCTTGGCTTTTGGGTTCGGAGATTCACCTTCCAGAGGTTTTGTGGCTGAGACTGCCGACCAGGGAATATGCCGCAGCTGTTTGGTGGTCAAGTGGGAGATGTACGTCCCAGTCGCGCGCTTTGTCCTGCGGGTCACCTGACCACCCCTGATTCGTGCAGGCAGAGTTCAAGTGGCAAGAAATTTATGGAGGCGTCGTCCGCATCAGAGCCCCTTTCGGAGTGCGCCCAGCGTTCGAGTTTAAAAAATATATCTGATGGTTCTTTCCAGGAGGACACATTGCTCGTGACAGACCCCAAAGCATTACAGTACATCTACCAGACGTCGGGCTACCGATTCCACAAACAACCCGAACGGATCGAGTTGACGAGATTGATCAGGTGAGTCATCGCTTTGTTCCAACTTGCCAAAAGTACTGAGAGAAAAATTCCAGTGGCCGGGGCCTTCTCTGGGCAGATGGTTGGTGCTGTCTGTCCCCGCTGCTAGAATTAAGGTGACGGGAATGACCAGGGAATGACCACAAGAGACACCGGAAGGTGATGCTTCCAGGTTTCAAGTCATCCGAAGCGAAGGCGCTCGTCCCGCTTTTTTTCTCGTGTGCAGCTCAGGTACGCCCTCGGTCGATCGTTCCTTTTGCCTTTAGCCAAACGCCCTTCCCTTCTTTCACAAGATCGGCACGAAGTGGAAGGATCTGATCGCTCAAACACCGGAGCAAGCGACGGTTCTGAACGTGACCGGGTGAGTATAAGTGCCGTCCCGGACATGTTTCGAGACTGAGCTTCGTCCAGATGGGCTTCACGAGCCACGCTAGATGCTATCGGCGCAGGTAATATACCTCCGTGGTCGGCCAGAGTCGACGCATCAGCATCTCACGCGTCTCCGTCGCAGCTGCATTTGACTATTCCTTTGGGGCGATCGAGAATGTGGACAACCCAGTGGGCTCAGCCTACAACAGTCTCTTGTGCGAGCGTGTTTTCATCAGCGTCATTCGAGGGAACTGAACGCAGTTTACAGTACCGACACATTCGCTTCTCTCTCTGGCGTGAGCCTGCTTGCTCTTGGGGTGCTTCAATATGTTCCACGTCGGATGCGGGAATTTCTGGTCGATCACATTCCCGCCCGTGGCCTGAAACACATCCGATACGCAGCCAGAGTGACGAAACGCGTCGCGCGAGAGCTGGTCGCCTCCAAGTCGGCCGCACTCCTGCAAGGGAAGGGCAACCGGGACATCATGAGCTTACTGGGTCAGTGCTTTCCCCCCAAACAGTGACCCTGACATCGCAACTCAACGGCGCGCGCAGTGAAAGCTAATGCGTCCGAGAACGAGCAGACCAAGCTCAACGAGGACGAGTTATTATCCCAGATGCAGACCATCATTATGGCGGGCCACGAGACGACGGCGAGCACGTTCAGCTGGGCTGTGCTCGAGTTGGCGCGTCGTCCCGACATCCAAGCACGACTCAGAGCCGAGATACGGAGCATGGAACGTGTGGTTCGGACACACGAGGCTCGGGAGTTCAACAGTTCTGACATCGAGAAGATGCCCTACCTGGAGGCGTTCGTCAAAGTTCGTGGTTTGGACTGGTTCTCATTCGCACGCGATTGACCGTCGGGCATCTTCTAGGAAGTGCTACGGTTCCACCCCGTCGCATTCAGCAATTACCGACAGAGCGCCAACGACGATGTGCTACCGCTCTCGAAGCCCATGACGCTGAGCTCCGGCGAAGTCGTCTCAGAGTTGCCGATTCCTAGAGGCATGAAGGTCATGATATCGATCGCAGCTTACAACCGCAACAAGGAAATCTTTGGTCACGACGCGCATCTCTTCAATCCCGAGCGCTGGCTCAATGGCTCAATGCGGAAACCGGACACACCAGTCGGGGTTTACGCCAATTTGTGCGTTTTCCGAACCAGCAAGCGTCCTCCCCAATAAGCTTATCCGTCCATTAGATTGACATTCGCGGGTGGGCTGCGCACTTGCATCGGGTGGAGATTCGCGTACTGCATTTCATTTTGCCTCGACGCTCTCATCCAAACTCACGCTCCCATCCGCAGCGTACTCGAGCTTCACGCTTTCCTGATCGAACTCGTCGGCACATTTGACTTTTCGCTGACACCTGAAGCAATGCGAATACGTAGGGAGGCATGCGTGGTCATGGCCCCGACAGTCGAGGGTCAGCGAGACAAGGGGACTTGCCTGCCCCTCCGAGTCTCGATAGCTTCAAGAGAGGATTCCTGAAGCCTATAGTCGAATTGATTTCAACTCGGGTCTGACTTAGCTTATACTGTATTGCAATGTGAGACAAGCTCGCAAATGACAACTATACAACACGTCTGCAAAACAAAGATCACTAGAAGCAAAAGGGTATGAGCATGTGTCAAAGCGACCAGAAATAACTCGCCTTGATAAATTTGGACATGAATTTTCTTGTGGATCAGACGTTAAAATTCGGAATCGTCATAATTGCAAGAGATTGCTCACTTGTGAAACTCCGTCCTCAGCAAATCGTTGACGAAATGGGCGGGTTTGTCCCTGCTGGACATTGCCTGGTTCTTGAAAATCAAGTCTGGGTCCCAGTCAGCTCAAAAAACCATGAAGAGTCGTGTTATTGCTGACCGTCATCCCACCGCTTCTTAACAGCAAAAGTGCCTGGGGCCGTCGTATTGATACCGGTAGGCACATCCTGGCCGAGGGCAGCAGCGAGATTCAGCAGCGGATTTGAAGTTGCGATTTCGGCGTCCCTTGAGGCAGCTGCAGACGCGGACTGCTCTTGAGCTAACCGCTCCTTCTCCTCAGCTCGTTCCCGCTTGATTTTCTCCAGTTCACGAAGAAGTTCGGCAGTCTCGTCCTCGTCGTCGTCTTCTTCCGAGTCAGAATCAGATTCGCTGCTACAGGAGGTGAAGTCAGGCGGGCTGTTTGGAACAGTCGCAATCCAGCACGACCACACACCTTTCTCCGTCCTTGTTCCCATCCTCTGCGGCCTTGCCGGGCCCCGCTTCTTCTTCCTCATCATCATCCTTATCCAATTCCAGCGACTCCTGAAGCAATTTCCGTCGTTTGTTCGCCTCGTCGTCCGCTGGTGTCGGAGCGGCACCCTCCAAAGCCAAAGGTGGCAGACCCTCCGCTTTGCGCTTCTTGTTCTTCGCCTCCAGCTCGGCGACAGCCAGCTCAGCTCTGAGATCCCGCTGCTTCACTTCCGCGGCCGAGGTCTGTCCGACTTGTCTGCAGAGGGCCAGGTCGGTTCATTGCACGGCTACGCGGAGGAACCACTTTTATTCATACCGGAATTTGAGCTTCGTGTGAGCTGCCATGTCTCGTGCAGAGAACTGGCGCGATCCCGCCTTGGAGTCCCTGGCCTGCGCCGGATCCCATGTTGGTCTGTGTGCTGTAGACATAGCGTGTAAGAACAAGTACTGGATCGGCACGTGACATCTGACGCCTCGACCGGAATTCGCGTCTCAATTTCACCCAAGTTCAGCTGGGAGTCGGCGAGGAGCTTGCGGGGAAGGGAGCACCTCTTGCAAAAAGCAAAATGTATATATATATACACACACTGAAAGCACGTAAAGAGACACGAAGAAAGCAATGTCTAATCTGAGGTAGCCTCCACCTTCGGTACCTCCTCGTCGTGTATCGTAGGTGCCTCAGTGACATCTACTTCCTCTTCTGATTTTTCCTCCAGTTTCTGAGCCTCCACTGAGGATGGCTCAACTGCAGCGCCCTGTGCACTTCCCTCGTGGACATTTTCTACTTCACCAGCATCTGCTTCCACTGCAGGTGCCTCCAGTTCTGGCTCACCTGCCTCGTCTGGCGGGGTCGCGGGTTCAATAGCGATAGCAGGAACAGGCACAAGCTCTGCCTTCTCCTCTCCAGCCTCATCCGACTTTTCGACCTCGTCCGATTGCTCGACTGCATCCGACTTTTCTCCAGATTGGCTCTCCTCAGCTTGTGCGACAGGCGCCGTGACGGACGCATCGTAAGCTTCGCGCACGGGGCTGGCTGAAGTGTCGATTATGATTGAGCCGTCCAGTGGGATAGCGGCAGTCGAGGACGACGGTGAGACGATGGGGATGTTAGATTCCTCCGGCTCAGGCGCAAGGGCGCTACCGCCAGTAGGACTGGGTTCGCCGTCGAGATCCGGATCTTTCTGAAGCACCGACAATTCAGAAATCGACTCTGGTTCAGCAGACAGATCTGCCTCGGGAGCCTCGTTGCTGCTTTCGTGAGGTGCAGAGACCGGTTCCGACATAGCGGGCGATGCCGAAACAGAGGGAAGATCTGCCAGAGCAGCGTCCGCCAACGCTGCTTCGAGACCAACTGGACCGTCTTCAGCGGCAACAGCAGGACTCGGAGGGAATCTGTCGCCTTCAAGCATCATCGTATCTGTTCTGTTGCGGCCATAACGCCGCGGACTCATGGCTTCATCAAGACTGCTGCCAGGGCTGACGATGTTGTCCTTGTCGACTGGACTCAAGGAGTCCTCCGGCGAGGGAGCAGTTTCAACGTGCAAGGCCGCAGCCAGTAGGGTGGGAGGCTGCGCATCAATAGCGGGAATCACGCTGCTTCGACGATCGGAATCTATTGGGGCAGCAGCGATCCGAGGCGGGATTACGAGGAAGTCTGCAGGGACTAGCTCGAATTTTTCAGTCAGCGCGAGGAAGCGAGCATAAAGGGAGCTCTCTGCTTCGGCTTGCTCGAACTCCTCCCGATGGTGAAAATATGCATGGGCAAAGATTCGACCCAATCGACGAGCAAGAGAGGAGAAATGTCGGTGTGATGCAGGAGGGATCTGCATTCTAGGGTAGGTGTTTGAGAATCAGGTCGGCACACGGAACATGAGATGAATCACCTGGAGGGAAAAGCCCGAGGTGAGTTGAGGAGCGCTGTGGCGCTGTCCAATGTGTGAAGGATGTAGTCAATCGCGCAACATTGCTAAACGGAAATCCAGTCAGTTCTTTGCCCATGTAAGTATTATTTTATATTATAGGAAGAAGAACATGTTCTCCAGAGGGATGAGGAAGTAGGACGCTCACCTCCATCGCTCCTTCATTTCCATGAGCTACACAGAGATACAGCCATTCTCCTGCTTTCATTTCCGGGCAGGTGCTTCTGTTGCAGACCTGCTGTAGAGAAGTGATGAGGGGATGCGACAGGTCTTGGGCAAGACGCCTGCAGACAGGTCAGTTCACGACCACTACTTGCTATGTACAAGTCCACGTACCTCAGCTGCTCGTACTTCCAACAGGCCTCGTCAACTACTACATCCGGCTTCTTCTCCTTGCCCTCTTCCGTGGGTTCAAGCAGGGAACCACTCTCCTTCTGCTTTCCGCGGCCTGGGACAGACACGATCGCGTCCACGTCGTGGACATCCAGTCGAATGAGGAGCGAGATGTACTCTTGCAGCTGGAAAGCACTGTCGAGCGAGGACAGAGAAGGGAGTGTTTTGACCGGGTAAAAGGTCGATATGCGGGACCCACGCAGAGGTCGTTGAATCTGCACTTGAGCCATAGCGTTCGTCGAGTAGGGCAGCTCACGCGACAGTCACGTTCGCATGATGGACTTCTTCCATTATTTGGGCGCTGTTTGGTCTGCGATAATCATGCTCTTCTCCAAATTCCCCAGCGTACAAATCATCCGGGCCGGCGAACATTGCCTACGCCCACTCTTTCCCTTTCCTTCACTTCTTAGCCTCTAACTTCATCATGTCGGTTAAACCTTTCCTGGCACCCGTTCACAGCACTCTCGCGACGTACCGAGAGGATATCTTCAAGGGCAAGGTGCTTTTCTGCACTGGTGGGGGCTCGGGCATATGTCGTGGAATGACCGAGGCCATGGTTTGTGATCATCTGCCCCGTCGGATAGAGAGTTCAGACCAATGCCTCGTATAGATGAGACACGGCGCTAATGCCGCCATCGTCGGCCGCAAGCAAGTTCTTTTCTCATTACCCTAGATGACATATACCTGATCTTGTCTCCTAGGCTCGACCGGCTCACTCAGGCTGCTCAAGAGCTATCTGCGTCGACGGGGTCGAAGTGCATCCCGTGCCAGGGTGACGTGCGCAACCCCGCCACTCTCAAGGAAGCAGTTGCCAAGACGATCGAGACGTTTGGGCGCATTGACTTCGTCATCTGTGGTATGCCCAGCAAGCATCCGTCGCACTCGCTCCTCTTTGATACGAAACTACGTCAGGTGCTGCTGGCAACTTTCTTGCCCCGATCTCTGGGCTGTCCGAGAACGCCTTCCGCACAGTCATCGAAATCGACACGATAGGCACCTACAACACCATCAAGGCCACCATCTCTCAGTTGCGACAGACGAAGGGCGCGTACATTCATGTCAGCGCTATGCTCCACTACAAGGGTCCGTCAGACCTAGTTCCCACCACTGTCCGCTCAGCATCTATCTAGGCACGCCGTATCAAGCGCATGTCTCCGCTGCCAAGGCTGGCGTAGATGCACTTTCCGCTGTGGTCGCTGTAGAAGAAGGACCGCACGGCGTTCGGTCCAACGTGATTGCTCCTGGACCTATTGCCGGAACCGAAGGAATGGATCGACTCGAGGTGCGTGTCATCGGCTAGCACATACAGCGAATAGCGCTGATACAGTGTCTAGGGCAAAGGCTCGCAGTCTCGAGAACTGATGTACCCGCTCGGTCGCATGGGCGCCATCTCGGATATCGAGAACGCCACCGTTTATCTTTTCAGCGAGGCAGCATCCTATGTTACTGGGCAAATTCTCTGTGTCGACGGCGGAAACGAGCATGTTCGCACGCAGGTGGTGCCGTACCCGCTGAGCGTTCTGGAGCCAGAGAAGGTGAAAAGCATGATCAAGGGGAAGCTCTAACTCCGTTAACTGCGCTATCCATGACTTCCCGCATGTAATAATCTATGGGGATGCATATTCTGCGTACTTGAATCACAGTTCAATGATCCCCATAAACATTCGGTTTGCGCCCACGTGACCGTAAAGCTCGACAAACATGGAAGAACGGAACCCGTCCTTATAATAAAACAAGAGTAAAGTCGTAGATATGTACATGAAACCGGCAAAGATAAAGCAGGCTTGTCGTGATGTTTCGTAATATATCAGCGTCGCGGACAAGGGTGAGATCGATGGTCACAGCACAAGGATCGTGGGACCCTTGGCTATATCTCATCTTTATGGTGGGTCCATTGGCGGATAGTTCTGAGCACGTTGCAGTCGTATCGACTCTCTCTCCGCCTTCCTGGCAGCTCTATCCGCACGGAGGATAGCGCGGTTCTTCTTCTGTTCTAGACGAACCAGCTTCATCCGCTCGTACGTGTCACATAGTTCGAGCAGGCGGAGTTTTTCGTTAGAGGCCTGCCGGAGCAGTCAGACAACCGTTGCTTCTCAGGGAAAAAGAGAAGGGCCGAATGCCAACCCACATAAAACCTCGAGACAAGGCAGTCGAACTTGTCTATGAACGCACAGAACTTCAATATCTCGGCGTCGTAGTTCTCTACGCGCGGAGGTTTGCGCAGCATATGGTCTGCGAAGCGGATGTACTTCTGGAGATTCCTGTTGGCTGCGTGAGCAAGAGCGATGTGAAGTGCTCGGACGCACGCACTTGACAAGCGAATCTTCCAGCGCCCTTCTCTTCTGGTACCAGGACGACGTCTCTGGTGGTTTATACTCGATCGGCACCACGACACTCGCGGGTATGGGGGCCAAGCATTGGATAGCAGCAGCGCAAAGTTTTACGTTCTCGGAGAACTTCGGGTGGTCGGACATGGTAGCCACCGTTTCGAAGAGCTGGGAGAGGAAATCAAGTGAGGATGAGTCTATGAATACGATGAAGGATGCGCCGCTCACTCCAGTCAGACCCTCTGACTTGGCCGTGGCATCAACAACCAAGCGCGTGACTTCCTCGACATCGACCCGAACGAACCTGGCAGTCTTGAATGAGTCGACGGCCTGCGCGATCTCCTGCGGGTCTGCTGTGGTTCTATACTCTGACTCCGATTGTATGAAACTGAGCTTGAAGGGATTGAGTCCGCCAAGCGAGCTCAGAGCGTCCTCGGAGGGTGTAGGGAATATGCTTGAGAGCCGATCCATTAGATTACAGTAGCCGCATTCAAAAACGTGAGATGAAGGAGGACGAGCGTTAGAGGAGCAGTAGTGCGCAGGACATGCGGTTGATGTCAGAGAGGATTTACGAGTGCCAACCACGGCACTTGCTTGACTAAAATAGAAGGTGTGATGGCCGCACGGTCCCATCGGTGATGGACCAACCCCGACACACTTGGTTTCCCATTCTCTATCAGGTTGGATTGAAATACAGAAAAGATACATTGAGAGAGCGTAATGGAGAGCATTCGATAGCATTATGAAAGCGTGAATTCGTCAGAGCAAGGGTCGTGAGAGCGATTTTATCTGGGAGAAATCGATATCAAAGTGTGCGGTCGTATTGCATCAGCCACTGGTCTCTGGAGAGTCTGGCTGCTTGTTTTCGTTCGTCGACATATTCCTGAATGCGGCGGTGTATCCGTGTGTCGGATTTTTGATATTCGCCGACCGATAGCGAATCAAATGTTGCCTGTCGCGACGTCAGGCACAACTCCGACGCGAAAATAGACGGCATGCACGAACATCGATCTTGAGCATCAAGCTGGCAAGCTTGGAGAGGTACCGTTCTAATGTCGCCCGGACTTGTTTGAGTTCGGTCACTCGCAAGTGATGCTCCACGCAGAACTGGCGCAGGCGACTGAGAGTGCTGCGGGCCACAGTTGATGAGCTCACGAGTCGGCGCAAGGCGAGGAAGGACCCTTACGTGCTCAGAACCCTCAATCGATCGAAGAAGCGTGTGCGAGAAGAGTCGCTTCGGGCCTCCCATCTGTCGGCAGAGATGTGCAGGCGCCGCTTCAGAGCACGGCGAGAGTGGCGAAGGCTTCTCTCCAGCTCGTGCAGTAGTCCGAGGTCCGTCGAGTCAGGGAGATGCGTCATGCTCAGCTTCTGCAATACCGTCAGACGGCAAAGGAGCCATCGGAGCAAACCCCCACACACCAGACGCAAAGAAATAGCCTCGTCAAAGGTCTCCTCGATTCTGCTGAGGTTTTCCTGGAGGACGCTCTCTTCCTGAGCCACTGTCGGACACATAGGTACTTGCTCGAGGTAGAGCTGGCCAGAGCACGAGCTGGAGCTGGAGTTGGAGCTGGAACTCGATTCATATACCGTCGCGGGACGTAAAGAGGCGGCAAGGTCGAAGTAGGCCTCGCCTTGAGGTAGTCGGTCCACAATTTCCTCGGGAATAAGCTCCATCGTCGGAAGCCGGGGGCACGGCGGCGGCGTCATGCTGCGTCCATCGAAAGCTTCATCTCCGCCGCGGTAGAGCTCGTGGCCAGGGCCGGAACCATGATCGTCTTCGGTTACTTCCGTAATGTGGCCATACGAGACGTAGTACGTTCCGCCGGCCGCGTCGAACATCCACCCACCTACGCGTTCATAGTCCTGGATAGCGCGACGTGGCGGACTCGGCGCTCGGTCGCGACAGCGAGAAGGACCCGACTCGGGTGGGTGGTCGCTCGTGTAGATGCCGAGGAAATTGTCGTCCGTCACGGTAGGCTGGCTATATGCTGTTCCTTGCCACCCGTTCTTTCTTGTATGCGGGAGGAAGGCAGCAGACGCTGCAACGGGTCGAGGCTGGTGCACAGGACCCCTGTGGCTGGTGGCAAAGGCGGTGGAGCGCACAGCCATCTGGGGGTTGGGGCATGGCATGGGATTGTGGGGCGAAGTTTGGCTGTCGGTGTCGGAGGAGAATATAAGCGATTCTGCGGCTCGTGTCATCGACGTGAACATCCAAAACAAGAGAACAAACGCTTGGGCCGGGTTGGTCGCTGCCGAGAAAGGACAAAGACCGACCTAGTAACCAACAGGCATAGGGCGTCTATCTGAAAGATGGGAGGTCTTGTTCCAGGCTAGTCACTGCTGTTCCTGGGGTGGCAATCATCACGAAGGTGGAAGAGAACAAGCAGCACCCAATCAGGAAACAATTGGCCGTCACCTACGCCACGCGTTGTGGGTCCATCTAAAATTGGCAACAACGCAGACAGCACAATAAATAACGACTGTATGTACATGGAGCTAAATGACCCTATTAAATTGCCTGAAAATATATGAGTAGGCTAGGCACTATTGTGTATGATACAGATGATTGAGTGCGGGCACATAGCGGATTAAAACAAAACCACAAAGTTGCTGGGGAAGACATGTCGGCCCTCCTCCCTACGAGCTTCGTCCAGCAACTCTCCACTCCACCATCCGTCGTCCGGAGTCGCAGTCACGGCAATCACATCTCCTGCCTGGAAGTCGAATTCTTCTGCGATAGTAGCAGTGTAGTCATAAAGCGCCTTCACTGTCCATAACGTCAGGACGAGCACATACACACCATGGGGTAGAGCGTACCATAAAACAATATGCGACCGGATTCTTCGGGTTGGGGAGTCGGGGCCCGGACGGGCGGGGAGTTGTACGGCAAGACTGACGGTTGTGGAGGCAGAGGGCCCGACGCCCGTCGACTGAGAGTAACTTCGGGGTCCGGCTGCTGATACGATGTGGGCGGAGGCTGAATTGGTTGTTGCGGCTGCACCTGTGGTGGTGCCGACGGCGGAGGCTGCGTCGGTTGCACTACTGGCGAGGCCTGCATAGGTCTCGTGACATTGGCCGAGCCATTGGGAGATCGCGTTAACATGGGATCCACAATCCCCCGATCCTGATATTCTCCTCGCATGCTCCCGGCATCCGATTGCGATTGCGAATCAGCTCGATCGGTGGCACGGATCGGGGCGGCGGCGGCAACAATGGCAGTAGGAATAATTTGTTCGGCCACCAAGCTCGGGCTAAGGGGGTCCTGGTCGGCGCCATAAGCAGGCACAGGCCGAACGGATGCCCGTTCAAACTCGGCGGTGCGAGAAGAAGTAGTTGGTCTCGATGAAGAGTCCGGTTGTTGAGAAGGATACGGCACAAAGACCGGTGGATCTGGTATCGAGTTCCCTGTCCCATATTCTTCCACAAAGTTCTCGATGTCTTTGTCCGGCTCAAGCTGGTCCAACACACTACGGATCCGTTCACAAGACTGCAATGAACAGCGCGTGAGAAGCGGACGAGATAGAAGAGCACGGTCACGCACCTGGTCATCAGACACACATAACGTCGAAACCGCATTCGCATACATCCATATGATATCCCTCATGAAGTCCAGGCGGTCCTCCTCCAGGTCCTGACTTGCATCACAAAAGTTCTTCCAGTCCCTTTCCCATAGCGGTGTCATATCCATGACCGTTTTCGTAAAGTTGGCAAAGTCCTTCTCGTTTGCCTGGACCGTCTGTTGCGCCCTGCGCAACTTGAGTTGGAGCCGCTCAACGTCTTTGCCCGGGTTGACTGAAATTTGCTGCGAATAAGAAGCGATACGAAGGCAGTCGCTTTCATACTTCTCGCGCGCCTTGAGGGTATACGATTCCTGTGTCTGCTTGACTTTGAATCGTTTCTCCAGCGGGCCCTGCAGATTTTTACGATGTGTGATTTGTTTGCTGAGAAACGCAGTGGTCTGTGCCTCCAACTCCGATCGTATTTGGGAGGCGAATTCGAGATGGGCAACGCCTTGCTTCTCCGTTTCAAGGCTGAGGGTATCGAGAGAATTCCGCAATTCTCTGGTCGAACGTGTGAGCCGACAAGACCATGCATGTTAAGCGTCAGTGCACGCACCCAATCTCGTCCTTTCCCAGCGTCGCCTTCGCGAGGTTCATCATCCGCGCGGCGTACTCCTCCTCAATAGTTGCTCTGGCAGACCATAATCAGCAAGCTTAGATACCGCCCACGGAAGGTCGTCGATTACCGCTCCTTCCAGAAGTTGCGCAGCTCGTCCGTCGTACGACTCGCGCCGCGCATTCGGGCAAATAGTACGTTCACACCGGCGTCGCCCGCGCCCCAGAAGGAATTGCAGAAGTCGCGCGACGTGCTGCCGTTATAGAGATCCACGCCCGGAGACTTTGCGACTGCATAACGCGCGAGGGAGGTCGAGGAGGGTTGGCGTCGAATGGCCATGCCGATTGTCGCCGGTAAGTAGGGAGAGCGCGGTTTGGGAGTGAGAGAAACAGATGACAGGGAGATGTGGACCTCGGACACAATTTGAATGATCACGAATCCACGATGCTGTGTTGCACAGATACGGTGATCAACGCATCAGGCCGCCCGATCGTCCTGTTTCATCGTTTTCTTCCGTCCCACTACGATCGCTCACGCTGACTGTCGTTGACTCATAATATTCAATGTTTCGTGCGACAGCGATGGAAAAGTCATTGGCCACGCATTCTTGAAAGGGAGGAGTGGGGATATCACACCGGACCGGAAACGAAAATATGAAACGCAGGATGTCCCTCGATGTTCGGACAGAATGAGAAAGCCGGCTGAATACGAGTCCCCCTTACGAACACGATGCATCCTCACCCCGATCATGCCTGCAAGGGGTCCCCATGGGCTACGCTCAAGATCAAGATCTCAAGACATGTCGTTTGCGGGGGACTGCCAAATGCCGGCCACATGAGATGATTCTGCAACTTGTATACAGTTTGCAACGCGCTGGGCATACCACAGCAGCTACCTTTTGACGCAGTCTCACGCAACTTCGAATTGGAGATCAACTTGACTTGAGCCTCGTGCACACAGTTGCTCATTGCAGCTGGCATGGCATTTCGAATGATCGCCTTTCCGTCCGGTATATGACATAGCAGCGAGCAAGACTCTAATTCTAGCATAGACTGACAAGGTCCGACCAGGCAAACAACATCCGGTGCACAACCCGCGTACATTGAACTCTCATTACAAGACACAGTCGCAGCCAATAAGCTGGGGAAAGAGCAGGCGGACAATTGATGCGGCTCATGCAGGAGTTTCGCCATCGTGAGCCATGAGAGGAGAAGACAGTGCATTAGGAAACCATCGACGGACTTGAGAAAGTAATCAAGGAGCTGTCGAGAAGGAGACCCAACTTTGAAAGAAACACTGGGTTTGTGGCGACCCGTACCTGAAATCATCAAAAGGATCAGTGCACGGATCACAATCAATCATATTGTAGCGCTCCGGGTGGCCTAGATCTCCGCAGGCCTATATGAATTTGTGAATCTGTCGCTCTTGAAGCGTCAAGTTTGATCTCTTTCCCTTTCTTGACCCTCCTCAAGTACGCAGGACATCACAGTCTCTTCGCATTTGTCTGCTCTCAGCTCCCAGAGCGTGTCGTGGTACCGAGAGCAAAGGCTTCCTGCACGCTTCCTCTTGAGTCCCGAAGTAGCGCAGGGACGCTATAATCGAGGTGTTCAGTCTCCCTTTGCTTAGGAATGCAACAGTGCGACTCACAGTATAATTCAAACATCAGCGGATAATTGGTCACTTCATGAACTTCTGGTTCAAACCCCGCTTCACTTTGAAGGCTACCTCTGGTAGCCTCTGGTATCGCGAGCGCTCTAATTTTATGTCCTGATGGTAGACATCGGTGGTCTTTGTGTGGCACTCTCTTGGGCATTGAAGCTTCCGACCGCGTGGAATCGCTCAAAATGATCTTGAGCCGCAAAGTAGTCGGGCAATCTGAAATAGAGGCTGATGTCGATTCCGGGTCTTTTTCGAGGCCCTAGATCTTCTAGATCTTTTCTGACTCTGTTTCGGCCCACAAGTGTGAGAAATGACCCGCACACAAGATACCAAGCCTGAACAAGGATTGTAATCGCTGCCCGTCTTTTTACGGGAATCATTACCTGGCAATAAAAATGTCGAAGACAGGCCATGGGTCGATTCCATTGCTCCTGGTTCGGAAATCACGGCCTCCTCATAGGATAGTGGCGAGGAATCATCATCCTTTTACACAAGGCACAAATCTGGCCTTTTTGCGGTGGACCAGAGAGGTTAGATTGGCTCTCTTTCGATTTATGGTTTCGAAAGACTTGTTATAATCACCTCGTCGTGGGTCGCTGAAGTCTCAGGGTCGGTTTCTGCAGGGCTGGACCAAACACACTGACCGTGAGAGATGGGCAGTTCCATCTCTTCCCCTAATTGAACAACCATAGGAAATCAAGTCAATATTTGACGAAATAAATTGTGCTTTGCCATTATATCTCCACGAGATAACCTCAGGCGACTGCTCGGTGTTTTGCCCCCTTTGACCTCCGCACGTGAGTTCCATGTGATCGTTCCCTAATTGTGCCGCTACACAGCCTCGTGATTTGTCTCCTTCAGCTGAAACCCCCATCGACATTATCTAAATGGCTCGTTCGAGCCTGAAAAAGGTTGAGAACAAGATGCCCAAGAACTCGAGCACGACGCTCCATCACTATTTCAAGAGCCCTGCGAGCGGTACACAACGTGTCTCCAGCACCACCCCGAAGCCGAAGGCCCTCATCGGGAACAACAAGAACCTGATCATAGCCGCGCCGCAAGACATTATCGTCATCGATTCGGAGTCTGAGGTAGAAATAGAAGTGGTCGCAGCTGATGCTGCCATATCTCAGCGCAACGGAAAGCGCCTACGAAGCCCAAGCTGTACCGGTCGGGAGAACAGCAAGCGTGTTGCAGTCGCCATCGAGAGTTCGTCCCCGACCGAGGCGTTATTTTCATTTGGGAAACCCACGGAATTTGGGAAACCCACGGAAATACTCGGTGGGATCAGCCCTGCGTCGTCCCTCGGCATGTCTTTCGGGCCTCCCAGTGTGCTGTTAGCATCGACGTCCTCATCCACCTCAACACGAACGACCGTCACGAGCTCCAGGACGAGCGCCGCATTCCAAATGGCTGACGAGGCGGACTGGGGCACGGGCGATGACGAGCTTGCTCTCATACATCCAGACGAGGACAAGGAGGATCAGGTGGACGACGTCGAAGAGGCTGTCTGCCCCATATGCGAGCGAGCGTTCAGTGACCTGCCGGAAACAGTACGAATCTCTCTCTTCCATATGTATCAATAACGGCTGTCTCTGACTGACACGCGATAGGACCGGGATCGGCATGTGAACAACTGCTTGGACGGGAGTGGTTCTGCACCTGAGACGCCAGAGCCAGCCCCCTGAAACCTCTTTCGACGCTTCCCGTTCCTTCCATGGCGTCTTCCTCTACCTCGCACAAGAGCAACGCCTTCTCCGTTCTTATGAACTCGTGCACGGAGAATGCTGTGTGGAACGAAGCGTCTACAGCCGAAGCGTCCCGCGCGACAAAGAACCAGCGGAGGAAGGCGCCGTTCTACAAGGTCCTACAGGGCATGCCTATCGCCGTGGACGCATTCAGATATGGATGCATACCAGAGGTCACTGCTTATTTTCTAACGTTGGTGTCAGCTTGATGACGCTCTTTCTTACTCTAATGTGACCACAGCCACGCCCACTCGGACCATTACACGAATCTCTCTTCATCCTGGAAACATGGGCCGATCTACTGCTCCGAGGGCACAGCGAACCTTATCATTCACATGCTCTCTGTCGACAAGAAATGGGTCCATCCACTCCCGATGGACACACCGACACTGATACCGGACACCAACGGAGTCCGCGTCACACTCATTGAGGCCAATCACTGCCCCGGATCGTCTCTCTTCTTGTTCGAGGGGAAGCAGACGGTCAATGCGGGCGACAGCACCTTTAAATCCCCTTTTGTCGGATCGCACAAATCGTTCCGGTATCTGCACTGTGGAGATTTCCGTGCCTCGCCGCAGCACACATTTCATCCCGCTGTGAAAGGGAAACACATTGACCATGTCTACTTGGACACGACGTATTTGGACCCCAAGGTGACGGCCTAATCAGTCCTCAGAAATGCCGTGAGATCTGATGCGCAAAGCAGTACACGTTTCCGCCCCAGCCACTGGTCATATCGGCATGTGCCGAACTTGCAAAACGTCTCAAGAAAGGACAGCCACTGTCGAATGCCACAGGGGTCATCGACAATTGGACGACGCCAATGTCAGGGAAAGGGAAAGAGAAAGCATCCCCGGATCGGATGTTGCTGGTTGTTGGGTGTGCATCGTCCTCTATCAGTCTTTTGTCTCGCTCATAAACGACTCAGCACGTATTCTGTTGGCAAGGAACGAATTGTCAAGGGCACGTCCATCTCCAGCTTCCGCGGCCCGGGCTGACTGCCTCACAGCCGTGGCACAAGCTACCAACTCCAAGATCTATTGCGACTCTCGGAAAGCCGCAATCCTCAAATGCCAGCCTGATCCCGAACTCCACGCGTTGCTAACATCGAATCCACTCGATGCGGATGTGCACATTCTCCCATTGGGGATGATCTCTTTCGACAAGCTTCAGCAATATCTGGACCGGTTCAAGGGTCATTTCACAAAACTCGTTGGCTTTCGGCCCACCGGTTGGACGTCAGTAAAAAAAACCACTCCATACTGGCTGATTATCTGACATTTACAAGATATTCTCCACCTGTGGGCACAACACAATCTCCAACGCTCGCCTCTGTGATCTCACAGACGCAGGCAAAATCGTTTTCACACGAGAATCTGCGGCCGGCTCGCAGTGCTCGAACACCGGGCGGCGATGCTCTACAACTGTTTCCCGTTCCCTATTCGGAACATTCGTCCTTCTTCGAGCTCACCTGCTTCGCCCTCTCCGTCTCTTGGAGCCGGATGATCGCCACGGTCAATGTTGGCAGCGAGTCGTCGCGGGGGAAGATGTCTCGATGGATCCAGAAATGGGAAGCGGAGCGGAAGAAAATGAAAAAGGGCGAGATGGTGCCGCACCGGCGGTCGGATTATTGGTAAGTAACGGTCGATAAGAACACACACGAGACAGGCGCACAGACAGCTATAACAACCATTTGGATATGTACATACTATTTTCCCAATAAGGCCCGACGACGCTTGTTTGCCCGACGAATCTCCATCAGATCAGCCTCCACTTCGGCATCCTTGCTCCCCGTCAGCGCTAGGAGGCTCTTCCCCAGGCCCCCGACAGAAGCATTGGCGTGGTTTCCTCCGCCCTTCGGCTTCTTCCGGCCATTCGGGCCAGTAGTCGGTACCGCTGCAGAAGCGGGTGCTGACGTGGACGTCAGGGGAAGAGGGAACGGCGACGGGATCTCGTCGACCGAGAGTGAATGGGGGTTCAGGAATGGCCCGGATGTGATAGGGAGAGCGCTGATGCCCGACGCGTTGACGAGCGGCTCCGCGGGGACGCCGGCGCTGTTGGCCAAGGCCGAGCCGGGGGCGGCGCCGAGCGGGGTGGGGGGTGGGGACGTGCCTATCTTGTTGCGCAGCTTGCGGGTGATGTGCGGACGCGTTTGCTCCATGGACGCATCTGTTCACGGGTTGTATCTCAGAACGCGGATGCGTACGGGAAGTGGGAAAAAACGGGCGAACCTCCGGCAGTGCCCTCCCCCTCCTTCTCGTCCCGCGCGCGCCGGCGGCGCTCCTCGATCCCGTCCAGCAGGCGCTGGCGCACCTTATCGTGCCCGCGCTGCCACTCCTCTTCCACGCGCTGCCGCTCCTCGTCGTACGCGCGGTGCGCATTCTCCATCGCGTTCTTTTCCTCGAGCTCGAGCTGCACCAGCAGCGACGACCGCTCGAGCGACAGCGGGAACAGCCGCACGTCGTACATGGGCACGGCGTCCGGGCGCGTCGCGAGCAGAGCCGACATACGTTGCAGTTGCGCGATGTTTTCGTGGTGCGTCCGTCCGCTGTGTGGGAGGGTGAGTGATTTCCGCGGAATCAGGACGAGGGTGAGATGGCCAAGGACCGAAACGTACTCGTCCCTGCGCTCGTGTATGTCCTTCCCCAGTTTCCCAGACGACTCTTTGCGCTTCTTGGAGTCTTTTTTGACGTCGTCTCCCTGGGCGTCTACAAGGAAGTTTGCATCTGTCGGCGTTTGAAGGAAAGGGGACAGACGTACTCGGTGTGCGTGAGCTGGGACCGGCGATAGCGTTGTGGAAAGACATGCTCATGTTGCGCACTTTTGTGAGTAGTCGAAGGCCTGAGAGTGCTCGGCGCTGAAGGAAGCGTTGAACGATATTACTTGGGGAGGAATCAGGATGCGTGCGCAGAACCGCGGAGGAATCTGGAGTCCAGCATCGCCACAATATGCCAATTCGCACGGATCACCCAAAGGCCGAATCAATCGCTGCAGTGCAGTAATTTGTGTAATGCAAGCTCTATTGAGAATCGTGCAGGTATTGAGATTCGTGCAGTAAAATACAATCAAATTTATAATTGCGACGATATCTACTGCTGCTTTGCATGGCTAATAGCCTGAAGAACAGGCAAGCGATCGAAGTGTGCGGTGGATGCAATGAGATTACTGTACTTCAGTCCATCGCCCTAGAAGCTCATCAACATCTACACTCTAGCGGTGGGCATTGGACACGTACAATCATGATGCTGGGGAAGCCAGGGTCGAATGGAAGGATGCCTTCGAGATAGCTGACCTGCTCTGGGGATAAGACCACGTCGAGAGCCTCGATATTAGCCATGAGGTGCTTGACTTTACGGCCACCGATGATGGGGAATACATATGGCGTTTTCTGCATCAAGTAGGCGATTGCGACTAGAAGGAGCGGATGAGAGCTGAAGAGGAGGGACAAACGGGACGAACTGGAAGTGATGTGCTTGGCCCCGACCTCACCGGCCACCTTCTCCAAAGCAGCAGACATCTTTTTCTCATCTTCGTTCCTCTCCCACTCGGGCCTGAATATCACGCGACCTTTTTCTCCCGAAGTGCGGCGAGCTTCTTCCTCGGCATCGGTGCGCAACTTGCCCGCAGCCAGCACGTTCCAGGGAGCGAGAGCCATCCCTTGAGAGGAAGTAAGCACATGGTGTCCGGGGAATAACAGTTGAGGCGTGTACCGTATGCACGAGCCATGGGAATGATCTCGCGTTCGAACGAGCGGGCCATCACGTTCCACGCGCCCTGGTAGATGACGAACGGCGACTTTCCGTGATCGCGAGCGTACTGGTTGGCCTGCGCGACGATCCAAGCGGGAGTGTCCGAAACGCCGAGGTACAGGACCTTGCCCTGCACCACGAGATTGTGCAGTCCGTCCATGACCTCCTCGACGCTGGTGTCCCAATCCCACCAGTGCAGGTACAGGATGTCGATGTAGTGCGTGCGCAGCTTCTTGAGACTGGCATCGACGCTGATGTTCATGGACTTGATGTTGTTGCCGACGTAGTTGACCTTTTGGGCGTACTTGTCCTGCCGTGCTTTGAACCCAGTCGTAAACTAGGGCGGCACAGTCAATGCCACCGTGAATGAGACTCAAATCTGGTGCACCTTGGTAGCAATGACCTGCTGGTCTCGGATATCGCGTTTCTCCGACCATTCCCCAATGAACTGCTCAGAAGTTTCATCCTGGCTGCAGAACGCGTCAGAAGCTGTGCGGGCGTGTTCAGTAACGCGAATCGCGTACTAGTTGTTCGCAGTGTCGATGAAGTTTCCGCCTGCGTCGAAATACGCGTCAAGAAGCTTGAAACTGGATTCCTTGTCCATGGAGCCCATGCCCATCTTCTCCCACTGGTCACCGATGCTCATCGCGCCGAGCTGCAGCGGCGATACATGAACACCAGCTTTGGCACAGAGGGTGCGGTAGACACCGAGCTTGGTGGGAGGCTGAGGAGGAGGAGCCCAGAAAGACATTCGGTTGGATGGCGTAAGATGTGAGTATAGAAGAGGGGAGAACAGGAGACGCACCCTTTTTATACTTATCTGGTTCTCATCCCAGCGCGCGACTCGGAAGTGGCGTCAACAGATCATCGGTGTCTAGGACAGAGATAGGTAGAGATTCCTCGTCGGCAACGGGCTTGCGCGTACAGAGATGCTGATTAACCCAGCTTCTCCCAGCTGAGTCACCGAAGAGGTTCTCCAATGGGAAACCTCAAAAGTGACTCACGATTCATATGTGCTATCGGAGCTGGCTATAAAGGGTCTTCCAAAGGCGCTCGAAGACCAAGGACCGCAAGACTGATCACTTTTGGACTCTTCAATGCGAAAGGACATCATTCATTCTTGAACACCCGAGCCCAGGAAGCAGATAGTGGCAATAGGGTTGAAAGTTTGGCAGAAATCTAGGTCTATGTCACGGACTGCGCAGTGCTTACCCAGAAGAAAGCTAGGGCTTCAGTGACAGCTCCGTGCGGTGCGCCCACAGCACGTGAGGTTCACATGTCCGTCCCTCAGCAAATGCAGCGTCCACCGAGATGTAGAGAGTGCAGCCAACCGCGAGCTAGACAAAGTTGTTTTGCTTGCTGCTGCGTCTGGCAAGGCTCACTGGCCTATCAATTTTACTACTAACTAGACTCGTCCAAAATCCAAGAACATCGGAGGTCTGACACGTGACATCTACATGCAAACTTTCTGGTCCGTGCGCTTCGTATCGTATATAAACCACCTTCCAAAACATCGTTCTGCATACTTACCTTGATGGCATAAGCTCCTTCATGGACCTGGGCTTTTGGGCCGTGGGAACACTCCATAGCACGGCGACCCTGTCCATTCAGAGTGGGTCTGCGGTTTGTATGGGCTTCGGCTCATGCACCGTCTCAATATTTTCCTGTTCCGCCACGGCCACTCGGCTAGGCGGGCCGCTTTTTTTTTTGGTTCTTTAATGGGCCTAACCCTAACCCTCGGAATATTAATATATTCTGCTTTGACGCTCACTGGATAAGTAGCGGAGAAATCAGTGACGATGGCAATTTTTTCCCCGTAGAAAGGTGAACTTGAATCAGCTCAATGCTCTATTCTACTTTGCGTGAAAATTCACAAATTTTGCGTGTCGTGGAATTCAGCCTCAGTTTTGGATCGTGAAAGTGAAGTTTGCGTATCGTGGAAACACGGGACCCTTGAGCCACGTTACTGTATGTTACCGGCACCGGCGGAACAAAACACACACAAGCTCTCGAAACGTGACGGTGGCAGATCACATGACCGTAACTCATTCCCTTGTTCTCGACGGCGATGGCGTTCTCGTCGAGTGCAGGAGAGACATGCATGTCCTTGGCCGTCTCCCTTCAGTCAGGTCCGGAAAGTCGATCCTTCGAGGTTGGTCGCCCACGCGAGTTATCGAGCGCCTGACAACAAGCGCTCTTCCAGGAAGTACGCATCGCCGATTACCTCGCTTCGTACCGCGCGACAGGGCGTCCGCCACAGCCAGCACCCGCATATCCCACGGATGCCGCCTTGCGTAGTTCGCAGGGATTGCCGCCGCTCTTCGTTCCCGCACCCTTCCCAAACTCCACCTCCACTGCGCCATCGACTTCCGCCTCGACTTCCGGTGCACCGTCGATCTTCGGCATATCGAGCGCGCCTTCTACTTCAAGTGCAGCAACTATCAAGGACCCGACTCAGCTTCCGCAGACTCAAGCCTTCAACGAGATGCTTCCGGTCAACACCCAAACTTCATCGTCTTCCCTCGCTACTGAAAAGGAATTATTCACCAGCATAGTTGCCACCCCGACCTATCTGTTCTTCTCCCCTGAAGAGCTCAGGTACTACTCGTATGCCAGGCGGATACGAGAACCTCCACCTGGAACACCTATGTTTCCGTTCACCGTCGTTCCTTTGGCTAGTAGTGGATCCCATTCCGCGGCGGGAGGGGTTTTGGATGGCACGGATAAGTTGGTGAGCATCGTTGCGCAGCCCGATTTCGCCAAGCATAGTCCCGAAGTGCGTGCCTGTTTGCCTTTACACGCGATTTGTTACCCACCCTGCTCAGGAACTCCGGATTGCATTCCTAAAAGCAGGCACCGAGCTCAACTCTGCACAAATCCTTTCAGGTTCCATCCCGTCGAAACCTGCTGCATCCAATGTATCACCATTCGCTCCGTCGCAACCTTCAGCATCACCTTTCGCTCCGCGACCAGCAGGGTCGTCTTTCGCACCGCCGCCGCCGATTGCATCGACCACCGGCTCCTCCATATTTTCCGGATCAGCCTTTGGCTCGCCACCCGTCCCGATTCAGCCGAACGTTTTCGGGCAAGCATCAGCACCAGCACCCGCAACTGGGGGTTTCTCCTTTGGCCAACCTGCAGCTGCTGTCCCGCCCCCAGTGATAGCCACTACCGGGTTCTCCTTCGGTAGCTCAGCGCCTGTGCCCCCAAATCCGACGCCCGCTGCAGGTGGATTCTCGTTCGGACAGCCGGCTCAGCCAGTGACAGCAGCCCCAACGACCTTTTCGTTCGGGAGCTCGGCACCTGCCGCTCCGGCTCCGAGCGCGTTCGGGGCGCCCGCTGCGGCGCCCGCTGCATCGGGCTTTTCGTTTGGACAGCCTCCAGCACAGCAGCAGCAGCAGCAGCAGCAACAGCCGGCAGGATTTTCGTTTGGGACACCAGCTCCGGCGCAACAGGCGACGGGATTCTCGTTTGGGGCGACGGCGGCTCCAGCGGGTGGCGGGTTCAGCTTTGGGACAAGGAGAATGTAATATCTAGGAAATGAATATACCAGATGCTTAGCCATGCGTTTCATCGAACTCGCCCGAAGGAGTGGTGTCTGGAGCGGTTGGGTGCTGAAGTGCCTGCCGGGGAATAGGAGTAGTCGGTTACTAGCGTGTCATACATTTGGACGACATCCTGCGGAGCAGTCGCGAGACTTCTCGCATGGTCTTGGATTCTTTCAGTCAGAGACAGTGGGTGCTCACCCAACCGGTCGAGATCAGAGCGCTGACTTATGAAGCGTCGGGCCAAAACGCGCGTGCTTCCGGATTGAATGTTGTGAGTGAGATTGCCAAATGAGATGCCTGGATGAAGTATAGGTAGTAATTATATACATACATAATGCGATGCGATGCCATGAAAGTAAGTGTGCAAACAGCCCGAGGGCCAGTCTAGTCGCTACTACGCTTCCTTCTTCTCGGTCTTGGTAGGGGTCGCCTGCCGCGAGTCAAGCAGGTGATCCAAGCCCGAAGGCATGATCACTCTCGGTTTGAGCAGGATGCGGCGAGTCCATCCCCCCGCGGCCGTCTTGTCTGAGCGAGTGAGTCCCAGCTCACATGTGCACAACACAGTTTCGCCAGGTTCTGCTCGGCTCTTGACGATCGCGTCCCTCATGGTCTCGGGATCAAATGCGACCCCTGGTGTGGCCGAAAGCGTCTTGAGCTCGCATGCAGTGACCTCGGCTCCGATGGCTTTGTTGAGGCCCAAAGCCAATCGCACGAGCCTCAATATTCGATCGGCGAATCGTGCCGAGATGAGCTCGTGCAGTGTGCTGGGATCGCTGGCGAAGCCCGCAGTGAGCAGGACGTTGACGAAAGCGTCGACGAAGTATTCGCCCAGCTCCGGCTCGCCATGAATAAGTTCCTGCACATGGGAAAGTGTCAGTGCTCGCCAGCGGCCGGCGGTGGCTTGGTCCTGCCCCATGCGGATGCGATGATAGATGTCGGTGAGCAGCTGCTCGTCCTCTGGATCCTCGAAGAACCACGATGTGCTCATCCACCGGGAGTACTCGATCATCCCGCCTTGGAAGGCAATGCGGATAATGGTCTGGTCGTCGCTGTGGTCCGAAACGCGCAGGATCTCCACCATGGCAGGGCCCAGTATCTCCGTGGTGCGTTCGTAGACCTCAGCCATGTCCTCGGATTCGGCGGGTCCCGCTTCAGACTCGGACGGCGACTTGGGTTCGAATTCAAACTGGTGCGCCAGATAAGCAGCGGTGTCTTCGATCTCCGTATTCAGCGCTTGGATTAGTACGAGTACCGCTTGGTCGGTCAGTCGGTCCTCCAGTCGTGCTGCAGCTAGAATCGCTTTCGACTCCCGCAGTTCTTTTTCCTTCCACTGCGCTCGATCCAAGGCCTCTCTGTTCTCCGCCATCAGACGCGTGTTCTCCTCCCCCAGCTGCGCGCGTGTTTCGATGAGCTCCTGGACACGTGCTGCCAGGGCAGCCTCCAACGCATGTTTCTCCTTTCCAGCATCAGCAAGCGAGGTCTCTGCCGCTTGCAGTCGAGCGTGCAGCGCTTGAAGCTCGGCTTCTAGAGACGCCGTCTGATCGCGCGAGGCTTCGCTAACATGGACTCCGGCAGAAGCGCCGGCGTCTTGATCCTCGATTGACTTGGTTAGCGAAGCTTCTGCTTGAGTGGTGGTCGAGTTTTGCCCATTCTGCTCGCTGTCTCTATCGCTCTGCTCTCCGCTGTGTCCGTTCTGAGACTCATCGTCCTCCTTTCCCCTCGTTTTGTCTTTCCCTTTCTTCGACGCTTGGTGCCGCCGCAGAGCCTTGGCCACGAAGGGCAGCGCGAGAACCGCCATTGCGACAAAAGTGACGATGTACGACGTGACGGAGGAAGACGAGGTTTTTTCGGTGGCTTGTGGCAGTGAGTCACTTGTGAAAATCTTCGCGGTGGTGTCACTGGGGAGGATGGGGGCGGCTGCAGACATAGACTACGTGTGAGGGAGTTCGCGTGTGCATCACCGAGTCAGGTCGACCAACATGAGGTGCGGGCGTGTCGCTCCGGTTATAAGTATTATGTGTAGCGTCACCCTGGACGTGGGTCGTGGGTCGGGAGTTCCGCCGCACACAGCGTCATCGGCCACGAGGCCGCGGTTCCTCTGATTATCTGTGGAATCAGGTTAATCTCATCAGTATCATCCGACACGAGGAAAGGAAAAAAGAGCACTCGCGTGCAGCTCAGGAGCTTTTTGAAGCTTGAACTGAATGAGTTGGATGGAACCGTGATGAACAATACTAGCGATGAGAGCCTGAGCATCAGATAGACTTGTTGATTGGATATGCTTGGATGACGTCCGTGCGATGTCCGTTTTCAAGCCTTAGCCTCGTGGCAGAATCCATTACAGTGCATGCGACTCCCGGCGTACCGACGGCAGCGCCAGATATGGTGGATACTAGACTCTCGCATAGGACCCCCGATTAAAAATGTTAATCGAATGTCATATTATGACATTGGAGGTTGCTCAGATGAGAACACCCGGTGAGCCGGCCCAGGAATCCGTAGTCGGCGGTGGCAGAACAAATGAGAGTGCAATATTGTGATACCATCACCCTCATGTTGATGGTATTATATCTTATCTTATCGCCCACGCGCATCTGAATTCAAGCCTACGTACCCCCCAAGTCACAGTTGGCTGTCTGCCCATACAGATGGACCGGATCGCTTCAAATTTCAGCTGTGTTCCTGAATTCCAATCACGCTGGAAGAACTCTGGTCGACCTCATCATCTTCACGTCACCTGATCGATTAATCGACAGTCACCCCCTACTCTTTTCCGTCTCCTCGTCCCTCCACATTTCTGATCATCCATCATGTGGTTAGTCGCATCCATCCACGCGCCACTGGCCTGCGTCAAACCACCCTCCAACGACCAGTAAACACGTCCTCAACGCCCAAGTCGCCATCCGCGCGCCGTGCTGCAAGCTGTGGTTCGACTGCCCCGAATGCCACGCCGAAACGCAGACGCACCCACTGCGTAAGACGCTGGAGATGGCTTTCCTGTGCAAGAAGTGCAAGAAGGCGTTCCGGAAGGACATGACGACGTACGATGAGAGCGACGAGTACTGTCCGCATTGCGACAATCATTATGTGTGTCTGCTTCCCTCGATCTGAAATTCAGACTCGAAGCTGACTGCTGCGATCGCTATAGGTGTTGGATGCCAAAACTCCCCAGGCGGTGGTCCAGGTTGAGGGAGAGGATATTCGTGTTGACGCAAGGTACGTTACCCTCTACTTTTTCTTGCCTGGGTCCAAGCTTAGGCCGGCGATGAGAATGATCAAGGACGAAAGAGTACAAGATACATCCGAGCTCGAAGACGATGAGTTCTTCTCGGAACGTTTGGGTTAAGACTGTCATTTTCGACTCGCAGAAGCATGGATCAATTAGTCCTTTCTCTATCTACTGTATCCATGCACCAGCTACTGGGAGCGAATATGCGATTTCAGGCATGCTTGCTTGTTTTCGCCGACCTCATCATGCGCTCCTTGAGTTCCGACAACGTCTCTTTCCCCCAGGTCCCTTCAGCGACGCCGCGCTGACGATCACGCTCTGCCTCGAGTTTCTGGGCCTGAAGATTCGACTCGACGACACCGTCCATACGATCTACTGTCAATTCGCTGACAAAATCGGGGTCCAAGGCCTCTGGCCACGGTTTGGTCACGGCGGAGATGCCACAGTTTCTGTAGGCGGGCAGTCGGATGCCCTCCGTGTCCAGCGCTCGTGCTGCATCCCGGCAGTCGCAGAAAGCGACCATAGCGTGGAGTTCGTACATCGAGGAAGACGGTTTGTCGCCGTCCTTCGTCTCGCATTCGACCATCCGGATCCAGACGCCTTCCAGTCCCCCCACGCCCGCCAGGTCCTGTCGCACCTGCACGTTTGCGGTGGCCTTGATCATTTCCATCATTTCATGCAGCATGGCGCGACGGGCAGCGATGAGCTCGTCTTCTAGTGCGCGTTCACGTGCCAGAGCCTTGCGGAGGGCGATGCTCACTTCGCTTTCGTCCTCGCCGTCCTCGTCAGCGCTCTTTGCTTCTTCTTCATCCCTCGGTCCCTTTTTCAACAGAGAGGTGTCCAGCGGGAAATTAGGCCCAGGGACCCGGAATGTGAGCCAACGCGACAAACCCGGCTCGACAGGAAACTCAGAGGTCGGTTTTGCCAGCATTTTCGTTACTTGAAAATCGAAAGAGCTAAGTCAACAGTGAGAAGAGTAGCACAAAATTCTTGGTCCTTACCTCGGAGATTCGGTCGATAGGAATCTTGCATACCTTTCATTGCTCCAAAATGGCAGAAGAATCGGAGGGCGTAGGACGGGGCGGATAGTGCTAACCGAATCTCGAGTAGAAATGCTTGTTGCGGCGAGTTTAAGACTCCAATCCTGGCTCATGAACAGGTTTGCAGCCCGGGAATTTGTGAAGTAGATTTTCTACATTGTTGATCATCAATGGCGAGGCCACAGAAGCACTGCTGACAACGCACCGCTCGGACTTCGGGAGCCCCGCTTGGTGCGAGGAGACCGAAGACAGCAATTTTGGCCACTTCACGGGGCTGCACGCCGACGAAGGTCGCAAGCCGACTGAGATCGGACACGGTAGTGAATCGGGGGAGCACTCCGAGCACTACAGACCGCGTGAGATTCGCTCCGGCCGACTGAGTGATATGTGGGGGGAACATGCTCCGTTCATGGCTCTGTTTCGGACCCTTGGGCTGATGGGACTGAGCCCATTGTATGCGCATGAGCGAAGATGCACGTACGTGACCGAAAAAAGAGGATGGCTTCGTCCTAAATAGCCCCGACTCTCTGATGGTCCGCTCGCCGTTGTTGAGCTCCAATTCCAGAACCTGGTCTTGCACTGTTTCTCCCTTGGACCCGAAAGGGTGCTTAAGCTCCTTTGGCCGCTTCTTCTTTTCCTTCTTCCTGGAATATGCTTGGAGAGGTCGCGCTACGTTTCCATCGCGAGGAAGTCCGTTCCGTGCGCGTGAGTGGACAACGGATTCGGAGTAGGTCCGGTGCGGTGCAGCAGCAACGCGAGACCAGAGATGCCAACTGAGGGCGGTGAGGCGGGAAGCTCTTAGTTTGGCTAGACTTTTGGACACAGCGGTATATGGCCGCGACTGGCGAGCGGCCAGCATAACATCGAAACGACAGGTGAGGCACGCAAAAGAAAATTGATCGCTGTCCGTGCGGCATCATGTGACTTTCATGTGACAGTGTCAATGTTGAGTGTTCCAAGTCTCTTTGACCGAGCTAGCTCTTGCCCTAGTTCTCTATTCCTCGTCAGCAAAGATCGTATTATATGCTTAGCTATGAGCTGATGTTCACTTGTAAATCTCGGATTTTTCTGCATGCTGCCTTGTTTACCACGAGCCTTTGGTGCCCTTCCACGCCCCAATCAAGAAAGATCTCTCTGTGAGTCTGGTTGAAGCACGGGTCTTCAGATACTTGGTGTAGGTATCCTCCGTTGGCTTGGCCTGTTCAACTTCCAAATTCTCGCTCCTATGGGCTGTCGGGATCTATTCAGGAAGGTAAATTTTCATCTCTACAGTGCACAGTGAGAGCCAAGTTGATCAAAGACGGAGAAAGCCAAATGATTGTTATATACCCATTATACACTTCAGCTTCAGGAGTTGTTCTGTAACTTTAATTTCTGGAGGTCTTAGCGGAAAATGTTGTTTCTTGGCTCTTCCTGCAAGCTGCAATGTGTTTCCTGTGTCCCCATACCTTGCCGCATGCAATTTTTTTGCATAGAAACACCTAATATGAATGCTCTACCTGGTCTGCAACAATGCATGCCACCCAAGCTGCGATACCATGACCGGCACATGACATCCATGATCAGGGCTACCAAGCACCGCACATTGGTAGCACTGGCTGTCCATTGCTCCGCAACATCTACTACAATTCTTCTGTACTCAAAGGTAGGAGAGAAGGGTATAGATGATCAAAAATGTGGCTTATCTACGCTACCATTTCGAAGCCGTGTTCTCACAAGATCTATTTTAATTTTTCGAACACTGCAGGGGCCCCGTGTTGAAGCTTGTTTGTATTAGCGACTATCACAGTATGTAGACATGACATCATAAGTAGTATTCTTAGATTACTTTGGCTCGCTCCACAATGACCTCATACCTGACCTCATTATTGTGTCATCCATTACTCATCTATGATATCATTACTCCACTATGACATCATGATATCTGCTCCAGACTGGTATATAAACCTAGTACTATACGCTCCATATCCTCAGCTCCTGTGTCTTACACTCGCTGAGGTATGCATTCTCCCTTACGATCTAATGACCCTTACTTATGACTTGTACCACAGACTCTGTGTCTTTAGGTACAGCTAATGTATAGCTCCTGTGTCTTACACTCGCTGAGACTCTGTGTCTTTAGGTGATCGCTACTGGTCGTATCTCCACTGCGCGGTATTGTCTGCGACAGGTTATGGGCCCCGCCTGAACCACTAGCGGCAAATCAAGAAACATCGAACTACTCCCTTTACTAAGGCGAGTATCTTTCACTCGTTCAGCCCTTCTAGAGCGCCGTCTTTGTGCGCTCGTCCCACTTGCTGGATGTCGGTCCTCGCATTTGTGCTCTCACCCTCAAGGGGTTACGCGAGCGGCGTCAGGGAGTCATTCAGTTGGCAGACGCGCCGTTAGCTATTCCGTCCATGATTGCTCGCGCGCGTTTTACGTTACATCTTTTTATTGTACAGCGGACATACCCACCAGGCACTGGTCCTTTGGTCAATCCCACTCCTGAACCTTGCGCGAAGCGCCTAGGTGGTGTGGTAGCTCTCAACAGCTGCTGGAGGTCAATCCCTCCGCCAGGCAAAACAATCCTTCGGGGTTGACTCGCATTCCTCACAAGGGACCCTGCGGGCTGGTGACACTACAAGGATTCATGCAATGACGCTCTGCGTGTATGCATGTCTTTAAAAGGGAGAAGATGGGCGGTCAAACCTGGTGCTTGGGACGGCCTTGGGCACGTGTCCCTTGGCCAGTGACGGACTGCGAGGGCAGTAATCACCGTCGGGTACTGCCGCCGCTGACGTATATAGTTACGTTACTTTGATACAAATATGGGCACTTACTATACCGCTTTATTTCGTTATCATTCCCCGCGCGTATATGGGCATCATGGATGGGATGGGGACACTTGGTCGTTCTTGTTTCAGAGATTTGGCACTTGGGATTTGTTTCTTGGTCTGCAGAGAATCTGGGGCTGACTTCGTCGCTCTAGTCTTCATCTCTATCACCCTGTCATCACCAGACGACCCTCCCGTTGGGGTTATCCTATTTCCTGTTGTCCGTTGGGCTCAGGGACCTTCTTACACTACCCTTCAAGACACCGATTGGGAAGACCTATACGAACTTGGTGAACACGACAACGAAGATCTATTTCACCATCAGGACGATTGGACTCCTGAGCTTCGGTCCCTATTCGGTGATCCTCCCTATATCGAATTTCCCTCTCTCCACTATCAAACCGCCGACGTTATCGAGTATCTCCCCACCATGTCGGGAATCGAGAAACTCAACAACTCCATTCTGAGTGTCTTCGATGGCACCAATTGGAATACGTGGTCAGACAACTACATGAGCATCTGCATGCATCAGGGCACTTGGGGAGTGGTTAAACCCACTCATATCATGGTCAACGGAACATCTACCTCGAACCCTGGTTCTATGGAGCGTCCTGGAACGGCTGGCGACAGCCAGTATCAATGGGACGTTGCCAATGAAAAGGCACTGGGTCTTGCGCGGGTTTATATCACCCAGAATCTGCGCAAGGGAATCTTTATGGACGGTCAGCGGGAGCGCACTGCGCGCGAGGTTTTTGCGAAAATGGCGACGGATTATGGCCAACCAAATGCCATCGATGCTTTTGTCGAGTACTGCCTCCTGAACACCACCACCTTCCATGGTGGTGACACCATTGAAAAACAAATCATGGAAATGGAGACTCGTCGTCGCCAGTGTTCGGAAGGAGGAATCGAGATCCCCGACTACCTCTTCGCAACTCTAATGCTTGCTGCCTTGCCCGCTTCCAGCAGAGGTTTCATCACCTCTTACCTGGCCAATCGTCCTATCGCTTCTCTGAACCCAGTCGATGTCAAGAACAGCGTCATAGGGAATATCAAGATCGAGAACCTCGACACGACGTCGAACTCGAAGATTTCCACCGTTCCGTCCCTTGCCACCCGCTGCACTCATTGCAACAAGTCCGGTCACGTTGCGGCATCCTGCTACAAGAAGTATCCCAACCTCAAACCGACTGGTCAATCTTCTGACAAAGGCAAGGGGAAGCAGGATGAGGGGAAGAAGAAAAAGAAGAAGGAAAAGAAGAGCGGTGATGGTACTAGCGCTGTAAAAGAAGTTGTAGCCGCCCCCGCGGTTGCAGCTGCCTCCAATGGAATGCACATTTCGTCCTATCTCATGAGTGACTCCCTCAAACACATCGATGATGGAATTTTTGTTGAAGAAATGGGAGACGACTCCAAAGTTCGTTTTCTATGGGACTCGGGTTGTACACATCATATGACAAACACCCGATCTGATCTTCACAACATCAGACCTATCGACACCTATGTTATCGTTGGGTCGGGAGCTCGCTTCAAGAATGAAGCCGTTGGAGATATTGTGTTGCGGGGTCATACTAGTAGTGGCATGGACTACACCTTCACGCTGAAGGATGTCATCTACAACCCGCACATAAGAGGGCGTTACCTTTCTGGGTATGCGCTCGATCAGGCTGGTTACTACACCGTGGTTGGTGACAACAAGGCAATCCTAGTCACCAAGGATTGGCTCAACAAGGGAAAAGCGCATGGGGATGTCTTGATGACCTTTAAAGCAAGCAATCGCTGCTACTGGTACTACCCCGAGGAGCTCGTGGCACCATCTGTGTCTGCATCTCACGAGTCTACCGCGCTCGCTTCCCTGGAAACTACCGATCGTGAATTGTGGCATAAACGTTTTGGTCATGCGGCTCGGAGGACCCTTACTCACTTGCCGACACAAGTTGAAGGTGTTCCACCCTTGCAACGCAATAAAGACCAGCGCGGCATGTGCGATGGATGTATGCTTGGAAAACAGCACAAGCATCCATACCCTGCAACAGAGAAACGTGCTAGCAAACCCCTCGAGCTTATCCACACTGATTTGATGGGCCCCTGGCCTACTCAGTCGTTGGAAGGTTCACGCTACACAATTTCGTTCTACGACGATTTCTCGAGCTTCGGCATGATGGTGTTCATTAAATCAAAGGACCAAGCCTCTACTGCGATTAAAAACTTTGTTGCCCTTGTAGAGCGTCAGCTCGGCACAAAAGTACTGGCCTTCCGGTCAGATCGTGGAGGTGAATATATGTCCGATGAACTCACAGCCTGGCTCAATGCACGTGGAATTATGCACCCTAAGTCCGCGCCACGCGAACCACAGCAAAATGGGAGGTCTGAACGTTGGAATCGCACAGCCTACGAGAAAGCGGAATGCATGCGCCTCAATGCCGGCCTATCCAAAGGCTTCTGGCAATGTGCTATGGATGCATCTGTCCACGTTCATAATAGACAACCTATGGCACGATTGGGATGGCGAACACCTGCGGAACTGTGGCTTGGAAAGAAGCCAGACGTCTCTTATTTCCGTGTGTTTGGATGCAAGGCGTCTCTCTATGTGGATGTTGAAAAACGCCTGAAAGGGTTGGAGCATGGACGCCCCGACCACATCTTCGTTGGATACGAACAAGAGACAAAAGCTTGGAAAGTGTGGGATCCGAATCAACGCAAGATACGAATCTCTTCAAACGTCGAGTTCGATGAGCGAGTATTCCCTGCCAAGTCCAAGCTAGTCACCGGCAATGTGTCCTCTGGACCGGAGCCGTTCATACCATTCGAGGAAACCTTCCCTGACCTTATCAATAATCCTATGCCTGCAACGCCTTATGCAAACATACCACCTCCTGCTCTCCCACCGCCACCGGCACCCCTCGCGCAACAAGGTCCTGTCACGGGATCGCGAGAAGTACCCCTAATGCCTGGCCCGATAGACGATCGCCCGATTGCCCATCGCCGCCCTCGTCGGAATAAGCCCCGCATTATGCCAGATGGAACTACGTATCAGAGGCCTAGCAGCATAGAGTCCATGTTATCAGCTGCCCAAGCTGAGCATGACTTGCCTAAAAACGTACGGGACGTAGCAAAGAGCCCGGATGCACTCAAGTGGGAGCGCGCGATGCGCGAAGAACTGGAATCTCTTGAGGAAAACTGTACTTGGGATTTGACCAGCCTTCCACGCGGTCGAAAGACTGTCAAATGCAGATGGGTGTTTAGCAGGAAGCGTGACGGTCGTTTCAAAGCACGACTTGTTGCCAAGGGATTCACTCAGGTTCATGGGTTTGACTATGATGAGACCTTCTCGCCAGTATTGCGCTACGAATCTTTGCGCATACTTATGGCTCTGGCTGCTCTCGAAGATTGGGAGATTCATGCCATGGATGTCAAAACGGCATTCCTAAACGGGGATCTGGAGGAAGAAATCTATATGGAACTTCCGGAATTACCCAAAGGTTTCTCGTCATGGCCAAAAGAAAAGGTGGCACGCCTTCGTAAATCACTCTATGGGTTGAAACAGGCGTCTCGTCAGTGGAATATCAAAATCCACAATGCCCTCCTCGAACTTGGTTTTGCTCGGACATACTCCGACGCCGGTGTCTACAAATATCGCCAACAAATGGGAGATACGGTCATCATCTTGGTGCTGTATGTTGACGATATGCTCATTATGGGCAACAATCTGCCGGAGATAGCACGTATCAAATCCTTGCTCGCGAACCGCTTCAAAATGACAGATCTCGGTCCTGCAAAGGATTTCCTTGGTCTGAACATAGTTCGTGATCGCAAAGCGTGTAAAATCTGGATCGATCAGGCTTCCTATATCGAGGGAGTTCTAGAACGTTTCCGGATGTCTTCGTGTAAAGAAGCTCGTACTCCCCTGCCTTCCGGCATCGTGCTCGAGAAGCATGATGGAGAAGTTGATGAAGACCGTCGTACCCGTTACCAGCAGTTGATTGGCAGCCTTCTATACGCCATGCTTGGTACTCGCCCCGACATTGCCTATGCAGTCATCCGTCTATCAAAGTTCAACAGCAACCCGTCAGAACATCATTGGAACATGGCAAAATACATACTCCGGTACCTTCAGGGCACCAAACACTACCAACTTTGCTATGATGGTTCCACTGGCGCAGGCCTTATCGGTTATTCCGATGCTGATTGGGCGGAGAACAAAGACGACAGGCATTCAACCACGGGATATTCCTTCTTCATCGCCGGTTGTGCAGTGACCTGGGTTTCTAGACGCCAACCCACGGTCGCTTTGTCCTCAACAGAGGCCGAATACATGGCTCTGAGCGATGCTACACGCCAGATTGCCTGGATCCGCACTTTGTTGACTGAGCTCGGATATGACTTGCCATCCACGCCTCTTTGTGTTGATAACCAAGGCGCTATCTTTATGGCAGTAAATCCGGTTCATGATAGGAGGACGAAGCACATCGACATCCGCTATCACTTTGTACGAGAATCCGTCGAAGCTGGCAATGTCCAACTTTACCATGTGCCTACCGATGCAATGATCTCTGACACGCTCACAAAGTCTTTGGCATGGGTGAAGTTCCAACAACATCGGCTGTCTTTGGGTCTTCGTGATCCGACTGTTTAGTCGAGTGGGAGTGTTGAAGCTTGTTTGTATTAGCGACTATCACAGTATGTAGACATGACATCATAAGTAGTATTCTTAGATTACTTTGGCTCGCTCCACAATGACCTCATACCTGACCTCATTATTGTGTCATCCATTACTCATCTATGATATCATTACTCCACTATGACATCATGATATCTGCTCCAGACTGGTATATAAACCTAGTACTATACGCTCCATATCCTCAGCTCCTGTGTCTTACACTCGCTGAGGTATGCATTCTCCCTTACGATCTAATGACCCTTACTTATGACTTGTACCACAGACTCTGTGTCTTTAGGTACAGCTAATGTATAGCTCCTGTGTCTTACACTCGCTGAGACTCTGTGTCTTTAGGTGATCGCTACTGGTCGTATCTCCACTGCGCGGTATTGTCTGCGACACCCCGTGGATTGGTGATGGCCGGTTGACATTCCCGTCATATCCAGCCTGGTCGGACCCAGGGCCAGCGCTAGAACATGTCATACACACTATAAGTATACTTGGATAGATCCCCATCCCAGGTGTCCGTAGGCCCAGTGGCAGGCCATGTGATTCACAAACCGGTGAGAAACCACCGTGATGTATCATATCATTGATGGCAAATTAATTTTGTACATGAAGCCGGTAGCCCAGTACCGGCTTATTAATAGAATTTAGAGGTGTACCTGAAACGAGTGTGGGGCCTCAACGAGGTAAATTGGGCAAATTATATACAGCAGAGGGACAGGCAGCAAATCAAAGCGGCGAGATCAAAGTGCATCGGAGAATAAAATTGGTCGAGCTGGTATCAGTGTTTTGGCATGTGCATGTGCGTTCATCGCTGCGTGAACGTCAGACGCGACTTTTCGCCAGAGTAGACGTCTTTCCGAAGCATGTCAGTACAGATGATGGACGGCCACAGGCAATTGACATACCGATAGGTGACGTGAAGTTGTGCACCAACGGGTTGAATCGGGAGCCGTTGCGGTGTAATGAATGTTGTGAGCTGGCGACGTAGCCGAGCTCGACGTCATCGCCTCTGCGTCTGTTCGGTCGCAGCGCGGGCTCTTCCATCTCAAATTCTTTGTAGATCGAAGACGGCGAGGCAAGCGCTGGGACTTCCTGCAAGCTGGCGTGGCTTTTCTGCGGCGACAGCTGCCGGTACAGCATGCTGGGAGCAGCATCGAAGCGCGAGTCGTAAGAATACTGCGAAGCACGCTGGTCGCCCAGGTTTATCGTCGATGTGATCGTCGGGTGCCCATATGACCGGTTGCGCCGTCTCTCACGCGCAGCATCTCGGGCGGCGATCTCTCCTTCCACAGACCGAGGGAAGAAGATCTGGTTGAGAGGCTCAGCAATCAGAACATCAAGTGTCTGATCGCACGCACCACTAAAGTCAAGGCGGAGGACAGAGCCAGGCCAAACGCCGAAATCACGGCGAGGAAGTCTGGAACGGGTCAGAACCTGTGCGGTAACCAGAGAACTGTGGTCACGGACCAGTCCAAAGCATGCTTTCGTTGATATGGGTGTGAGTTTTCACGCCGTCAGCTCCCAATATAACGAGCGGGATGACGAAGACAAAGCGGAACACGACTCGAATCAGCTGCGGGCGGAGTCGGTGAGAATGTATGCGGCCGAAAAGGAAGGCGCATACATTTAGTTCGTGGAATTTGGTCAATCGGACAATGGTGTTCACATCGACCCCTTCAGATTTCTGTAACAAGCATAAGCACCATGCGGACGATTCGAGATCGGTGGAAGGGAACAGACCAGACTGGACAGGAAGGCGGGGAAAGCCCAGCTGTAACGGCATCAGCAAGAGAACGATCGCAAGCAATAACGGGGTTAGAAACTGACAGGACTGGCGTGAACCAGAGCGTCAAGGACAAACTTCCAAGACTGCCACCCAAGAATATGTACGCTTCACACTAAGTTCCCGTTCAGACGCATCCTTTAGCCGACTCGGCACACTGGTCACGAACCTTCAGGGGGTCGGAGCGCGTCAGAATCGTCAGCAGCGGCATGTACGTGACAGCGATGCAGGAGCCGACAATCCAGGTGCGGAAGTACCAGCTTTTGAACCAGTCCTGCTGCACAGAGCCCGAGTTGACGAGGAACAGCCAGAAGCAAAGCTCTGCGGAGAGTTGAGCATGGATGTCGGACCGAACGCAGAAGGCCGTGTATCTGTACCTTCCAAATGCGTGATCCTGCGAGGAACCCACAATCAGAGATGGCGCGCCGGAATCAGACCGACTTACATTTCCATGCTCCAGCCGATAGCGAATGCGAGCATCAGGGGGAACAGAGCACGGCGTTCGCTTTCAGTCCACAGCCGATAGGGCATCGGGATGACTGGCCGGACGGACGAACGGTCAGCCCCGGGCAACTACCGTAGATCGAGATCACGCACTGGCTCCGTCGTGCACGATGAAACCGTGCTTGTACTTGATGATAGCGAACCCGATGGAGTAGGTCATCACCAACGGTATACTCAATAGATACGAGTACTAGATGGGAGCGAATGTCTGTAAGTAAGAGAGCAGGATGCATCGTATAGTGGGGACGCACCGTCATGACCCTCTTGAACGCTCCCGTCTGCGGCCCACTATTCCACCTGCGGACCTCGAGGTTGGCACGGATCCACGCAGGACACGATCGGAGGGAAGGAAGGTACGTACTTCAGACACCTGAAGCGGTCAAAGGACCAGAGATGGAACACCAAGAACGTGAAGAGCTGGGGCGCGGGTCAGCGCGATAACGGGATCCAGGGCGGCGCAGACTCACGATGCACGAGATAATCGACCATACGAGAAAGGTCGCGGGGGAGGTGTGGGACATTGTACAACGGAAGACGTGTGGTTGCCAGCGCACTGAAAGCTCGAGCCGGCGAGAAGGGGAGAGATAGAACGAACGAAGCTGGAAGGGAGAAGCTCAAACAGCCTGGGAGAATACCCAGGGACACCGACGATGTGTTATACTTATGCGAGAGCACATGAGTGATGGTGCAAGTAGTGGATATTGATGGACGTGCGCACGAGTTGAAACTCGTCCGTTTGCTCCGTAACCAGGGATGACAGGAGATCATTCGCTCGCGGTCGTGACCAGTCTACAGAATTTGCAAAGCATGCATCGCATCATCGCGAAACAAGCGCGTGTCCGAAACAAGACGTTCAAACACGCACGTCGCCACTCCGAGCAGGGGGCTGCGCAGGGCGGCTCCGGCCCGGGAGCCTCATCGAGTTTCGATCGGCTAAGATTGATCGAATCAACCGATCTTAGAAAAAGATGCCACCCTCCACAGACGAGCAAGAAGAGTTTTTACTATCATGCAGATATGGGGACCTCGACGACGTGAAGACATTCGTAGACACCTTTGGTGCTGAATCGGCGGCCCAAGTGCGCGACGACAATGGCAACTCTGCGCTGCACATGCTCTGCGGCAACGGACACACAGGTACGTTCGGTCCATTCACCCTGCGATCCCTGTCCCAACCTCGCTTGAGTGTGTCTGATTTTAACAGCGTCGTCCTAGATGTGCTCGACTACCTACTTCCGATCCTCCCTCCGTCCGTCCTATCCGCCAAAAACCACGCCGATTCCACACCACTGCACTGGGCCGCGCTGAATTCGCACCTCGAGATCATGAAGAAGCTCGTGCAGGTCCCCGCCGGACCAGGACTAGACCTGATCGACATCAAAAACTCGGCTGGCCGTTCTCCGCTGGGCGAAGCCGAGCTGGCGGGCTGGGACGAGGGTGCGCGATGGCTAGTCCAGATGATGAAGCTGGATACCGGCGGCGTGAATGAAGGCGAATCTGATGTGAATGACGGTGACGGGGACGCTGCAATCGGTGCTGGCGAAGTCGAGATCGAGATCGAGGATGCCGATGGGAAACTAGCAAAGATGCGAATAGGTGGGGATCAGGGCACCAGTTCGACCACCGGAGACTCTCCGGTATGAGAAAAACGTTTATTCCCACCACTGCACATTCCTGTATGTTTCTACTGATTATAACATATGCACATCATCAGCCATGTGCTATGAACTGCTATGAAATGGGCAACATCTCCGGCTGCCTTATATGTAATGGATCCGTATCCAACGAGCATGGACAGCGGCGATCCTTGGCGAGGCATCCAATGATCCACATTTTGGAGTGGACCATCATCAAATCATGTCGCTGGCAGTTCGATGCGCCAATCTCTGATTGACCTCGGTAAAATGACGCACTCGAAATCGGCAATTCCAATACCAAGAACTGATATCTTGTGTGGGGGACTGAACGAGAACAGTTTTGCTCCGGAACGAAGTAGAATCATGATCAGCCGTGCATATTGATGGAAAACACTGATATCTACGTTGTCTCAGAGTGCACGATCTCACGTCGAGCCGACGTGGCGTCAGTCATCCCACCAGGCCATGAGAATAGGTTCGGTCAGGGCCATGAACGTTGCGGGTGATATCGACCTGATGCGCAGGGGTTTCGAAACTTCCGTCTGACTGCATGCTACCCGGTCGTATTCCTGATACTGTGGCGGCCCAGCATACTCCAGGTTCAAGTTCAGGTTCGCATGTCCAGATTGACGCGTCTCAGAATCCTTGCGCGACACCTCAGGAACATTCAAGAACGATGAAAGCACGGACAACACTCACGCTCGACGGCAGCTCGACAGCACCGGGCCATTGCCTCGTATCTGTGGCCAGCGTTGATTCTGTGAGACGTCAATCAGTATGCAGTCAGCATTCAAATTGAAACAAGCTCGCACGGGATTGCGTTGCGAGCAGTGGTGGGACTGGAGACGAGATCATGTATATATATATATATATATATATATATATATGACGACAGAACCTCCTTACTCCGTGCATTATATGGCAGAGGAATCGGCGCCGCAATCGGAACAAGCACCGAGGTTTGACTCTCCCCCTCGCCCGCGTCGTCCTCGCCTTCCTCAGACTCAAGCTCAAGAACGTCCTCCTCGTTCGGCACCGGAACGTCTGAGACTCCCGAGTCGCAGAGGATGTTCGCCGAGCGAAAGTCAGGCATTGCGCAGGATTTATTCTTGATCAGCATTGGGTGAATGCTTGAGTCTTCTTGATTGGGGTTGATGTTCTCAGCATTTTCATCATAGAAATCGGACGGCGTCGAGCTCTTTTGATCGGGGGGAGAACGCGAGTCAGAGGTGGAGTGGAGAGAGACATAACAGGGCGCAAAAGAGCTCGAAACAGATGCAGGACGCTGCTCCGCGTGACAGCCATTCCAGACATGTTGGTCGGCGTCGGTCAGACTGGCAGTGACAGCAGGAGAGTGAAAGCGATTGTGCCGCTCGACAGCATTGTCTGCATCGCACTCGAGAATTGAGACTTGACTCGGAAAGATAGCCGGCGTCTCCCTGAGAGCGTTCGGGCGAAAACTAATGGACGCATGTGTGGGAAACTGTTGCGTGGAAGTGGCCGGAGGCGGGCGACGCAACGATGAAGTATGGACTGTATAGCTGATCGGGGTGCTTTTGACCTGCAAGGAATGAAGTCTTGGATGTGCATCGATTCGATCGAAAGGGCGCTGAGGGTGAAATTCCATGGGAGAGAGCGGGCAAGAAACTGAGACAGGTTTCCGGGAACTCCCGCCGCGTGCTCAATCATTGTCTGCAGCGCGTTCTGTCACGCAGGTATGACCTGTGACAGGTTGATACCATTGCGCAAAGCAGATTAGATAATTTTAGATTTGTGCGGCGAGTAGCTACAAAACTACTAGTGGGACGTTGTAAACGGAAAGAATCAAGGGAACAGGGGGAAGTCAGATGCGTCTTGTAGTCTCACTCCTGTGTCGAAATCCTCGAAATCAGCCCCATAGCCGAACCATGATGGGTCGCAGACACTTGTTGCGTTCAGCTGGACACTGGAACAAGAAAGTGCGCTCTCCGGCGAGCAAGTCCTACCACAATCAGAAACGGCGGCATATAAGTGCAGAAGATAGCTCACATGCACACTCCACGTTCGTGATATCTTGGGACTCTTTCGAGCTGACTACGCTTGAGCGGCTTGCGAGGTGGTGGAGGCAACGGCGTATAAGAGAGCGGAAGAGATTTATCCCAGGTATAGAAGTTTCCTCCGACAACGATCGGCTCGACTTCGTCGTCTAGCTCCAGCATGCCCCAGTTCTCGCATATGCGGCGCTGCTTGAGTGGTACGAAAGGGGTCTAAATCACATATCATCGGTTGGTGGTTCACAAGAAAGTAATTCCGGGCGTATTCACCTCTTTTAAGACCGTTCTTGTTGAGCACTTCTTGGAGGCGAGCACGGACCTGTAGCTGGCCGACCGACGTGCTGGTAACACTGGGTAGACGCAGTGTCCAACATCCGGACACCTCTTCCTGTCCTTCGCTATCTTTCTAGCTCTTTTGGACTTGGAGCTGATCTGAGCCCAGGAGTAAGAGAAGATGTTGACCATAACGAGGATACTGAGGCTTTCAGGTCGAAGGAAGGCGTCGGAGATCGTCGCTGAATCGAGCCGACTGCCTCCCTTCGGATTTAAAGCAAGCTCCCTCGCGCTTTGGACAGAGCTTGAGCATGATGCGCGCTTTGAGGTGGACAAAGAGATCAAGCCGACATGAAAGGTCAAGACAAAGCCCGGGCATTTCCTAATACGGTTCACATCAAAGCGCACAATCCAAGCAAGAATGTAGGTCCTTGACAGAGGGTCTTTGTCGGGCGCCACTTGGGACCATGTAACATCAGGACACACAAAGACCCAGAGAGTGTGAGAGAGAATCCGTTTCTTTGATCGTGGCTCAGTTTATGTCATTGTATATTCCTCAGATGCACCCAGTTCGACTCCCGACCTTCCCGTCTCAAACACTGCCCTCAAACTCCCATCTGCTTTGACTCAAGCTCAGAATCGATCGAGCGGAGCAATACAAATTCTCGATCCATGGCGACAACAGATATACAACAGGCGAGCCTCACTCTTCGTCCTCATCCTCGTCCTCGTCCGCCTCATCTTCCGACACATCCATCCCGGCTTCCCTCATTCTAGCTTTATCCGTCTTGCGTTTGGCGCTTACTTCGTCCAGCAACACAAGCAGATCTTCCTGCTCCTTCTCCAGCTCCCTTGTCTTACTTTCTGACGATTCAAAGTCAGCCGTCAACCCTGCAACTCGGGTCGATATCTCTGCAACTTGGGCGTTTGCACTGGCGAGCTGGGACTGCAGTGCTTGGATCTAGAATTGATCAGCCTCGGAAACCCGGCTGCGGTTGAGAGCAGCTAACCTCCTGGACACCGGCACTAGCCGAACCTTTGGCTTCCTCCTTTTGGACAGCATGGGCAGCTTCCATCTCTTGCAGCTGCCGCTTCAGAGCCTCCATCTCCTGCGCCTGGTTCTTGATGACATCCCGAAGAGAGGCAATGAGCATAGCACTCTCTGCACTGGGACCAGAGTTAGATGATGCCAGCTGGTCTGGAGGAGAGGAAAGGCTGCGCTGGACAGTGTCTGCAATCTGTCAGAGACGCACAGGAATTGATCGAGGGCTGCCTACAATAGTTCGACTTCCAGAAGTCAATGAACGCCCAATCAAACCATATCTCCCCTTGTTTCTCTTTCTCGGAATCACCCTTGACGCCAGCGACATGGGCCGGTGTTGCTCCCGAGAAAGGCAAAACAACCAGGTCGGGGCCAACGGCCTTGAACCGCTCGTCATCACGCAGTCGGGTCATGCGACCAACTAAGGTTTCGACACCAAGGCGGTTGATGATAGGATAGATAGTGGTCCTATAGCGGTCTGAGAGTCGGTCCTTGGGAAAGTACGAGCAAACCTACCTTGTGATTTCTCCCGGCTCGCGATCAAATTCGTAGCAGACACCCAACAAGAAAGCACACAGCCCTGGAGCCACCGAATCAGTCTCGCCAGTCTGGTTGATCGCTTCGACCAGCTTTTCCGGCGGTCAGTAGATGCTACATTGCGACCATAACGATCATGCTCACTACACTCAATCCTCCAGCATCCAAGAAATCCTTGACGGCAAGAGGCTCTTCCCATAGCCATTGGCACAGCAAACAGAGGTAAGCGCCAACCAGCCGGTCCCATTCTCGAGCTTCTCGCTCTGAGGAATCTAGGCGAGCACGTGCCAGAGACGCAAGTGAGAGATGTTCGCACAACAGCGGCAACAATGCCTGCGGTGGGTCCTCATCATCTTCTGGTTCTGGCTCGGGTGGCCCGGGTGCTGGTCCGCCGTCAGCAGGAACGAAGAAGCCGCTGGTATCATTTGGATCGCCCAAGGAGTGTAGGGAGGGGGGCACGATGGATCGAGCCAGCGCTTTCGCACGTGGCGAGCTGCGCAGCAGATGTGCGAATAAGAAGACGGATAGGTGTGTCGACGTGATGGGGGCAACAGCTGGGGCGGAAGAAGTGTTGGGCGGGCAGGATAACGAGTGGAGAAGTGGTGTTGCTTGGGAGTTCTCTGCCGCGACAGTCAGCATGCGCGATGCGACGGTGCCGAATAGACGTACCAGAGCCCTCTGCCGGAAGCATCGCTTGAAGGATAGCCAATCGCACTTCGTCTTGGCGGACAAAGTTCTACAGCACCTAAATGTCACTCCACGGTGGAAAGAAACGCACCCACCTCGAAAACACCAACTGCTGCTGTTCGCAACTCCAATCCGTCTTTGAGACGCTTCTCGCTGTCAGCCCCGTTGTATTCTCCGTGCAGAGCGAGTTCGACGAGAACATCCAGAGCCGTGGCAGGTTCAAGACGGTCCCATTCTTCCCCATTAGTGTCCGGAACCGGGCAGTACGGCGTCAAAATCATTTCCGCCAGTGGATAGTTCACGTTTGGAGGCAGATGATGTAATGCCTGCAGAAATTTGAGATACAGCGATCATCTGCGTCAGTCGCACCACGCATACCTGTGTTTTCAATGGCGTTGGTGCGTTCGATGCGAGGGCCATTTCAATGAGACAACGCGTATAGGCTGCCACCTCTGGAGTCTTGCCCAAAGCATCAGCACATCGCCAACATAACGGTCATCAATTATACTGACACTGTTGCCTTTTGCACTGCTGATCAGCATTCCCATGATCCCCACCACTAATGTCACATTGGCAGCCTTGAGGTCATCCCAGAACTGGAGAGCAAACTCTTGTGGTGCAGGTTGATCCGGAGGCAAATTAGGAGGAAACAGAAGCAGGGAACAAAGTATCGGGGGAAGTGCAAGTTCCCGGAAGTAGCTCTGCAAAGATCCACTAATTATGGAGCGTGGATCTAGGCATCAGAGTTACTTGCCTGGTTTAAAGAGTTGAACCGCAAGAGCCCGTCGACACAGGTCAGCACTTCTTGAGGGACAGCTCCGCCTTCCACTCCACCTTCTTGCGTGATGGTCGTAAACAGCTTCTCGAACGCGCCCTCGAACGCGAGAACTTTCTGTATTTCGACACTCTGGGAGATCAAAGCTTGTACCATCGTTACAGCCTCTTCGATCGCGTTGAGCATCACTCTGCGGTAGAACGGGGCAACGTACCGTTCCGAATGATCTCCCGCGTGTCTTCAAGGACCAGAATAACGCTGGACGGACCGGCCGGTGCTTTCAGGAAGTATCCCTGCACAATCTGACGCCGATTCTCGAGCAACGTAGAGAGATATTGTAGCGTCGCGAAGCGCGTGTAGAAGGCTTGGTCCGCAAGGAGCGCAAACAGTGTGTGCACGGTCTTGTCGTTCGAAAGGACTATATCCGTGTGCTTGAATCCCAGCTCCCGGTTCTCATCCACGTCACAGAGGATGTTTAGAGTCTCTAGAGCGGCCTTTCCAATATCCACATCAACTTCCGCATCATTGGCGAGTACATCCAGAATGCCTTGTAGCGCCCGGTCTCCCACGTCTTCCTTCCAATCTCGTGCCAATCCCTTGAGCGAGAGCACGGCAGCGCGTCGGTCGGCCAGCAGCGTCGCCGGAGAAAGTCGATCACTGAGCCGGGCGATCGTTTCGGTGGCGCTCTGAGGCGCGCCGGTCGGGCCTCGTAGCGCGACATACGTCTGAGAGAAAAATTCCATGGATATCCGTTTAGTGGGAGGAATCCGCTCAGCGACGGTGTGTGACGGACGGTGACGAGTCACTCATCGATGATGCGATCAGTACGTTTGATTTCCCAACTTGTTCTCACCCGAGCTCGCAAGCTGCGGCCTCGTTTTTGTGTATCGTGCGGTCGAGAACCGGTTGGTATCATTCAGGTGATTTCTTCTTCTTCTCAGAACAAGTTATCTTCACTGATGAGATGGAATGTCAGCCCCTTGAATGATGTTGCTTCACAGACGATGCCTGCCAGTGCATGAAACCGCTCGGGAACTCTTAGTTCCTGCTTGAAGTTCCAGCAGGAGCCAAGGATCTGGCGACTCTCTTCATTTGATTGTCATATCCCCGTGTGCTGAAACTCCGTGCGCTGATAACATCGACATCTGAACATGAGCGGGCATATTTTGGAAGCCTTCAAACTCTCATTAGACTCTATTATGCTATCTGCAAGGTACTTCTCGCTACCTTTCTGGGACGGCGTGACTTTTTCTTTTCTTCAACACTATATCTGACACTCCCTGTGGTAAACTGGCGCGGCGTTCGGGACCGCGGGTGCTTATGTACGTATGTGCTCTGCTAACTGGCGCAACGGCGCTCACTTTCACCTGGTCAAATGTCCGATAAGGTCTCACTGATTCTGTCTCGGACGTCTCTCTGACTGGTGCAGCACTTGTGGTATCTCGCCCACGGCACAAATATGCAGCGATATGGCACTCGGCTTATTTCCTCGGGGCATGTCTCAAGATGATCAATGATGATTGGTCGCCCCATGCTCCGCTCATGATTCTCTCCGTCTTTGATCGAATCACGATTCTTGCTGTCGCAAACTCAAGAATCCTATCATATCGCTAGCGTTCGGCGCCTCTTCTGCGGTGGGCAGCTCGATTGGACAAATTCTCCGTGGCCTCGCATATCTTTCTCTGAAGTGGCTCCAATCGAACGCAGACAAATGGAAGTCCAAGATCAATGGGCCCACGCGCCTCCCGCCACACCGACAAGAAAAACCGTTGGAAACGGACGCCGGAATCTCGGAGAACCGGGCTTTGTGTTTTAACTCTCCCGCGATTGTCCTTGTCAGAGAACCGGCGTTCAAAGTGACTGGCGAGTAGCTGCTTGTAGCCCCGCCGGCGATGCTTCAGACGATTTGGGTGCACCCATATGAGCATTCAGCTCTCCGTCTCGCAACACAGGTTGCAAACTCATCGTCCGCCCGTGACTCACTGGCACTTGCCATGTCAACTAATGTTGGGTTCCTGATCAATGCTTAGGCACAGGAGACCTTGCATCACGTTACCAAATCGGGCAACGCGTCACGACGCGTCTCTCATCTCATCTAATTCAATTGATACCGTCTTGAGTCAAACGATCACGCCCGATATAAAGGCACTGCACCAGGCCCCACGCTCATTTCCTTTCTTTGCTCGCCATGGGTAATGTCCCAGCGCAGCCCAGTCATCCGCTGGTCACCCGTAAGCGCTCGACGGCAGGATTCTCGCGCGTCATCCTGCCATGCACATCAACGAACTTTGTCGACGTCGCCGAGAACGACTCGAAGGAAACCGTCTCCCTCATGAACGAAAAGCCGTGCTGCATCTCCGCCGAAAGCAGTCCCCGCCGCCCCACCCACCTCCCCATCGTCCCCGATCCCTCCAGCTCTCGCCTGCTGCCCCCACCCCCATTTTCTCTCTATGCTCCAGGCCAGGACGCGCCCATCGATGCAGCTGCCACCGCATATACTCTGTTTCTCGATCGGTTTCCCGGTGCGCCGAATAGACTGTGCCCCTGATAGGCTCTTCTTGCTCACTACTCGTGCGTTTCGCAGAATATCGGCTTACTTGGATTGTCGACGCACTTCGCCGCAGCGATTACTCGCGGCTAGAGACGACGGGGGAGACATACGTCGATTACATGGGCGGGGCGATATATCCCGAGAGTCTGATCCGGGTTCACACTGACTTCCTGCATCGCAGCGTGCTAGGAAACACCCACTCTGTCAGCAACAGGTGAGTGATTGTTCGCTTCGACAGAGATTGGGTTTCATCGCAGTTCCATATCAGCTCAAGCCTGTCATTGCGCTCGGCAGATGAAGCGAGAGCAGCCGTGCTGGGCTTTTTCCGCGCCTCTCCCGTCGATTATACCGTGGTCTTCACCGCCAATGCCACCGGGGCCTTGAAACTGGTTGGGGAATCGTATCCGTTTACGGGGGGTAGTTCCTACGTCTTGAGCGCCGACTCGCACAACAGCGTCCATGGCATCAGGCAATATGCGACATATCGCGGGGCAAAGACAGTTTACATACCCACGACACCGACTGGAGGCTTCGATGTCTCGGTAGCAAAGGTGCGCATGGTCTCAGATGACTACGTCTGTTGGTTTGATTTTGGTCTCAGAATGTGCTCCTCCGCTCCCGTCCACGTGCCAAGGCCACAGCCCCGAGTCTCTTCGCACTCACCGGCCAATCAAATATCACGAACACTAAAAACCCGCTGTCCATCATCGAATATGCAGCTTCGCAGGGCTATCACACCGTTTTGGACGCGGCCGCGCTGGCCGCTTCTTCGACGATATCGTTGGCCGATTGCCCTGTTGATGCCATGGCAGTTTCGTTCTACAAGATGTTCGGTTTTCCGACCGGGGTCGGGGCGTTAGTTGTCAAAAGGTCGTTTCTAGCGCAGTTGCAGCGTCCGTGGTTTGCGGGGGGGACGGTCAACGTTGTGCAGGTCCCTGGCAACATTGTGACGCGATCCATGCAGCTCCACGAGCAGTTCGAGGTCCGTCCATTAAGGATGTCTTGTCACCGAAACTCAGACCATGTTCGCAGGATGGCACCATCAACTTTTTGACACTTCCCGCCGTTACCGATGGACTGAGGTTTCTGTCCGCATATCTGCCTTTCCTGCCTCTTCGACTGTCGTGTCTTTTGAAGTATCTCGTGATATCACTGGGGAAACTACGGCACGAGACAGGGCTTCCTGTTGTTCGGATCCTTTCCGCGATTCCGTCACAACGTCTGAAGAACGTCGGCGAGCAATCGGATACGGGATCCATCATTTCCCTCATCTTTCTCGATGTGAGTGCAGATTCCCAATCATGTTTCAGCCGTATTTATCCATATCCGGCCAGCCCAACGGAGAGATGATGTCCAATTCGTTCGTGGAGTTCGCGGCCGCCAAGCTCAACATCTCTCTGCGCACTGGGTGTATGTGCAACTCTGGGGGTGCAGCTGCGCTGCTGGGGTTTCAGCCAACGATGGAGCTGATGTACGAAGGAATAACCGTGCAGGGCCTGGAGCAACTGGCAGGCATGGAGCTTGGTGTTGTTCGGATCAGTCTCGGCTTGGCGAGTAACTTCCAAGATGTCTGGACGGTGCTGCGATTCGCCCAGCTTCTTGCGGCCGAGAGAACGAGGTCGATATTATGGGAGCATTATACGGATGCCACAGGCGTCGTCATCGGGGAGGCGATATAGCCACAGCCGCTGGGTCTCGGAAAGGGAAACGGAAAGGGAAACTGGAGGATTAAATCTGACTGTTCAGTTATCTCACGGGGGACCTTCTATCTCGCATCATGTATCATCTTATATGTTGTATCTTTACATTGTTGTCGGCACCGCAGAATATGCCACCACTACCCCATCAGACCCAGTGGTTCTTTTCCTGCTGGTCCGTCTGTTGAATGATGCATGATGGCCGCTGCCTTCCAAGTGAATGTCGCTTCCTCCCGGGAAAGATAAGGAATATGTATATTTATAAACGAGGTCCCCTCATCCTTTCCGTCTATGTTTAGATCACATCCGCTTGCAAGCGAATAAATAAGTATAAAAGATATATTGTTAACGAGTGAGGTTAGGGTTAGCGCGATTCAAAGTCCAAAAAAAAAGGCCCGCCTAGCCGAGTGGCCGTGGCGGAACAGGAAAATATTGAGACGGTGCATGAGCCGAAGCCCATACAAACCGCAGGCCCACTCGGAATGGACAGGGTCGCCGTGCTATGGAGTGTTCCCACGGCCCAAAAGCCCAGGTCCGTGAAGGAGCTTGTGCCATCAAGGTAAGTATGCGGTACCAGATGTTGTGCGTTGGATTTTATACGATTCGAAGCGCACGGACCAGAAGTTTTGCACGTGAATATCACGTGTTCTACACTCTTCGGTCCCATGCACGACCCTCATCAGTGCCGGAGCTCAGGTGCTCAGGAAGACGTGCTGTGTTTGCACGTGGACGAACCCCCAAGCAGCTTGCCAAGATCCCATGGGCTTTGTTCTTAGCCGTCTTTCGGAAGGCGCCTTGTAGCCGGTTCCGGCAGCGCCTTCGACCACTCTTCGAGGGCTCCCTGGCCCTTGGGTGACTCAGCTGAATTCACAAGAAGCTGGATTAATAAGGCTCTCGGAGTCCTTGTACGCGCAAGCCAGTTGCCGAGGATAATCTCTGTTCCATCTGTGTATCGATGATCGTTTGACGTCACTTCCGAGACTCCGGACTGAGAGGTAGGGCCCGCGATATAAGAGGGGGGCATCTCCTGCGATTGCTTTTCATACTCGCATCCCACTCTGCATTACTGCCAATGTCTTTCTGGACGTCTCCTCCTCAGCCTGCCACCAAGCTCGGTGTCTACCGCACTCTCTCTGCGAAAGCTGGCGTGCATGTCTCGCCCCTGCAGCTCGGCGCGATGAGCGTTGGCGACCAGTGGGATAAGCTGGGCATGGGCTCCATGGACAAGGAATCCAGTTTCAAGCTCCTCGACGCGTATTTCGACGCCGGCGGAAACTTCATTGACACCGCGAACAACTAGTCCGTCGATCTGCTTGTCGCCCATAGATTGCACACCTGCTGACGCGTGTTGCAGTCAGGATGAGACTTCCGAGATGTTCATCGGCGAATGGGCTGAGAAGCGCGACATCCGGGACCAGCTGGTCATCGCTACCAAGGTAAGACACTGCCGATTCGAGGCTTTTCGACGATGATATTAACTGGACCCAGTACACGAGCGGATACAAAGCACGCCAGGACAAGTACGCCCAAAAGGTGAACTACGTCGGCAACAACATCAAGTCCATGAACATCAGCGTCGATGCCAGTCTCAAGAAGCTGCGCACGCACTACATCGACATCCTGTACCTGCACTGGTGGGACTGGGACACCAGCGTCGAAGAGGTCATGGACGGACTGCACAACCTCGTGGTGCAGGGCAAGGTTCTGTACCTCGGCGTTTCGGACACTCCCGCCTGGATCGTCGCGCAGGCCAACCAGTACGCTCGTGATCACGGAAAGTCGCCGTTCGTCATCTACCAGGGCGCGTGGAACGTGATGGCCCGCTCGTTCGAGCGCGAGATCATTCCCATGGCTCGTGCATACGGTACGCTCATCAGCTGTTATTCCCCGGACACCATGTGCTTACCTCTATCCAAGGAATGGCTCTCGCTCCCTGGAACGTGCTGGCTGCCGGAAAATTGCGCACGGATGCTGAAGAAGAGGCCCGTCGCACCTCCGGAGAGAAGGGCCGCATGATGTTCGGACCGGACTGGGAGCGGAACGCAGACGAAAAGAAGATGTCTGCCGCTTTGGAGAAGGTCGCCAAGGAAGTTGGCGCCAAACACATCACTTCGGGTACGCTCCGTTTCACGTCCTGTTCAGCTGGTCTCATCCTTGCTCCAGTCGCCATCGCCTACCTGATGCAGAAAGTCCCCTACGTCTTCCCCATCATCGGTGGTCGCAAAGTCGAGCACCTGTTGGCCAATGTCGAGGCTCTCGACGTGGTCCTGTCCCCGGAGCAGATCGCCTATCTGGAGAGCATTCTGCCATTCGACCCTGGCTTCCCCAGCACCATGATCGTACGTTTACGAGGTCTGCATCCGGAATTTGTAGATATTGATAAGCTTCCAGGGCGATGGGCTAAAGCACAGCAACCTCATCGCATCCGTCGCTCATTTCGATCGCCTGCCTATCCCCCAGGCCATCCGCCACGGCAAGGAGTAGATATTCTACACCAAAACCGGTACAAAACACAATGTATTCTTGCTATCGAACAAATGTCGCACATCATCGTGTCAAGATTGCTTCGATTTTGAGTTACGGCCAGGATTTGGTGACGGCCAGCCTGGTCAGAAATTTAGATGTGTGGACCGCCGGTACCGGACTCAAAATCTCTCTGCGGTCGTACTTGTCCCTCCACCGTTCAGTGCTTCCTTCAGCGCTGACTGGCAGTTCAGGTCGCAATTTAATCCCAATGGATTCGATCGCAGCTGAGAAAATTAGGATTCGGTTTCTACTGTGGTGTTGATCAAGGATGGCCCTGGGATTTTCTGCAGGACTGATGCACCAGCACACTTCGAAGCATATAAGTAGATGATGTTTGAACTCACGCCAGCAGCCAGGAAATTAAAGCCTGACTTGGGTCGGTCTGGCCTCTTGACAAATGCTGGCTGAGCGCTTCAAGTAGCAAGTATGTAAAGGAAGTAGAAGATTGGGGTAAAATCGAAACGCAGCCCCAAGTGTCGCATGAATTTATTTGTTTGTGAAGCGAGGAGCCATTGATGAACCAATCTATGATACACCAGAAAGCACCATTGTCCCGTTGAAGGTGATTGAGGAAATGTATGATGGGATTCGAAGATAGCTGATTTAGCGCCCAGATGTGACACACTTTGTCTCATCTCAACCAGAGATTATGTGATGGCACATGGATACTATAGACGAGTTCAAACGCGTACTATCACTGAATAGCAGAGGTCAAATTTTCGTTGGTATCATCAGATACACAAGAAGCTTCAAATCGCTTCGGATTCAAGCGTCTTCTTTCCAGAGTCTCTAATGTGCTGAGTGAAAGAGTCCCTATCCACAAGCATATACACTGCCACTCATCTCTGGCATGTGATTCCCCGCCTTCCCCGCGATCGGCGATGAATATCGGTCAACTCGGACCTGAGCCGAAGGCAGCGCTACTCTTGCCAAACACCTTCACCTTCATCCCGCAATGCTTAGGACCGGAGCGCGAATTTTATCGACAGCTACTAGACGCCCGGCTGTGTCGACCGTCTCCAGGTGCTTGCGGTAGATCCGACGCGTATATACCACTCAACTGACGTTGCTAGGTCATTCGCGACGTCACGCTCTCTGCGCTCAGAGACGCCGACCGTGAACTCCCTGGACGTTTTCACTGATGAGGAGAACATGCTGCGCGAGTCCGGTATGTGCAGCATTCGGAATACTTGCCCAACGCGATGACTGAGTCCTTCCAGTGCAACGGTTTGCCACAGAGGTCGTCGGGCCTAAGGTCCGGGAGATGGACGAAAAGGAACAGATGGATCCCGCAATTATCAAGGGTCTCTTTGAACAAGGAGTGAGCTTTGCGGTTAGAATTGGAGCCATGCGTTCATTTACGTGCTCTAGCTCATGGGGATTGAAACCAGTGCCGACCACGGTGGAGCTGAATCGTCTTTCACGTCGGCTATCATCGCCATCGAGGAGCTGGCGAAGGTCGACCCGTCTGTCTCCGTCCTATGTGACGTGCACAATACACTTGTGAACACCATCTTCCGCAAGTATGCGACGAAAGAGCAGCAAGACAAGTGGCTGCCGCTTTTGGCTGAAAACAAGGTCGGCCACGACTACTCTACGCTATCTGCTCTGACGAGGTCCTTTCAGCTTGGCTCGTTTTGTCTCTCTGAGCCCGCATCGGGGTCAGATGCATTCGCGCTGCAGACCCGAGCGAAGAAAGACGGAGATTCTTGGGTAATCAATGGCTCGAAGATGTGGATCACGAACTCTTACGAAGCGGAGATCTTCCTTGTCTTTGCCAACGTGTGTCGCATCTTCTGCCGTTTCGCGGGAGTCTGACCAAGGATTGGATGCAGGTGGACCCTTCGCAAGGGTACAAGGGTATTACTTGCTTCGTTGCGACGAAAGACATGGGAGTCCAGATTGCAAAGAAGGAACAAAAGCTCGGGATTCGCGCGTCTTCAACTTGCACTCTGAACTTCGATGATATGAGGATACCCGCGGAGAACGTAATTGGTGGAGAGGGCAAAGGTTATAAGGTACAGCAAGCTAGTCATGACCGATGACGATAACACAACTGACCGACGGAACCCAGATCGCCATTGAGATCCTCAACGAAGGTCCGCAAAAATCTCTTCTCGTTTGCTCCCGGCTGAATTATTTCATCAGGTCGTATCGGAATCGCCGCTCAGATGCTTGGATTGGCTCAAGGAGCGTTCGACAAGGCTGTGCCGTACACGTATTCTCGGCAACAGTTTGGTCAGCCCATCGGAACCTTCCAGGGCATGGCATTCCAGATTGCACAAGCGGCTGTCGAGATCGAGAGCGCGCGACTTTTGACGTACAATGCCGCTCGAAGGAAAGAGGAGGGCAAGAGCTTTACCAAGGAAGCGGCCATGGCCAAATATTGGAGCAGTGTGGTTGCACAGCGTGTGGCTGGATCGGCGATTGAGTGGGCCGGCGGCGTTGGTTTCACGAGAGAGACAGGAATCGAAAAGTACTGGCGTGACTCAAAGATTGTGAGTGTTCACGCGTGTGTGTCGTTGCAGTGTTTTGACCGTCGCGTGCTTCAGGGTGCAATCTACGAGGGCACGTCCAACATCCAGCTCCAAACGATCGCGAAGTTCATACAAAAGGAGTACTCATAATTGCACTGAGAATGTTCTGGGCTGCGCGGTCGTTTTACATATGTAGTTGAATGGATCGTAGCGGAGAGGTTAACAAAAGTGCTGTATGCACCTGTTTGTTCGGCCTCTGCATCCCTCCCAATTTTCCCTTTGACCCACCCACGACCCATGGCCACTGAACGTGCACCTCCCGCTGCCGTCCAACGGGTGAACACCCAAACAAAAGTACTCGATACTAACCATGGCCGCATTCTCTGCATCGCCGACATTCGTGGACGCCTTTCCGCACTGAATGACCTGGCCAGAGACGCGAATGCTCACGCCATAATCCACACGGGGGACTTTGGTTTCTTCGAATCCTCCTCTCTAGAGCGAATCAACGACCGTACCCTGAGGCATCTGACTATGTACTCCCCGCTAATTCCGACTGCTCAACGGACGCATTTGCTGTCTCCCGACAATCCACCAGCCGCCATCCGCTCCACCGTGGACATCTCCCTGCTTTCCGAATTCCCTCTGCTTCTGTCTGGCCAAATTAAACTCAAAGTGCCCGTCTTCACGGTGTGGGGTGCATGCGAGGACGTGCTGGTCATCGAGAAGTTTCGTTCTGGCGCCTACTCGATCGAGAACCTACATGTCCTCGATGAGGCGACCACGCGCTGCTTGGATCTAGGAGGCGTGAAGCTGCGGCTGCTGGGTCTCGGAGGTGCTTTGGTGCCGCACAAATGTTCGACAACGGAGACGGGAACGCGACTATTGCGGGCGGTCAGGGACCATGTGGACCACAGCCCTGCAGATCGGGGAGCTCGTGGACACGGCCCAGCGTGTCTTTGATCCAACGGAAACGCGTATGCTGGTCACCCACGCCAGCCCCGGACGCGAAGGCATCATGGCCCAACTGGCGCTCGTGACCAAGGCGGACTTGACCCTCTCGCTGGCCTGCATTTCCGCTACGCAACCTCTTACAACGAGTTCAGCGTCCAGAGTGGCTTTGATGGGTTTCGCGAGAAGCTGGTTTCGGGGAAGG